ACTCAACACCGCAACGCCAGGAAGCGCCTGGGAGGCAAGTTCACTGGCCTCTTCCGCAAGAAAAAAAAAAAAAGAAAGGAGTTCCGCTCCGCCCACCTCTCCAGCCATAGCGACAAGGTACCTCTCTTGGATAGCAATGGTGTCACCCTCAGTCTGAAAGACATCTATGCCATCCTCTGGAAGGCAAAGTATGGCTCAATCAGACTGACCGAGGGTCAATGGCAGCTCAGTGTCTTCCACGGCCTCAAGCTCCCAGACATCTTCAAGGTCATCAGCACCCTGAGAGGACCATCCTCGCGTAACGCCCTCTTCAGGTTCTTCTCCCATACTCTCCCAATCAATCATATGAGAGCAGACGCTGACTGTACCCTCTGTGGCAACTCCTGCACAGACCAACCCTACAATCACTTCTTCTTTGACTGCAGCAAAGTGGCAACCCAAGAAGCCATGCGCCCAGCCTTAGACTTGGTGAAGCAACGCTCTGGTATCAATGTCAGAGAATGGAACATCAAAGCACTGGACATCTCCACAAAGTCTCGTCGCCCCAACCTTCCATTCATCCACCTCATGGCAATCATCGTCAACTACCTCTGGCACTACATCGCCAACCACCTCTTTGGCAACAAGGAGGCCCCGTTGGCCAAGCTCAGCTTGGTGTGCATCACATCCTTCAAGTCCCTCCTCCGCCAGGAGTGGCGTTCCCTCATGTCCACGCTAACGAGTCACATCCTGGCCGGACGACCAGTCAACATCAAGAATGAGATGGCCGAGTTCACTACCAAGTGGCACCTCAGCACTCGCAACAGCGACATCCGTCTTCCGCCTCTGCCGCCAACTATCAACAAATACTTGGTGGCCGAATTCAGAGGCCTACAGTAGAAAAGAAAAGAAAGAAAAAAATCAAGAAAATTCAAAATCGACTAACTTATATATATTATCCCGCCTCTTCAATGACGCCAATTTATTTGCAATAATAATAAACTTCCACTCTAGTCAAAAAAAAAAAAAAAAAAAGAAATAACAACCACCCAAAGGGGAATCAATAAGGTGAAGAGGTCTTGGAGGGGTTCTTTGGTTAGCAATTCATACCCTTTCTTGCAGTTGCATTGTGTACCTTGTCAGTCGCTTTGATTCGATTCTTAAACTTGACAATCATGCACCTGTTGCATATCTCTGCCAATGACTGCTCGTTATTGATTACTTTGTGATGGTAATTGAGGTTCTGGACGTGCCGGGCCCAGTTGCTGTTGGCCACTAGATCGTGACATCCAAAGTGATCGCACAACTTGTCGCGAGCCTTGCCATCTTCTGTTCTCAGATTGGTCAATGTTGTTGTTGTTGTTGGAATGACCTGCCTCTCTTTTTTCCTTTGCCATAATTGAAGACAAACAACTGGTTGTTTGACATCTTAGTATTTGAATGTTGTATAATTGTTTAATTTAACAATGACAATGTTTGAATAATAAATAAATTTTTATTTGGTGTGGTGTTGATCTAGAATTATAAAAGATAGATATTATTGTTACTCTTGCACAGCAGAATGCTATTACTACTATATTAAGCATCAATTGGCAAGTTATCAATCTTTCTTGTGACTAACAGGTGAAAATATTAGTCATTTCATTGCTGTCCTTCAAGGATATAAACAGACAAGTTCTCACCTCCCATTGGTCAACCACACGTGGGGGTCCTTCCTTTTACGTCATCCCAGGTACACAATAAGGTGAAGAAGCCTTGGAGGGCATCCTCCAGCATCAACTATCAATGGGCGCAAAGAGATGGAAACCGATACAACAAAAGATCCAAGAAGACTTAAAGTATCATTTGGATAGGATTATAACACACAACAGGCGCCACGAAGTATTCCATCACGTTGTCGACATGTCCCCAGATTGCATTGATAAAGCACTCCAACTTTCAATCAGCCATGGACAACTCAATCTCGTGTCCTACTTTCTCAACAAGAAAGACATCCTTGTTCCAACTGGCCTGGTAATATATATTAACCTTGGTTCAACCAGTTAATATAAATAAACATTTTAATTATGACTTCAAGTGGATTTCTTATTATTATTACTTCACTTCACTTTGTAATACAAATCTAACTGTTCGTGAACAATGTTGTTTGAATGTCAAAGATTGTCAATAGTTCATACTTGGAAATTAACTTTGCGCGCCAATCTTCAAATGAACGTTCTCACCACACTGAATTGGAAGAGGAAACACTGTGTTGCTCGCTTGTCATTCAATCATTTACTCAATGGAACACTTCAGCTAATTAGAATATATACATGTTTATGTGATAGATTGTATCTCACACATATTCATACATTCATTCATTCATTGACAGACAGAACAAATAAAGGATCATGGGCAGAAAGAAATCGTCTCCTGCTCAAAAGGAAAAGGTATGTACATTCAGTCGACTTGAGTGGAAGAGATGAGGAGGAGCCTATCAAACATACCCTACACCAACCTACCTAATGACCAAAAACAGTCACTAATATTTCCAATCTATTCATTGTTAAACAATCTATAGATTACCAACTACTTCAATAGGATTGATCAGGTGATAGAGAATGATGACAATGACTTTGTGTCCAGCTCGCCACCTGTAGTGGTGCTCAAGAAGCAGATCAATACCAGTAGTAGTGGCATTGGTGGCAAAGGTAGCAAGAGTAGCATATCGAGCAGTGGCAGTAGCAAGAGCAGTACATCTAGCAGCATGTTAATAAAGAGGAAGAAGATGCAACCGGATGATATCTTCTCGGATGACGACGACAGCAGCAACACTACACCACAAGTAATACAGAGAATAGACACCGATGATGACAAGGAGAACAAGTTTGAATTAGTAGACGACGCTGTCAAACAGGAGAGAAAGAGACTAAAGAGGAATGTAAACACTGACAGCAACAACAACCATAACAACAAAGTGTTGTCTCCAACAAAGAAGAAGACGACAACAACTTCCACTTCATCAACACCATCATCAACCTCACCATCACCTCACAAGAACAAATCATCCTCCTCATCATCGACACCATCATCAAACAAGCACAAGGAGGTTCGATCACCTCTTGTCATGGAGTCAAGGCCAAAGCCACCACCACCTTCAAGCAACAAACTGTCAGACGATGCAGACGATGAGATCACAAGTCCAGACGAATCAATATCAGTAAGCCGCAGTCATAAGAGAGACTCTACACCATCATCCACCAACAACAACAACAACAAAGTAGACCAACCATCAACGCCAAAGAAGGAGTCTACGTCACATTCCACATCTAATGGCACGACCAATGGCAAATCCACTCCAAGCAAGCAACAACAACATCGACCAGCAGTGGTACAATCACCAAAGCTAGAGATCAAAAGGAGTGGATCAGGCTCTAAGTTTGACTTTGACGATGTACTGGACGACGATGAAATAGTGTCTTCACCTGTTATCAAGCCAAACAAGAACTACAACACCAACTATGTATCACCACTCAAGCAATCTGATCACACTGCCAGCAGCAGCAAGAAGACAACAGTACCAGCCGCATCACCAAAGAAGCAACTCACCTTTGCCAGCTACGATCCCAACCCAGACACCAGCATCACTGCCAAGCCTACCACTATCAAGCCCAACTCCAACTACAAGATCAAACCCACCATCAAGCATGAGGAAAAGGAAGATGAGATTGATGAAGTGGACGATGTCGTCAGAACTCCAGACACTGCTGTGAAGAAGGAGAAGGAGAAGATGAAGCCGGTGGACAAGCAAGAGAAGGTTGTTGAGAAGAAGAAGGCACAGCCTGTTGTTAAGGATGAGGAGGAGGAGGCGGCACAACCATCCAAACCAAGAGTCAGCACATTGTTCAGATCAACTTCAACATTGCACCCAGCAGACGATAGTGATGACACTGAGAAAGAGTCAGAGGATGTAGCCAAGAAGACCCCACCAAAGCCCACTGCAAAGCCAATTGCCAAGACAACATCAAAGACAACGCCCAAGAAGAAGACTGGCACCGCCGCCGCCGCCGCCACCACAACAGACGAAGAGAAGGCAAAGGCCTTGGCTAAACGAGATAACTTCCTCAAGTATAAGATGAATGCTGCTCAGGGTCCCCCTCCACCACCAAACAAAGGATCCAAGCCATACCCCAAGGGCACTCCAACATGTCTTCGCAACAAGACGTTCCTGGTCACTGGTGTCATGGACAGCTTTGAGCGAGACGAGATGAATGACATTATCCAGAAGTTTGGTGGCAAGCTGCTCAAGACTGTCAGCGGCAAGCTCAACTATCTGATCGTGGGCATTGAGCCTGGCGTATCAAAGCTGGAGAAGGCCAAGCGTGCCAAGGCCAAGCTGATCTCTGAGGATGAATTGCTCGAGATGGTTAACTCCAGTATAAAACAAGACGAGAAGGTGGATGAGGATGAGGAGGAGACTGGTGTGGAAGACGAGATTGAGGAATCTGCTGGCGAGGAGGATAAGGCAAAGAATAAGACAACAGCATGCAAGAGTGTTGGCAAGGTCAAGGTCGAGGAGAAGGAAGAGGATGTTGTGATGGACGAAGAGAATGAGGATGTTCAGATGGAAGATGTCAAAACTGAGCAGAATGAAGGAGACGAGAAGGAGAAGGAGAAGAAGGTGGAGACGGTGTCGACACAATCAACTACAACTACGACCACGACCACCAGCAACAACAACATATCACAATCATTGGACTTGAAACCCAAGACCCTTTCACTCCTTAGGAACACATCATCATTACTCAAGCCACAACTCTCACTCAAGCCAACTTTGTCACTCAACATCAATGGATTCAAGCCAGCCAGCTCACTTAAACTCACTCTCAACAATAACAACAACAACTACGCCAACTCTGCAGAGAGCAAGAAGGACTTTGATTACCTCAAGAAGGATATGAGTAGGGTGGTGGTCCCATCCTCCTTCAAGAAGCTCCCACCTGGCAACGACATGATGTGGGTGGACAAGTACAAACCAGCTAGCTCAGCTGACCTGCTCGGCAATCCAGGTGTCATCTCGACACTCAAGTCCTGGCTGGTTAAATGGGACCCCAAGATGATCACACAGAGAGCCGCTTTGCTGTCGGGTCCACCTGGCATTGGCAAAACATCGTCCGCACTGATGTTGTGCAAGGAGGCAGGCTATGAACCACTGGAGCTCAACGCCAGTGACACCAGGAACAAGACACAGATCGAGAAGTTGTTGTCGGGTGTGTCTGACAATCATTCTATAACAGAGTTCTTCTCAAACGTAAGATGTTCAATCCATTCACACTCAATCAATCAAACAATCAACTTAACGCATCCACTCAAACAGAAGAAGAAGGGTGAGAGTAAGAAGACAGTTATAATCATGGATGAGATTGATGGCTCATCTGGCAATGATGACAGAGGTGGTGTCAGTGAGATATTGCTCATGATCAAGACGACAAAGATCCCATTCATATGCATTTGCAATGATTACTACAGTCCAAAGATCAAGACGTTGAAGAACTATTGTCTGGACCTCAAGTTTAGACGACCCAGTGTCATGATGGTCTCTGACAGACTGTTGCAGATCGCCAAGCACGAGGGTCTTGTCATGAACGAGTACATGATCGAGAAGATATTCTCATCCACCAACCAAGACATCAGGCAGTCCATCCACATGATGCAGATGTTAAGTCGATCCAATGTCAAGGCCACACACAACGATATCAATGTCCAGTAAGTTGTCTGTCTTGAATGTAGTGATTGAGCGCGCCAAGCTAACTTATCCCCCCCCCCCCCTTCCTTGCCACTATATAGTATTGCCAATGCCAATAAGGATATGGACATTGGACCATTCTCTGGAGCTCAGCATCTCTTATCAGTGGACTCTAGTAACCCATCGATCAATGACAAGTTGGACTATTTCTTCACCGACTTTTCGTTGGTTCCCTTGCTCATCCAAGTATGTATCTGTCTTGATCAAGCAATGATACACAGTATCTAGATACTAACCATTCCACTTTTTAACAGGAGAACTATCTGTACAACAAACCATACAACAGAGCCTCCAACAGAGACGATGATGATGATGAGATCACAAGGTTTGCCAACGCCGCCGAATGCATCAGTGATGGAGACCTGCTCAACAAGGACATCATCTACAAGCAGAACTTCAACCTGCTTCCTGCTTATGGAATCATCTCGTCGGTGATACCATCATCATACGTCAATGGTGGCTCACGCATGCCCCTCAACTTCCCTCAATACCTTGGCAAGAACTCCAATGCCAACAAACAACTGCGATTCATTCGTGAGATCCAGCTGCACACTCGCGTGTCTGGTGCAAGAACCTTGACCAACTGCAACGAGACAAGAATGTCACTGGCACCAATGCTGCGCCACTACCTAATTCAGCCACTGGTCCTCTACGGACAGGATGGCATTGAGGATGTGATCGACATGATGGACACTTATGGCTTGACCGAGGACGACAGGAACAATAATTGCGAGCTGGTTCATGGGGTGGAAACGACCTGATGAAGTTGATCACACTCAGGTCAAGTCGGCATTCACCAGACAATGGAGGAAGGGATCGCACACAGTGTACGACTTCTCGATGTTGGCAGGCAAAGGCTCTGGAAGCAATGACGTGGTCAACGTAGACAATATGGAGGAAGAGAGAGGTGCTGCCAATGACACTGTAGAGTCGGACGAGGAGTCCAATGGCAAGGATGATGTTGGGGCAATCGATTTGCTTCTCAAGAAGAAGAAGGAGCCAGCTGCCAAGAAGTCAACAAAGGCTACCACTACTACTACTGCTGCTCCCAAGAAGGCGGCACCAAAGAAGAAAAAGTGAGCAAGTAACTACTCAAGGAATAAATTCAAGAGGTGTTATTATCACATACATTGACTTCGAAGTCGTTTTTCAAGGGGTCTCAAAGCCAGTTATGGTCCTATTCTTGGGGACTGTTCCAGCACCACAAGTTGTGAAAGTTTTGACAACTTTTGAGCGGATTGGTCAGCGATAGGGTTAACCTACTGATGACGACGTCTCCTTCGAACCACCATTCATAAACACACAGACACACATATAAATTGTAATAATAGGTGTCACGACGTACAACTACAACAAACTAAACATCTATCTATCTGTATTATACTACGAACATCAATCAAAACAAACAAACACAACATTAATTGTCCATGATGGAGGATGACACCAAGCCCCCAACAACATCATTAACAGGTGTAAAGGAACATTTACAATGTACAGGTTGTCTATCATTACTAGTACAGCATGATCTAGCAAATAGTAATAACAATGACAACAACAACAACACTAATAATAATAATGGAGGTGATACCACAACGAATGGTTCACCAACAATAGAGTCTATTTTGGATACTAATGAATACATTGATATTGGCGAATACTTGGACGATCCGGATTCATTGCGCACAGAGCTACAGCAGTCAGACAATGGATGGCAGCTCTTTTACAATGTGATATCTTGCGATAAGAATCATCTGTTTCAATCGGTGCTCAAGTGTTTGCAATGGTGTCTGGGCGCACATCGTCATTACGACGTACTGACCGTCAATGAGAGTCTGACTGCATTGACACTGGTTCACTCAAGTCATGCCAATGCTGATGGTGGCAGTGGTGGTGGTGTTGGAGGCGAATCAATGTCACCTGACAATCAATCATCGACCAACATACCAAACATTCCGCCTCCTCCACATATGATCTATGGCAAGGTTGGCAATAGTCACACCATCATCTTTGATGAACAATCCAGTATCCTTCGCATCCCCTTATTTGGACAGGTAGCCATTGGTGAGATCAAGATCACACCTTTCACTCGAGCCGAGCTTCCCCTGCTCACTCAAAGTAAACTGATAAGGTGAGTGAGTTAGTCGGTTAATTGATTGGAGCCATGGACTAATCTATTCATCAAACAAACAGATTCCTAACCAAGCGATCATCAGTAGAAATGGAAAGGATAAAGTATGAGGAGTTGTTGAACTTCTTTGTGGAGTACTCTTGCGCGAGTTCGAATGAACACTTTCACAGCCTCACCAAGTACCTTTGTTACTATTTGGACGCCAACTATGCAATGGTATGCCAGTTCATTCCACCCGACACTGGAATGACCTTGTCATTCTGTCGCGACGGTGTCATTCAGAAGAACATGGAGTATCAATTGCCTGGCACACCCTGCTACGAGCTACATCGCCGTAAGCCTGTATACTACTCAAACAATCTCATTCAAGCATTTCCAGAGGATAAGTGGCTGGAGGACAATGGAATCGAATCATACCTGGGCATCCCATTGATGGACTCTACGGGCGAGATGCTCGGACATCTCACTGTGATGAGCAACAAGACCATCAACTCTGACATCATTCACACTTCATTGATGGCTGCCGTCGCCAACAAGATAACAATGGAACTCGAGAGAAGGAAAGGTATGTTTGTTGTTGGCGGGCTCGGATTTAATGTGAATGAGTGAGTGCACAAGTTAACTCAATCACGACCAAACGACTACAACAGTTAGCGAGAACTTTGCCGTTACCAAGGAGTTGTTGAACCAATTCCCATCTACCTCGGTGATACTTACCGACTCGTCTGGCAAGATATCAAGGACGTTTGGTGAACAATTGTTTGAGTTCCACGGCAAAGAGTTGTTCAATCAATCAATCGACAAGATACAGAGTCTGGACATACAAACTGCACAAAGCTCAAACGATTCGTTCCAGCCACTGTCAACGATGGTCCCCACATCTGAACCAAGTCGAGAGATAAAGAGGGAGATTGTGTGCATCAAGAAGACGAACAACAACTTCCCAGCAGAGGTATTCGCAAAAGATCTGACACTGAACGAGAAGTCAATTGGTAGGATGTACGTGATCAGAGATATCACAGAGACCAGGAACAACCAACGTGTTCTTGTCGAGGCGAGAGACCGTGCCCTTCAAGCCATTCAAATGAAGACCCAGTTCATGGCATCGATCAGTCATGAGATCAGGACACCCGTATGTATAATTCAATCTATCAATCGGATCAATCATAACTGACCATATCTCTCAAACATACAAACTCAAATAGATGAATGCAGTAATTGGATTGTCAGAGATACTTTTGTCGTCCAATCTACCACCAAGTCAAATGAGCATTGTAGAGGTGCTACACAAGGCAGCTGAACTGTTGTACTCTATCACTTCGGACATTCTTGATTTCCAAAAGATTGAAGCCTCCAAGTTGGAGCTGGAGATACTAGAGTTTGACTTTAGAGGCTGTATCGAGGGCATCGTCCACACCCTATCGCTCTCATTAGACAAGCCAATAGAACTCCTATTGACATTCGACGATCATATACCAAAGATACTCAAAGGAGTAAGTGTTTCAAGGACATCATACCATGCCATGACATGACTAACTCATTCAACCAACACCAAATAGGACCCTAATAGAATAAGACAGATACTATTGAACATTGGACAAAACTCAATCAAGTATACTAATAGTGGACATATATTCATTGACATTGCACTTAGCCTGCGAGAGGGCAATAGGTGTGAGGTCACTTTCACCGTGGAGGACACTGGCATTGGCATCGATGACAGCCAGAAGAACAAACTGTTCCAGCCTTTCTTACAGTTGGACAGTGGTACCACAAGACGCTACGGTGGCTCTGGTCTGGGCCTGGCAATTTGCAAGAAGATGGTCGACCTCATGGGTGGCAAGATAGGCCTGGTCAAGAGTGCGCCAAACCGTGGCAGCACTTTCTCGTTCACAATCGTGCTGGAGGATTCACAGATGGAGCTGGCGGCTGGACCGCCCGCCGAGCCCGCCGAGGGCAAGACCGAGTTGAGTGCCTGTCGTATCATGCTCGTCGACGACTATGGCTTTGGCAGGAACATACTCATTCGCAAGCTGCATCAAGATATCTCATCGTGCTCGATCCAGACGCTGTCCACCGACCAGCTGACCGAGATTATCAATCTCAATGACATAGAGTCCATCGCCAATGTGGACTTGTTCATACTGGTGGAGAGGGACTGCAGCAGCGACTATGACTTCTTCTCAATCTCACACTCTCTGTCCAAATTGACAGAGGCCAAGATTGTTCTGGCCACAAACCAGCCCAATCACGATCAGAAGAGGACACAATTCTTTGTACTTCACAAGCCACTCTCGTCCAACCAAGTCATCAAAGTGTTGGAGAGTGTCGGTGTGGCCGGCCGAGGTGGTGGAAGCGGCAACAGACTAAGTGCGAGCAACAGCAGTAGCAGCATAGGCAGCAACAGCAGTAGTAGTAGCACAAGTTGTACGAGTGGAACGAGCAACAAGAGACGTCTGGAAGAGTGCAACGAAGAGGGTGGCGAGTCAGCGACAACTCAACAGCCACCCGAGAAGAAACAGACAAGACTGTGTTCCTCGCAGACATATACATCGACAGCCTCCACCGCATCAACTTCAGACAGCTATGAGCTATTGAAGAACATTGGAGGCAGTGCAGAGAGACGACTAAACTACAAGATATTGTTGGCAGAGGACAATGAAGTCAATCGCAAGGTGGTGTCATTGCAGTTAAAGAAGCTGGGCTTCCACTGCGACTGCGCTGTCGATGGCAAGGAGGCAGTGGAGATGTTCAAGGGTGGCAACTACGACCTGATCTTCATGGATCTGACCATGCCAAATACAGACGGACCGACGGCCTCCCTACAGATCCGCTCTCATGAAGAGATTTTTCATTCACGCAAGAAGGTCACCATCGTGGCGCTGACCGCCATGGTCCTGGAAGGCTCAAAAGATTATTGCAAGTCCATGGGTATGGATGGTATGTACAGACAATTAATTAATAATTGAACTAGGAACGTGTGCCACCACCATACTGACCCATCTGTCACTACTTTGCCCGCCCCAATAACCACACACCAACATTAATGTTGCCTTCACACTTTCGGCTTTGCAACTTTTGATCAGATTTTTTGCAAAAGCCACTCAAGCTCGAACAGCTAGAGAGAGTGCTTATTCACTATCTGGCCTAGGTTACCTTTTATTGTTTACGTAAAACAGAAGAATGGCACCCAATACAGCAGACCACTTATGGAGAGGCCTTTACCACATTCTCCACAACACAATGCCCGACACAGTACGAGTACACTTAATGATGTCTTTATTATCTGATTGACCATCTTGTGAAGCAAGTAAGACTCGTACGAAAGTACGTGATTACCACCACTACAAAAGGGGGACCGTATGTTACTCTCTTGTTTGTGTGATTGTTGTTTGTTGTTGGAGAGTGCCCATCAACTTCACCCTTTAGGCTCATGTGTTCGCCCTACCTACTATAATCACACTCATCCATCCATCCAACCAATTACATTCCAATCATTATTATTGTAACTTATAATTATTTATACATACTATTACAACAATGAATAGACGATCAACTATTATTCAATTGTTAATATTATTATTATTAATGTTTGGCGGAAACGGAAGAGTTCAAGCACAAATATGTCTACCAATTCTAAACATATGCATACTTAATGGTCCTATTGTGATCAGTACAGAGACATTGGTACAGAGTCTAACTTTAAATAGTATCCTAACTTTGACAAACATACTGAATATACAAGGTAATCTCCTATGTAATGGTACGATCAATCTACTCAATGGTGTACTCAATGTCAGTGGACTTATAATGATCACGGACCTCTGTGTATTGAATGTCACTGGTCCGGCAATTGTCAATGCGCCCAACGGTGCCATCTTCAAGACACTCGAGATCATCTTCAATCCAGCCAATGGCACATCGACACTCAACTGGTCCGGCGACGTCCAGTCAACAAACCTGAACCTGACCTCAATCGGTGGCGAGCTGCCCAAGATGAGGTACCACTCCAGCAAGGTGGAGTTTGCCAACTCAACTGGCTCGCCGATCATCGGCTATCTAGAGACCAATAGTATTGCCTCGCTCAAACTTCCACCATTCACAATCAACACAATGGTCATCAACAAGGCCTTGAACTTACTCTCGCTGCCCTACACTATTGGCGAACTGTTTGTCAATCAGTCTTCAGTGGCCAACTTCCTGGCAGGTACGTCACTGCGGTCAGTGTCGCTCGTACAGTCTTCAAAGTGCACGGTAAACACACCGATCAGCATCGATTCGCTGGTCTCTACCAGTTCAACTATGAACATTACCAATGCCGCCGTATCCATTGGATCAATTTCACATTTGTCATCACCACTTAACATTCTCGTCGGTGCTGTCGCTAGCGTGGGCGCCGGTCTACTTAACAACTCATTGTTGACAGTCGAGGCCGGTGGCTCTCTGGCATACACGGGTGGCGTCTTAGGTGGCGCACTGTCCGTTGCCTTGAATGGTCAAGCCAGCTTCAGTGGTCCCGTCACTTCAATACTCAATACGCCACTTACACTGCTCGGTACCATGTCATTGAATGCTGGAGCATCAATCATAGGATCACAATCAATTAAACAATTGGTCCAGTCCACCGGTGTGTTATCAATCAACAATGCATCATCATTGAACACAACGACTCTGGTTGTTCAAGAAGGTGGTGCCGTCAATCTTAACGGTGGATCAATATTGAATGCACCATTGAGTCTTCTCGGACAACTGGTATCTGGAATTGGTTCTCTGATATCAGGATCTTCAGTCAATATCACCGGCTCGCTCTCTTTAAATGGTGGATCCATAGTATCTTCGCCACTCGACCTTCAGGGCAGCCTCAGCTCATACTTTGGCTCATCAATAACAAGCTCATACGTCACTGCCCATAACAATTCAAGTCTGTCATTGGGTGGAGACGTTCATTTGTCTACACTGGACATCAAACAGGGTGCCAAGGGATCAGTGCGTACAGGTGGCGCACTCCTCAACTCAATACTGTCACTGTCTGGCAAGCTAGTCGTGGAGGCTGGCTCCTCAGTAACAACATCCGCGCTCACAGTCCAGTCTTCGGCATTACTCTCAGTCACTGGTGGAACTTTAATTGGTTCGCCTTTGACATCAACTGGCAAGGTCATGCTGGACAATGGTTCAACGATCACTGGTGCCACACTATCACTACTCATAGGGGGTCAACTCAACATCACCGCCAACTCCAAAGTGAACAGCGTTGATCTAAAGTTGGATGGAATCACACACATACTTGGTCAATCATCGATCGTCTCATCGGACCTAACACTCACTGGCAACATGTCAATCAACGAAGGAAGTATGATCACTCAATCACAAGTGGACATTAACAATGGGGCACTAATGAACATGATCCTTGGCCGTCTACTCAACACTCCAGTCGCAGTCCAGGTCGGCGCCAAACTCTCCCTTGACACAGCCACCATAACAGACTCACCATTAACCGTGCTTGGTGTTGTCTACTCAAAGACCAACGTGTCAATTTCAAGCTCATCAACCAAGTCTCCAGTGAGTATAACAGGCAATGGTTTACTCTCAGTGTCCGGCTCACTCTATGCCACATCCACACTAAGTGTGAGTGCTCTGATAGATGGTGGTGGTCAGCTGGCTCTTGCCAACAATGCACTTTTCACAGCAGGTGACATGGCCATTGGGCTCTACAGAATCAACGCTCAGATTTCCTCCAAGGGTGGTGTTCTCCAGTCCGTCGGTACAATCCAGCTCGCCAACCAACATAGTGGATCAATCAGTGACATATCAATCTTGTCAAGTTCACTCGATATTGACACTGACAAACTGGTACTCAACAACAGTCTACTCACAGTACATCAGACGTTGTCATCGACCATGCTCAATGGCTCCTTGTCAATGATCCACTCGACCCTAGGTCTCACAACAGAGTCGGCTGATATCTCGCTTAGATCAGTCTCTCTTTCACTTGAGAATGTTCGTCTACACTTGGCCTCATTCCTTCCAGCTCGTCTTGTGATCTCAGACAACACATCAACTATCAATGTGGCCAATCTCACCGTTGTGACCTCGGGCTCAGTTCCATCCGATGCGACCTACACCATTGGATACTCAGCAGCATCGTCCGAATCAATACAATGCAACAACAACAATGGGTCACAAACCTCTTCATCGCCATCATACCAATTCATATGTGATGGTAGTATGATTGTATTGAGGTTCATTAACTGTTCATCCAACTCAAAGGGTGAGTGTCCAATGGCCAATGGCACATGTCCACTTGATCGTCCTGTCCAATGTCTGGACGATACCTGTGTCACCTCGATCTATGATTGCCTTGCACTACCTCCATGTCCATCACTATCTCAACGCTGTGCCGATGGCAAGTGTGTCACCGCCACCGAGCAATGTTCCAATGTCACCTCGGTTGCCGCCAAGTTCTTTGGATGTCCAATTGGATACTTCCAATGTCCCTCTGGTCATTGTCAACGAAATGTCTCTGATTGTTGTGTTAACTGCTTAGTATGTATCTATCTATCTATCAATCAATCAATCAGTCATTCAAACATACTAACTCTGGTATCACCACATACACAGACCATTGCAACCAACACTTATCCAATGCAGACTACATCACCATTTGACTCGTCAAAGGATGTGATTATACCAATTCTATCAAAGGACTTCACTTTGGGCTCCTCGGCCAACATATATGGATATGTTAGTCTGCCACTAAAGTTCACCAACACACCAATGCTAGACTATATCTCAATCAATGCATTGGACGACAGCTACCTTGATACGATCAATGGTACAGATCTTTGGGGACCCAACCAAAACTATCGTGATCACATCCATACCATGGTGTACAATGTAACACTGGGCAATAGTAAGTAATAGCCGCTCGATTATTCAAACTATTTACTAACACTTACAAACATACAGTCCCCAACCCATTATTCGATACTCCAGTTCAGTTCAAGTTCAAGTCCAGTGGAACATTATTGGGACTCAACTTTACAATCACAAAGTTGGCATTCATTAATGTCACTTCCAACAGATGGCAGGCAATGGATAGTATAGTACTGTGTGAGGAGGACAATACATTGATATGTGCATCGACCAATCACTTTACATCATTCGCCGTACTGACCGATTATAATGGCGGTGATGGAAAGACTGGTGGAGAGTCTGCCAATGCTCAGAGTGGAGCACTGTCACGTACCACATTGATCGTTGTCACTACAAGTGTTGTAGGTGGCATTGTGGCTGTGTCTGCCGTTGGAGCATTCCTATTTGCCAAGGTGACCAAGCATGGCTCACTCAAGTATTGGTGGGCAAGCAAGCCACGCACTCTTCCATCAAGTGGAGTGTAGGCTAAACTACTCAGGTCTTTGGTAGATATAAAAACATTCACTATTTAAATAAACAAGATATTTGTTCTCAACCAACTTATGAATTTGGCGCCTTTATCAAAGTGTCCAAAAGGTGATGATCACTTAAAAACAAGAGACAGTTCCAAACTTATCTGTTTCAAATAAAACAAGATGTCACCATTGTCATTCAAGACTCTGTTGATTGATGTTGTCATCAGACACAAGATCTTTGGCCAACTCAGAGATTTAGAGTTGGATGACAGACGCTCACTCTCTCAATTCATCATCCATGGCAGAACTCATCTGTTTGCCCAACGATTTGGAGAGTTGATTGCCATCATTGACGAGAAAGTGCCACTCAACAAACAACCTACACAACCTGTCCAACCAAAAACAACAACAATAGCACCAACAACAACCATCAATCAGAATGCTCCTGGTGGATGACTTCCAACTCTTCAAGGTCATCATGAAGCATGTGCACCAATTCCATTGCTCGCGCGATACCATCAGATGGGAGAAGAATCCATCTCTCATCAAGTCGATTGGATCAGTGTGCGATGCACAGGAGTTCATCACCTGGATTGGCGTGCTTGCTGACTGCATTCAAGACTACCAGATACGCCAAATACTCAGCTCCACCTTGCACCAATACTTTAGCCTGGAGATGCTCGAAAACATGCACCGGACATTCCCACAGGTCATTCGAGATGTTGATTGGCTTTCAACTACCATCTGCTCCTCCATCGAGAACTACCTCATCTATCTCGAGTTCAAAGCAGGAAAGTCTGACATTTTTGACAGCTCCACCTGCTTTATCGAGGCTGCCGCCCACAATGGTGACCTGGAGCTGCTTCAACTGATACACTCCCATTGCATTGACACTGGACTGCCATTCGCAATTGGTTCGACTTCCATTGGCATCGCAGTGAAACATGGAGGGTGCATAGAGGTCGTCTCGTTCCTATTGGATCACTTGGACAACGAGGTTGAAGAGTACATAGTGGGCTCGATCCACCCATCGATTCAGTCTGATACTCTACTTCAACAACTTGTCACCCGTCCAAACATCACTTTCAGCAGCTCAACACTAGAGAGCTTGCTTCTCTCCAGCAACTTTGAGCTGTTTAAGGCAGTGGAGCGTCTGATGCATCAGCGGCAACAGGTGATGTCGAAATTTGACTATAGACAGCTTCTCAATCAACTTTCCACTCTTCCACCTGGACCAGAGATTGGCAAGGTGGCCACTCTGATCGTTCAATCAATCTTGCACAACCATCCAGATTTCTTTGCCACACAGGAGTACAACTTTAGATACCTACTCCACTGTGATGTGCGATCAGCGATCATTGGCTTGATTCCACGACACGAACTTCCATTTACTCTCAGTATACTGTGGACATGCATCAGTGATCTCAACAGAATCAAAGAAGCCAACATCCGTCTCGATTTATTTCAACAGCTTCTGGACAGTGACATCATCGCACCTCGCTATCTCACACCTTTTGACCATCGACCGATGGATGAAATATTCAGACTTCACTTCTACGAGTTGCTGGTACCGCTCAGTCGCAAGTATCCAAACATCTGTCTGGCACAGTTTGACGACGGACTGATCCACGATGCAACAATTGACGGTATGACTGAGTACCTCCAACTTCTTCTCACACACAAGGCGCACACACATCTCCTCAAGTATCCTCGATCGTTGATGGCCTTTGACAATCTGGACATCGTGCGCTTTTTCTGTCTCAACTACCCAGGATGTTGCAATATCTCGCAATCAATTATCATTGCTGCTGAATCAGGAGCACTGGCGACCATCGAGTATCTCACTGTGAACTATCCAACCATTTTGACCACGACCGCAGCAATGGACAAAGCGGCCAAACACGGACATCTGGATGTTCTCAAGTACCTTGACGTCCATCGCACCGAAGGTTGTACTGATGAGGCCTTCTCTCCTGATCTTCAAGGCCATGAAGGGCCGGAATCTCCCAATTCTGCAGGCCATCCTTCAGCAGGACCAAATATCGATGGGCACAAAGAGATACAACAAAAGATCCAAGAAAGCTTAAAATATCATTTGGAAAAGATTATAACACACAACAGGTCCCACGAAGTATTCCATCACGTTGTCGACATGTCCCCAGATTGCATTGATAAAGCACTCCAACTTTCAATCAGCCATGGACAACTCAATCTCGTTTCCTACTTTCTCAACAAGAAAGACATCCTTGTTCCAACTGGCCTGGTAATATAAATAAAAGTAGTAAACATTTATTTAACAACGTGAATTAATAGAGAGTGCATGTAGATTGACCAGATCCAATTTACAACCTATCACAGCACCCACCAACATCAGTTTGAAATATATATATGATTGGAGATTCATATGGCAAGCCGAAATTCAATCCTTCATAGTCAGTCTCTCTTTAATATGAAATTGATTGACACTACCTAGGTTATCTCGAAGAGTGGTGGGAGTACTTTATTGAAGTGCGGTTATCTATGAGGTGTGTTAGTTAGTGTGTGTGTTTGATGTGGGTAAATCATAAGCACCACCAAGACGAATTGGTGAAAGTGATCACTTGACGAAATTGATGATCAATCAATCAACAATCTACAAGTGTCGTTCATCTACTAATCACACTTAGGACAATGCCATGTCACATGTGAATGGTTAAAGAATAAGGTCCTTATAGATGATGGTGTTGGGTCACATGGACATGGCAACATGATATATGTGGTGAGTAAATTTCGATATTGACTCTGATCTTATACCTACCTGCCTCCAACACCCTTCATGGACACATAAGGTATATATAAGTACTCAGCACAATGTCAATCTACCAATTATTATTCAAACCCAACTAACTAACCTTAACCGATCGATACAACAACTACAATACCCGATGAATAATACATATCTTTACTCTTCTGTAATACTATTATTGCTATTGGTGTTGTCCACTACGACCACCACTATCAATGCCCAGACCGAATATGCCTCCTGTGTCCTCTACTCTGTGGCCAAGAATGTTGTTTGTGGAACTGTCCTTATCACCAACACATCAGATGTAAGTGAACTCAATCATCTATCAATCAATCAATCAATCAATCGATCAATGACTAACATGGTAAAACATCATCCAATCACATATTATAGTCCCAGCTAACATTCTTTGTCCAAGCAATTGGACTAACACCTGGAACCCATGGCGTTGTTGTGCGCCAGTATGGTGATATATCTGCAACTTGGACCAGTGCTGGTGTTTTTGGTGCCAAGAATGTCTCTTATGAATGCTCATCTACACCAGGTTCACTTGGCAATATCGTTGCCAATCAACAGGGTAGTGTTACAACATCTCTCACTTCAACACAACTCTCACTCAAAGAGTCGCCCAACTCCATCATCGGTCGCACTCTATCTATTTACAACTCGGCCGAGAATTGTAATGGAGGACTACCCGTAGCCCAATGTGTAATTGGAATTGGTAATACCAAGACTGTGCCCAAGGACCATCCTATCTGCAAGTACGTCCACGAGTCGGACAACAATGCCGCCGCCTCTATCTGCCATGAGCCAAACCTGAATGGAATATGCAAGATCAAGGCCACCACCGTACCAGGCCAGATTATCGATGGCTACGTCTACTTCACTCAATTGACGAACGGTGACCTGTCTGTGACCGCCAGTGTCCGTGGTCTTGACACCTCAGCACCACACGGCATTCACATCCATCAGTTTGGTGACATCCTGTCCAACACTTCGATGGGTACTCACTGGAAGAGAGTGAGCCAGGTACATGGTTTGCCCTACGGTCCCAACATCGAGTATGGAGATCTGGGCAACATTTGCACCAACAAAGATGGTATCTCTTACTTCCAATCGACAACCAACTACTCTGGTTCATTCACATCGTCACCAAATCTCATCGGAAGATCCGTGGTTATTCATCAGATGCAGGACACTGGTGCATGTCCAGGAGGTGTATGCAAGTTTGGCAAGAACATCGCACATTGTGTGATTGGTCTCACCCACATGCCCCAACCATTCACCATCCCCTCTGGTCTTAACTTTGATCCAACATGCAAGACCTTCGTTCCATCATCTTCTTCCTCAACATCAGGTGTCGCAACATCTGGAACAGCCACCTCTGGAGCCTCCACTACGGGACATGTCCAGAGTACTTCATCATCAACAGGACAGACTGGAGTGACCGGAACAAGTTCTGGATCATCTGGAATCTCGAGTCAATCATCTGAAACCCCATCATCTTCATCAACAAGCTCTGGTGGTCCATCTACCTCAACATCATCCTCCTCCTCAAGCACCGGATCACATTCATCTTCGTCAGTTGGTGCTACCTCATCATCTTCATCAGGTGGCGCTACTGGACATGCGGGTTCATCGTCATCGAGTGGAGGCTCATCTGGTTCTATGACCAACTCGGCAACATCTTCATCGTCAAGTGGTGCTTCATCGGGCACTAGTGGAAGCTCAGGCTCATCCTCATCATCTAGTGGGGCTACGTCGTCTGGCACAAGTGGACATTCAGGATCATCATCATCGAGTGGTGGCTCATCGGGAATGAGTGGTTCAATGACTAGCTCGGGAACATCCTCATCAAGTGGTGCTACATCCTCGGGCACTGGCGGACATGCAGGTTCATCGTCATCGAGTGGAGGCTCTTCAGGAATTAGTGGTTCTATGACCAACTCGGGAACATCATCATCAAGCGGTGCTACATCCTCTGGTACAAGTGGCCCAGCGACCTCAACAGCGTCATCTTCCTCATCATCATCCAGTGGTGCTACTTCTTCCGGTACAAGTGGACCAGCGACCTCAACAGCGTCATCTTCCTCATCATCATCTAGTGGGGCAGCTTCCTCTAGTTCAAGCGGTCTAATGACTGGAACATCCTCATCAACAGGCACCTCTACTAGTGGACCCTCAACATCATCACCCACCAGCAGTGGCGCCACCATTGGACATGCCTCTAGTTCATCGTCGTCAACGTCATCACCAACAAGCAGTGGCGCCGCAAGTGGACATGTATCAGGATCATCGTCCTCAACCTCTGGTGCAAACAGTGGACCATCGACAATATCACCAACCAGCAGTGGCGCCACCAGTGGACATGTGTCGGGATCAACCTCTACCTCTGGTACCGTCAGTGGACCATCAACATCACCCACCAGCAGTGGCGCCACCAGTGGACATTCCTCTAGTTCATCGTCATCTACCTCTGGTGCAAACAGTGGACCATCAACATCATCACCAACAAGCAGTGGCGCCATCAGTGGACAATCCTCTGGATCATCATCCTCCACCTCTGGTACAAACAGTGGCCCGGCAACAGGTGGTACGTCCTCTTCATCTGGTATCGCCTCCAACGGAGTCACTACCTCAGCCACAACAACAATATCAGCAGCTACCTCTTCAGCAGCAACCTCCTCAGCGGCTACATCTTCATCCACCACATCAACAACCTCATCGACTACTGGAAAAGATACAGACAAGAACATTCCAAAGACCACATCATCCACAACTACTACGACTAGTACTTCAAAGACCACTGGCTCTACTGGAGCATCAGCATCATCATCAACAACGTCATCTGACCCTGGTGCAACCACTCTACAGATTGGCACCACCAGTGCCGGAGCAGGCGGAGCAGTTGATTCCTCATCGAGCAATGATTCATCATCAACATTCACCGTCTCTTTTATCACAATGATCGTATCAATCATTGCTACACTCTCACTATTACTTCTTTAGCTTTAATTCTATTAAAATACATATTGCTAGCTATCCTCCGAGTGCTGTTGACCATCCACTTTTATTATACTATGCTCAACGCTTACCTTACCAAAGACCACGGTAGAACTTGTTTAATCCAGTTGATTCTTTGTAAACTTTTTTGCGTTGCTCCAGATGATTGAGTAACACTGACAGATCAGAGATGAACCCACTTACATGGATGACCTGGTCGGAATAGAGGAAGTATGGCGCCCTGTCACCATCCAGTCGGCGAAGGCACATTAAGGAGTTATTGAATCGAAACTTGACCTGACTGGCAACAGCGAGGTATGGGTGGATTTTCGAGGGACAATCACAATATTTTCCGGTCAGTTCGATCGTTTCGACTTGGAATCCAGCTGGGAGATGGGATTCGTGGCTAAGTAACTTGATTACCTTGAGGGAAGAAGGCAGTGCTCCAGCCCTAATGCGTTGGTCCCACAGATTGAGTATTGTCAAGCTCTCTGGGAGCAAGCCTTCTATGATTGGATGTTTGTACCACTTGGGAATATCAAGAGTATGCACACCAAGAGGAATCGATCCTGGCGGCAGTCGGCAAGAATGACTGTTACCAAAGCTAAGAGCACGCACTGATGCTGGAATCATTCCAATGTATATCTGATCAACTCTCTCAATCGATAGAGTAATGACTCTGGGTGGAATGGCACCGGCCACAATGTGCTTGACAAAAAAGAGTGAGAGATAAGTGACACTTTCAGGAATGTCACCAAGACGCAAGGTGGAAATTGTTCCAAGTGAAATGGTCGTGAGGTTTGATAGAGGCTTGACAATGCATTGTGCAAAGTCATAATTGATCGAAAGGTGTGTGAGATTGATCGGGAGAGTGGTGCAATACTCAGGGAGAGAGTAGATGATCAGTGACGTGAGTGTTGGTGGGAGATCGAGCGCAAACATTCTCTTCTCATCATTCCATCCTGGTATTGAGAGTGTTTGCAAACATGGCAGGGTTGAGGCTGGTGGAAGGCGATTCGAGAAGGCCTGAAATGTGAGCTTGGTCAAAGATGAGGGCAGAACTCCATCTTGGTCAAAGGGATAATCGTAACTCTCAAAGTGGAGTGTGTGGACCGATGAGGGTATTGAGCCAACGCATAGCGGCTTCTGGAAGCTTGTTCCAAGATGAAGATAGGTTAGGCCTTGAGGCAAGATGTTGGGATATATATTCTCGTTGAATCCTTGGCCAAATGTGAGTGATCGCACCGACGATGGAATGTATCCAGGCAAGAGTCTGCATTGAACAAACATCCATTCGAGGGTCGATGCAGAGATTCACAACAGAACTTGGAAGGAAACATTTGTCCAACTTGAGATCACCACAACCTTTCAGATGGAGATCAGTGACAGAGTTTGGGATGGCGCCAGAACTGATGCTGACACCTTTTCGGTAATCTCCAGTGATTGAGAGTTTTGCCACTGATGAAGGGATCACACCAGTGTTGAGTTCTTCGATTCCATCATCAAAGTGTAGCTCTGTGACCGATGATGGAATGGTTCCATCAATGATATTATAGTATAGGTGAAGGAGACTTCACTTTCAGACTCGATGTTCTTATAACTCACAGATCCGAATGCGAGACACTCGACACCATCGGGGATGTTGGAGTGATCCAATTGGAACTGAGGATTGGCAATCCAGAGATGCTTGGTGTGTGGTGGGATGGGTCCAGGGATGATGCGATGAGCCACATAACAAGTTCCTCCAAAGTGCGCCAGTGAATGAATGAGCAGCTCCTTGTATGACTTTAATACGAATCTATTGCATTGGGATGACTGCAAGGCAAGCACAGTGTAATCCAATCGAATGTCCTTTTTCGAGAAGATGAGATAATGTTGTCTCTCATTGAACAGACGTCGACAGATCAGCGACAACAATATTCGGTCGGCGTTGTCCTCCAACTTGGAGACAATCGTTTTGAGCAAATAAGTAGAGAGATCTGATAACATCAATGATGATTGGTTGATTAAGATGTATTATTATTTTCCCCCTTTTACGAACTCATCAATAATGGGGAGTAAGAATAACAAATACAACAACTTTACTTTGTACACATAATAAGGTACCACTATTAAATCATGTAGTTACCTAGGTCTTTTGGGAGGTTCAAAATCCATTCAAAAATTAATAAAATAACTTGGTGTTTGTAAACCACATCAGCACAAAACCTGATCCTTGCCCGCTTTGTTAGTTCATCATCCTCATTCATATTCAATCATATATAAATATTTCTATTATTCAGGTGTAGTAGTTGTTGTAATAAAAGCAACAACAACAACAACATACAATAATGTCAGATTCAAAGTACTTTCAAACAACAAAGAAAGGTATGTATCACTTCACATCAATCAATCAATCATTTATCGTGATCGACAGTTCACTCACTCAATACTATCCTTCCCCATAATATATACAACAACTACGACAACAACAACAGGTGAGATACATGAGTTGAAGGAAGAACTTCTCTCACAGCGTGAGGATAAAAAGAAGGAGGCAGTGAAGAAGGTCATTGCTGCAATGACTGTTGGAAAAGATGTCAGCATGCTCTTCACTCATGTCTTGAACTGTATTCAAACCAACAATCTCGAGCTTAAGAAGCTTGTCTATCTCTACGTCATGAACTATGCCAAGAATCATCCAGATCGTGCTATTCTTGCTGTCAACACCTTCCAAAAGGTATGTCTATTTATTAATCTTAATCATTCATTCACGCACTAACTATATAATGATATATTATAGGATGCATCTGATCCACATAACCCATTGATTAGAGCACTGGCTGTTAGAACTATGGGATGTATTAGAGTTGATAACATCACAGAGTACCTTTGTGAACCTTTGAGATTCTGTCTAAAGGATCAAGATCCATACGTCAGAAAGACGGCTGCTGTGTGTGTCGCCAAGCTCTACGACATCAACCCAGAGCTGGTGGAGAACCAGGGCTTCCTCGACATTCTCAACGACATGTTGGGTGACTCCAACCCAATGGTCGTGGCCAACGCCGTCGCCTCTCTCACCGAGATCGACGAGGTCAGCAAGCACGAGGTGTTCAGGATCCACCCAGCCAACGCCAACAAGTTGATGGCCGCACTCAACGAGTGCACTGAGTGGGGACAGGTGTTCATCCTCAACGCCCTCTGCAAGTACACGCCCCGTGACACAAAGGACGCCGAGTCTGTCTGCGAGCGTGTCGCCCCACGTCTCCAACACGCCAACTCTGCCGTCGTGCTGTCGGCCGTCAAGGTGTTGATGCGCTTCCTCAACTATGTCAACGCTCAGGACATTGTCAAGTTGTACTGCAAGAAGATGGCGCCACCCCTCGTCACTCTGCTCTCCAAGGAGCCCGAGATCCAGTTCCTGGGTCTGAGGAACATCAACCTGATCGTCCAGAAGAGACCCGAGATTCTTCAGTACGAGATGAAGGTGTTCTTCTGTAAGTACAACGACCCCATCTACGTCAAGATGGAGAAGCTGGAGATCATGATCATGCTGGCCAACGAGAAGAACATCGACGAGGTGTTGCTCGAGTTCAAGGAGTACGCCACAGAGGTCGACGTCGAGTTTGTTCGCAAGGCCGTCCGTGCCATCGGTCGCTGCGCCATCAAGATCGACCCATCGTCAGAGCGCTGCATTCAGGTGCTGCTCGATCTGATTCAGACCAAGGTCAACTACGTCGTGCAAGAGGCCATCATCGTCATCAAGGACATCTTTAGAAAGTATCCAAACAAGTATGAGGGTATCATCGCTACGCTCTGTGCCAACCTCGAATCACTGGACGAGCCAGAGGCCAAGGCCTCGATGATCTGGATCATTGGAGAGTATGCCGAGCGCATTGACAATGCCCACGAGCTGCTTGCTTCGTTCCTCGAGGGCTTCAAGGATGAGAACAGCCAGGTCCAGCTCCAGCTGCTGACCGCCATAGTCAAGCTGTTCCTTAAGCGTCCCAAGGACGCTCAGCAGATGGTGCAAACTGTTCTATCGCTGTCCACACAAGAGTCTGACAACCCCGATCTGCGTGACCGTGGCTTTGTCTACTGGAGACTGTTGTCCACAGACTTTGAGGCCGCCAAGGCCGTTGTACTCTCTGAGAAGCCTCTCATCACCGACACAACATCACACCTGGAGGAGTCGCTCCTAAACGACTTGATCTCCAACATCTCAACTCTCGCCTCAGTGTACCACCGCCCACCAGAAGACCTTTGTCGCCAAGCTCAAGGGTCTGTCAAAGCGCGGATTCAGAAGGGAAGAGGAGGACGACGAGGAGCCAGACTACATCGATGACGACAACAATGACATCAACAACAACCAGAACAGACCCCAACAACACCAGCAGCAGCAGCCACAACAAACAAGGTCTGGAAACCTATTCGACTTGGACGACCTGAGCGGAGCGCTCCCACAGAACAACAGCCCATATCAGCAACAACAACAGTTTGTCAATCCAAACGATCTGACATTCTTGCAGGGTGGCGAGAGGTGGCGGCCAAATGGGTGCGCCAGCGGTCACCAAGAAGATCCTCTTAGGCTCCGACCAGGGACAGGGCATTCAGATCAGCGGAGCATTTGTACGATACAACGGACGTCTGTCTCTCGAGTTGACTCTGCTCAATCTCAGTGGACAGCAGATGAACAAGTTCAAGATTCAATTCTTCCAGAACAGCTTTGGCGTGTCGCCAATCGAGGCCATCCTTCAGTGTGGCGCCATCGAGAATGGCCAGTCCATGGATGTCTCGGTGCCAATCTCTGCCAACGGCCCTCCCGCACAGCCATTGGCTCCACTCATCAACATGGCCATGATGGTGCTGCCATCTCAGGCCAAGTTCTACTTCCAGATGAACCTGCCCTTCCACATGCTCTTTGTCGAGAGCGGCCAGCTTGACCGCGAGGCCTATCTCTCGATGCGCAAGAGCATCCCTGAGGCCAACGAGAGGACCAAGGATATCCAGATCCAAGCACCCCAATTCGACGTGGACACCATCCTCCGCAGACTGCACTCCAAGAATCTGTTTGAGATTGTCCGTAAGAAGGTACAGAACCAAGACGTCTCATTCCTCTCGTGTAAGACCGAGAACTCTATCTATATCCTTGCCGAGTTGACCTTTACCGTTGGAACTCGTGTCTGTCGTCTCACCTCCAAGTCAACTGCGATTGAATTCACTCCTCTGTTCGAACACACAATGGAGATGTTGATCAATGACCAACAGTACTAGTAGCACCAATCCAACTCAGTCCATCCATTTATCTCTATCCATCCTACCTCATTCTCAAACCCAAACTAAGCCTGTGCATCTTGTCATACTATGGAACAATAAACAGCCCTCCAAATAATAACTAATATTATAATACAATGATGGCAACACTACTGTTGCTGTTGCTGTTTACTTCTTTCCTTTTCCAATGCCTCTTTCAACACTCTGATTGTATCACTTCTTCCATAACGTGTGGCTACATCTAGTGGTGTCTCCCCATCGACTTGAACATGGATGTCGGCTCCATGCTCATAGAGTAGTTGACAGATCTCGTGTTGGCCATGTCTCGCAGCCGTCAATAGTGGGGTGAGACCATCTTTACGCTTGGTATCAAACTTGATCGAGGGGAATCGTTTGAACAGCTCTGTGATCAACTTGACATTGCCATACTGACTGAGAACGTGCAGGACTGTTGATCCATCCTTCATGGCCAAGTCCACATCGATGCCTGGCACCTCCATCAGTGCAATCGCCGTGTTATAATGATGTCTGGCACAGGCCACGTACAAACAACTCGATCCATCGGTTGTCATCTGAATGTTTGGTGATGCTTTATACTTGGCGAGCAGGTCAACTGCGCGAATGTTTCCATTCTGTGCAGCGATGAGCATTGCAGTGGCACCATCTGATGTCTGAGCATTTGGGTCTGCCTTGGCCTTCAGCAACCTCTCCATGATGCCATAGTGTGATATCTGTGTGGCCACTTGAATGGGATAGTAGTGCGATCGAGGCAGGTTGGTCTTGGCACCGTTCCCCAGCAGCAATGTAACAACTTCCTCTTGTGCGGTCTCGACTGCTGCGTAGAGCAGTGTGGCGCCCTCATCATCGATGCGCATATTGATGTCGACGCCCGTGGCCAGCAGTTGACGGACGATTTGTGGCGAGCCGTATTGACATGCAGCAGTGAGTCCAGTGACAATCTGATTCTGGTCCAGTCGTTGACCAGAGTCTGAGGAGAGCAGACACTCGACAATGCCGGGCTTGCCCTGGACGCATGCAACAGCGAATGGTGTAACGCCATTGTCCTCTGTAATACTAGTGTCCGCTCCACATTCTATTAACTTCTTCATCAATTCTACGCTGCCATTGAACGCTGCAAAGAATGCACAAGTACATCCACCAATGAATCTTTGATTGACATTGATCCTCATTTCGGTCACTCTATCCAGCAATGACAGTGCTTCCTTCACCTGATTGTTCTGACATCTCTCAAACAACTGTCTACTATTCTGTTCAGAGAATGACATCTCTATCTTTCCTAATTATCTGTTTGAAATAAAAACAATGAATGTAGACGAATCAATGAAACTTCATTTCCTGGGACAATAACGACAAAAATAAGTTGTTGCCCTGGGCTAACCTTTGATTTGATCATGTGACTGGGAACTGTTTATTATTGATTATGGACAGAATATAACATTGTAGTTGTATTGACCTGGACAGGTAAAGGTGGAGGTGTGATCATCATAGGCATAGGAGTATGCATTGGGACATGCCTTCTTGAAGATCTCAGAGTAGGTTGTGGGCTGACATGTTTGTGGAGTAGAGTAGGCACCTGTACAACAATATTGTGGACTGCCATACTTCTCACAAGCACTCAAACATGCAACAACCTGTCCATTGTAGACCACTTGGAGGTCGGAGGGACATATGTCATTGAGATCACTAACACATCCTGCCAAAGTACAGTTGTAATCGTTGGAGGTTGGTGCATCGGGTCCAAATGCCACTGGGAGATTATAGCCATCGACCAAACTGACGTCATAATAGTCTTGGTTGCCATTGCCTGACAGGGTCATCTCGATGAGTGTGGCTGGAGGGTTGCCACCAGCACCGTTGCATTGAAGGACGCCACCGCAGTCACCAGTCTGGCAGTAGCCATTGCCATTGGAGTCAAAGTCACAGTCGGTACGGCCCCAGAACCTGCCTTGCCAGTTGTCTTGAAGGGAGATAATGTTGGAGTCACCTGGGGTTAGAGCCCATCCGCCACCCATTGGAAGTTGGAAACCTGGATTGTCAAGAGCGCCAACATAAACAGTCACATTACAATAGTTGGTGAATGTGAATTGTCTCTGAGCATAGGATACAGATAGCAATAAAGAGAATATTATTAATGTATTTGAGATGGTCATTATTTGATTGATTGATTGATTGAAGGTACTGGATTACTGGATTGAAAGATATCTTGATATTTATAGGTGATCCCACGGAAGCGGAATCCAAATGATCAGGTCTGATTTTGATTGATATTTATTGATCATAAATATCAAGGGTTGGGCACTGATCTTGGCACGATGTGGAGCAAAGAATGAACAACCTTGTTGTGTGTTGAGCCGTCAAAAGATACGCCCAGGCCGAGAGAAGGAAGGCATAAGTTGAATCGATCTCTAGTGGATGGACCACATTAACAATAATGTTTACCATGGTATGAGCTTGAACTTGAACTTGACCTTGATATACCCAGGTCGCATGTTTGCATGATATCGATGATTATATGATTGGGTCGGGTCTTCATTGGCACTATGTATATTGTACTGGCTACAATAGTAGATCGGCTGTACGTTGCATCTCAAACACGTGAATGAGCATAGGACCTCCCTGGCTGTTGTGTGTGTGTTGATTGAAATGATACATGCTATGTGACAATGAGATAGACCTCCCTAGTTCCTTTGACGCTTTGTAGACAATGATCTCTCCTCCATTAAAGACTTGTACTCTTCAGATGGTAGTTCGAATGGTTCAATCTTGTCTTCATCAATTACATGATCATCCTTTAATGTTTGATGAATGATGTAAGTATGTATGTATGATTGATTAACAAATAAACAGATAAACACATACCAATGCATCTAGATTATAATACTCTTGTATCTCCTTCAGTATTTGATCAGCAGTAAAGTGTTTATCGGGTAGTTGTTGTTGTAGTAGGACCATTGTATTGATCACTGAGAAGTACTTGTTGATGCCCAGTGGCAAGTATCTACTGATTGCATCAAGTAGGTAACATCTTGAACGCATATCCCAATGTGAATCTGTTGTCGTATGTCCATCATCCACTGCTGCTGTACTACCATCTGTTAATTCACTATCACTCATTATTATTATTTATTTATATATATTATTATTCAAGTTCAAGAATGAGTGAACAGTCAACTTGAAGTTAACAACAACAAAAGTTTCAAAATAGGCAATTTAACTAAAAATGTGACATTTCATTCAGTCAATGATGTAACAATAACAATGACAGATAATAAAAATACATTGAAGGGTAGACCACCAAACAATGACCCTGTCGATCCTATTGCTGGCTCGATGGCTGGTGTATCAAGGTCATTAACCAGGATACTAGCAGGGTAATGCATATAATATTGAATCAGATTGTTGTTGACAATAAATTATATATATACTTACATACTTCCGACTTTATAAATGTAGAATGTCAAGAGGTGGAATTGCTGGATCATTCTCTGGAATGGCAGAAGAGACAGCAGGATACCCTCTGGACTTGATAAAGACAAGGATACAGGTACACGCCAATCCAAATGTCAGCTTTATAAATGTATTCAAGGAGTTGATACAGAAAGAAGGTGTAAGTATCAAATGTTTGAATGAACTCTGTGTGAATGAACCTGACAAAAGCAACCATTCATTCTATAGTTTGTTGGAATGTTCAGAGGATTGAGCTCGCCACTGCTGGCAGCTGCAATGGCTTCAGCAATTCAGTTCACAACATTTGAAAAGGTCAACTTGAAGATTGAAACATACTATCCACAAGTGTCAAGTACAGTGCGTTACCTGACATCTGGCGCAACAGCTGGTCTATTTCAATCATTTGTAATATGTCCAGTCGATGTTATAAAGAGCAGGATGATGATACAGGGTATGGGACATGGACATGGTGGAGGAGGAGGAGGACATGGAGGAGGTGGAACATTAGCATTGGCCAAATCAATATTTAAAGAGAATGGTATTAGAGGATTCTACACTGGATTCACTGCCACCCTATTGCGCGATGTGCCAGGTACTGCGATATTCTTTGCAACCTACGTGGGTCTAAAGCAGAAACTTGGCGTCGAGGAGCATGGCAAATCACACAGTGCACGTGACGTCCTGGCTATCCTTTTAGCTGGAGGATTGGCTGGTAGTGCCTATCGTAGCAGTACACATTGTTTTGATATTGTATGTATCCAGGAATCATTCACTCAATCAATCGAGTTGATTAGCTAACTAGCTCACTCCATTCATTCATTCAAATAGGCCAAGACATTGATACAGACACAGACCACAACGCCAAAGTATAAGGGTACACTGGATTGTTTAAGACAACTAGTAGCAAGAGATGGTATCAAAGGTTTGTTCCGAGGATACATCCCAACTGTTGTAAGATCATTTCCAGCCAATGCAGCAGGATTCATGGTGTATGAACTTGTACAGAACATCTAATGATGATGGTACGTACTTGGGACAAGGCAATCACATCCTCTATTGATTGATCAGTACTAACTCCCTTCATTGATCAATCAGTTAAACACGACCGACCAAAAATTCAAACAATCAACCAAACCAAACAAATCAAGCCGATCGATGTAGAAGTAGATATAATATAATAATATAGTAGTAGTTTATTGATTGTCATCCTCTGTCAATGCAGTCAAGTGCGCTATAGTACATTGCTTCAAGGCTGATATGTTGTATCCACCTTCGAGCACAGAGATAAGACGGCCATTGCACCAGCGGTCGGCTACCTGGCGCAACAATCGTGTGATCTCGATGTAGTTCTCCTCGAGCAGACAGAGCGACGCCAGGTGGTCGTCGATGTGCGCGTCAAAACCGCAAGAGATAAGTAGCAGGTCGGGTTGGTAATCGTTCAGCTTGTCGATGATGATTGAGAATGCTTTGAGGAAGGCGTTGGCCGTGCTCTTGGGGTCGAGCGGGATGTTGACAATGTTGTTGGCTGGCGCGCCCATGTTGGGATCGTCCTGTTGATGAGGGTCGTTTGCCGGCACGGCACCACTGGGCAGGATCACTCCGTGACACTTGCCTCCGCCACTGCCCGGATAGAAGCCTTCCTCAAACATGTGGATGGAGAGGAAGAGGAAGCCTGGGTCACCCACCAGTACCTCTTCGGTGCCATTGCCATGATGCACGTCAAAGTCGACGACGGCTATCTTCTCCACGCCATACTTGAGTTGGGCATACTTGCCCGCGATGGCTACATTGTTGAGCAGACAGAAGCCCTGTGAGTTGGTTCCCGATGTCAGTCCCTCGCGACCTGCATGGTGGCCTGGTGGGCGAGCAGCTACAAATGCCGAGGTGACTGCACCCTTCATAACCTGGTCGACCGCACACAAGGTAGCACCAACTGCACGTCTGGCTGCCTTGAGTGAATGCTTCGAGACGAATGTGTCTCCATCTTCAGTGTCGGTGACTGGGGAGAATTGGATTGCTCCACCAACTTGGGTGGCACCATCGTTGGCACTGAGTGCTCTGATCTCGTTGTGGTCCAGCTTCTCGGTCATCTCGTCAAGCTGTCTCAAGTAGTCAGCTGAGTGTACAGTCAGTATCCACTTATCGTTCACCTCGTCAGGGTCACTCTTGATGACCAGGCGATCGGTCTGCTTGGAAAACTCATTGATGGCACGAATGACCGCGGTCAATCTCTTGGGTGACTCGGGGTGGTCTTCAGGCACAGAGTGATCCAGGCATTGAGAGTGGTAGACTGCGAGCACCTTGCGGTCAACAATGGCCGAGGCATGACCACCAGTTCGTATGCGATTGGACTCATACTTGCTGAGCAGGTCAGTCAGACGCAGTACGAAAGGGTTGGTACTGTCGATGAGTGATTGATCGAGATCGGGATCACCTCGTCTATTGCTGCCCTGGTTCATAGACCTCAGCACATTGTAGGCGAATGACATGCGGTCGGCGTTGCATAGGGTCTGCTGGATGACATCGATGATGTAGTTCTGGATCATTCGTTGATGCTTGTCAATGATGGCCTTCCATGTTTGAATATGGATCGAGTACAACAACTCCATGAGACTCTGTACCTTTTGAACAAAGTTGAGCTCCTTCTGCACGGCTCTGAATCGGCCCTCAATGTTTGTGAGAGTGGACTCTAGGGGTGCCAACGAGTCAAGTATGCGGATGGTCTCATTGCGAGTGTGCTCCATGTTGGTGTCGGATCCTCCTGAAGTTGACGCGGACATTAGATTGTTCAATAAAGTTGGATCATTGAATGAGGCCTCAATTGAGTCCTTCTTGCCTTGTAGTGCATCGCGATGTAGTGTTACCTCCTGGAGGATGGCCTCGAATATCTCTTCCAGGGGTTGGTACCTATCCATGTACTCTAGGAATGATGCCACCTCATTCTCATCAAAGAATACCTCGCCCAATGGCACTAGACTGTCCTCCATCGCAGAGTGATGGCGACTAATGCGCTGATACAGTGTCTGGTAGTTCTTGGCGATGGTAAACAGGGGTCCGTCAATGGCCGACAGCAAGTTCTTGGTGGCAGGGCTGTTGTAATGAGACTCACTGCTGGGTGCGGATAAGATGGTGAAGAAGTGGCACAGACGCACTCGGTTCTCTGCCGAGATCTCGTTGGAGAACACAGACATTGAGTGGATAGCACGCTGCAGACACTCGATGATCGAGTTGGACGGCACGAATGGCGCGCCATGTGCATTGTGGATGGCAAATGGTGATCGTGACCAGGTCTGTGGTGAGTCAGACATGCCGAATGGGTCGGCTAGGGATCTCGTGCCATCCTTGTGAATTGATGATGACTTAGTTCCCGTTGTAGATCGGGACAATGATGATTGTTGTTGATGTTGTTGTTGTTGAGGCGGTTGATTGTTGTTGTTGAATGGTGAAGTTTGGATGTAGGGCAACTTGGATGTTGAATGGGACTGGACCATCTTGGGCTTCGTATTGATGGGTGATGGTGTGTTGACTGTTGGCGAGTTGTTGGTCGATGCCGCCAGGGACTTGGACTGCAGGCGGGTCATTGGACGTCCATGGCTACTCACTGGAACAGACGAGCTGGACATGGACATCTGTTGGACTTGTGATGATGAGTAACTAAGTGGTCTATTGTTGTTGTTGTTGTTGATGATGATGTTGTTATTTCCAGGGCCACCGACCATTACAACAGGCTTGGTGGGTCCAACTCCACCCAAACTAGAGGACTGTGAGAGTGATGGAACAGAGTATGCTGAACAACTCATTGAACGACCTGATGGCACTGCAGACATCATTGATGATGAAGGTGAAGGTGGAGATGACATTGGGGACTCTGGTGGACTCTGGCCAAACAATGAGCTGAATCCAGAGGGTGAGGCACTATTCTGATCGATCACTCTAGATTTCTTGAATGGACGACCTGCACGTGATGCCATCTCCATACTAAGATCCTCTGGTCCACTTCCATATCCAATGTTGGATAAAGTATCAGGGACGATGGGTGGGATGAGTCCTTTGGACTAAGTTGTAATTGATTGATTGAGTGAGTATAATTGAATGAAGTACGTTAACTGACAACTTACAGTCCATTTAGTTCCACAGGTCTTACAACGCCAACGTTGAGCACCTTTGTTTGTCTTTCCTTTGCGCTGGGAGTATAGGACATCTTCGATGCGAGCACAGTGCACTGAACAATGTCCACGTGGTGCCACTTGGCAACAATGAGGCTTGTCTGCCATGTGCACTCGATGTGAGTCACTGGCCATTGCCAGTGTGTGAATTGATGTCATAAGGTCCATAAAGGAGTTATTTGTTGTTGATGTTGGTGGTGTAGGGTCCAGGTTGGGCTTTGGGGCTTGGGGCTTGAGGGCTTAGGCTTTAAGTGATAAGGCCTAATTTGTTTATATGATTGATTGAATGAAGTTGGAGTGATGTGATGTGAAGTGATGCTATGAATAAATAATATATACAATCTGTGGAAGGACTTGGAAAGATAACAAAATCCTCCAAAGATGTGAATTGGTTGTTTGGTTGGTTGGTTGTGATGTCGATTCAATTAAGGCCTTGGGCTCTAACAAGGTCCACAAACTAAACTTGGGCCTATATTAATATTATTAATATTATTAATTGGTATTTAGTTGAGTTGAGTTTAGTTGAGTTGATGAGATTGTTGTTGTTGATTCGAAAGTAGAGTTTGATTGGTGGAGTTACAAAATAATATTATTATTAATAAATGGCTAATGGAAGAATAAAAGTTTGAGAATGAGGCTCACTGTGATGATGATATTATGATTTAGTTATTGATAGGATATGATAGGATAGAAGGAAGTATGAAGGTACTCGAGTAGGAGGCTTAGGAACACAATAGAGGGATTGATTGAAGGCAACGCTGGAGCTCCTTGATCAATGTGGTGTTCTTGTTCTCCTTCTTGTTGTTGTTGTTGTTGTTGTTATTATTGTTGGTGTGTGTGAGTGTGAGTGTGGTGGTTGTAGAGGGAGAGAGATAGAAGGCATTGATGGATGGAAGAGGAGGTATAGAGATAGAGGTACGACATATAATATATATATATATGTACATTCACACGTATTCCAACAACAACAACGTACTAAACAGAGGGTGATTGTGGCGCAGAGGGCATATTGGTGGGGGGTGGATTGATGAACTGATCAGTGCTCGTGTGGTTGGTTGATGTGAGAATGAATGAGTGAGTGCAGAGAGTGTGTTTAGTAAAGGAGCGAGTGGTGTGTGTGTGTTGTTGGACGGATGGATTGATTGATTGATGAGTTGGAGTTGGAGTTGGATAGTACTGAAGGCTTATATTGGCGAGTGCACTAGTACTCACCCTCCCTCTCTCTCCTTCAGTATTTGCCCGGCTATTTATACATTGAATGTAAGATAAGTTTGGAATGTATTGGATGATGATGAAGGCAATGCCAACATTTAACTTGTATATACAATACAAATACAAGTATATATCATATGATACTTAACTTGGTGACAGGGCTCAGTCAGCCCCAGCCATCCTCCTACCTTGCCGACTTACTGGATCGAGAACTGTTTAAGCTTCTCCCAGGTACTAATGTGTGTGGATCTACGAATGGATTGTTAACGTAGAGAGTATTGTTATGATGATGTTGATCATGTTGATCTTGTTGATCATGGTCGGGCAAGGTAGGGTAGGTACTATAATGGACATGATCTGCTTGCAGTTATCCAACTTGCCCACAAAAGAAGGAATCGTCATGGACTTCAATGGTGTGTGTGTGTTGGATTAGGAGAGGGTATGTGTCCATCTTACCTACTTACTTTAGTGAGAAGATAGTATTGATTGACATATGTTATTGTTAGTTAGTTAGACATCTAGGGCAACTACATCCAGTAGGAAGGTCATAGTAAAGTTTTGAAACAGTAGAGTCTAGTATCATCTCCTTATTTATGTTTATAACAATTAGTATACAAACATCCTTGTCGACGCATACTCATGTCGAGATGGGTATATGAAGTGGATAAGCTTCAAAGTTATTGATTTATATTGAGTCATTGTCAAAGTGATTCAAACTAAGAGGTCACACCCCCCCAGCCCACGCTCTTGTCCAAAAGACCAAGACCAAAGTGGATTGAAGCGGTCGACCCCTCTTCGCTTGACAACTCAGAACTACACTTGGAGGACCTAGTGAACGAATTCTCTATCTACCTTGGTGACGATGAGTCCTTCTCTGATGATGATTACTATTGTCCATGTTCATAGTAAAATAAACAGTAAAGACTGATGTGTAGATGCTCCTTGTACTTAAAAAAAGGATAGGAAGAGCTTGAGTGCTGCCTGTATAAAGTAGTTGGCTTCTTCCTCGTACTGAACCAGCTGCCCAGACATCTGGAATTCTAGCTACAAGTACTCTTTATTGTACTGGATGAGCGAGGGAAAGCTGGACGGCGAGGGAGGAGAACTTTGGAAAGAAGTTTGAAGACTTGTGATCGATTCACTTGTGCCCAGCAAGGTCTCTGTTTGGAAGGTAGGCCATTGTGTTTTGAGGTCAAGGACAGTGATTGAGGTGCCAGCACCTATCAGCCAAGTGATGGCGTCTGAGTCCATCAATGTATCCTTTAGAGATAGTGACTTGATGCTATTGTTTGCTGACAGCAGTGCTATGAGACCGTCAGTGCCCAAGTATGGAACACCCTGGATGAAGAGGCTTTTGATATTGGTATTGGCCGCTGCCAGCTCTGCAAAGAACGAATTTCCCTCAATCCTCAGTCCATAGAGATGAAGATAAGTGAGACTCTGGCATCTTGCAATGAGTTGGAAAGTATTCTCCATGTCAAAGAGTTGTTGCGAACTCATGGCTCGGTAGATGTCCATTTGTGGTTGTGAAGGTTGGATCACTTTGAACCTATTTGTTGGCCATCAACTGCTTGTGGATGTAGCCTTGCTTGTGTCGATTGAGATTGGTGCGACCAACCTCGAAGCCGCACTCACATCTTACCTTTTGTTTGATGTATGCTTTGTGTCGCTCTCTGAACCCCGAGTTCTCGTCCCAATAGTACTCTTTGAATAATGACATGTTATATCTGTTAGAGATAAATTGTTTAATTTGAATTTATTTATTTATTTGTTTATGAGTTTCCTAAATGGGAGGAACAGATGCCACATCACCTCCTTCACAACTTTGATGCTCACTCATTCATTATTCACACCACAACATCAACAAATACTACAACCCTCGCCTCATACAACATTTGTCTAACTATTACACTCACACAAACATGGCATCAGTTCAACAACAAGCTATTGAAAGGATCAACCAATCTACATTGTCCACTCCTCAGAGGTTGGCTTGCAAGCAAGCGATTGTTGGAGATGACAACAAAGCAACTCTTATCCTGTCTCTCACCCCTGATGAGCTCTTGGAGTTCTCAAGGTCTCATTGCCCCAGCTCGTAAGTACAACAACATCGGCGCAATGTCTTCATTCAATACTAACATACACTCTCAAGCCGGTGCTGCAGGAGGAGGTGGTGGCCAAGCGCGTAAGTAGAAGTGAGAGCGAGTGATGCGGAAGGGTTGGTATTGAATCTATTCATCAGCCCAATCTCCATACACATTACAGATCAACATGGGCAGACTGCTCCAACCAGGAATGCCAGAGTTAAAGCAGGAGGTATTCGTAGACAGAGAGAGAGAGATCACAACAATGGCACAGCATTGTCTGAAGGTCATAGGCATTGGACGCATGGCTGGTGGCGCTAGAAACAACTATAGTGCTCCAATATTGGTGACTTCACAGATGTGGGGATCAGGCAAGACCCATCTTGGATTACACTTCGTCGACCAGGTTAGGACCGAACAAAACATCAAAGCCGCTGTTTTGGAGATGTATGAAACAATGAGGTTGCCGAACCAGACAAACATCGAGCAAGACTGGGCACGGCTTGTCTCTCTTCCCACCATCTACATCGACATGAGGATGATTTCCTGCCCAATGGATCGTCACTTCTCCAAGGAGGAAAGGCTGTCAGCACTCTGTCAATGCTTGATCACTGTTGGAAGTGGAAGTTACGATCAACAACAGCTCAATCCAACTGTTGTCACGCGGTGCATTCCCCAGAGCTTTGTGCACATTGACGAGATCGATCATATCTTCAACAACTCGAAGGAAACAATGGAGATCATCTGTTATCTCTGGAGCAATCTGTTCCAAGCACTGGCACTTGTTGGCTTTCCTGTCTACATCTCTGGACGCACGTCATCACTCTTGTCGATCAACAAGCACTTGTTTGCTCCCCATCCATCGTCTCCACAGAACTCCGTGATCAGACATATCCTTCTTGGCATGTTCAACAGGGAGCACATTGCTGAATACACAAGAGCGAGAATGGACAAGGACACTCCAGACCAGACAATCACCTCCATCATGGAGGTATGTATCTACATCTTTGCGTTATCTAGTGCTCTCTAAATATAAATCTACAAAGTTGACAGCAGGCGCTCCTCGATTGGTCCAATTCTCTGTGGACCTGATGAAAAAAAACAAGGACGCACCGCTCAACAGTACCAAGCTGAGAGACTACATCAGAGCCGAGGGACACACTGCCCAGCTTGCGCCCTATTTATCATTCGATGAGAACAAGAGGTCATTATACATCTCTCTTTGCCTTGCATCACTCTTCAAGGTTTGAGTGACTTCTTATGCCGAGAGGATTATCAACACTGACTTATCAACAACCCCTTTAGATCCAGGTCAGATTGAATGACGAGCTATTACAGAAGCAACTTTGGGGCTACAAGCACGACTCTGTCGTCAACTATGCTGACCTCCTCCAGTCATTGAATGTCTACATTCAGCCCATTGCCAGTCAGGAAGGTCAAGTCAACATCCAGATCCCCCAGATTTCCATCGACGAGTTAGTTGAGAAATTTCCCAATGAAGCCGGCATCAAAGAGTACTCTGAAATGTGCAACGAGCTAAAGCGACAAACCCAGAACTCCTCAATGCGTGCAACCGGCGAGCCCTTGGAGCTCTCATTTGCCGCGTGCATCATCCTCAAAATGCTACAAGCTCCACAGCACGGAGCACGCTCCTACCATTCCCATCACTGCGCCTCTGCCATTCTTAAAGGTATTTACTCCTGGCTGTTCCAGGATGGCGACGTCTTGTCACCAACTAACGCACGCTAAGGATTCGCTGGCGGAGTCCCTTCTCTTCTACCCCAACACAAATAAGTGCATGGCATTCCCCATCATCAATAGAAGAAACCTTTCATTTGACCAATCAATTGTAGCCAATGTCCTGCAATCCGGCGCCTTTGTTGAACATCAAGATGTCCAAGTCCACTCCGACAAGTTCGGCGCAGTGATCGAAATGTGCCAGCGATGCGTCCTCTACAAGCCTGGCCCCAAGTCAGCCAGCTCAGATTTCTACATGCGACTCGAGGGCGACGTCCTGCTCTCATTCATCATCAAGAACACAATCACCACAAAGCAGCTTGTTGAGGAGATTCAAAAGGCCAACCCCACTGACACTTTACGCTGTGTGTCTGTCGTGGTGTCACCTGCTTGCAACTTGAAGCTGGTGAGACAAGATGAACTTGTAGAGAGAGACGAGTATCTCCTCTTCAAAAATGGTTCCACAATCAACGACACCCAAGTCCCCAGCAACATGCAAGTGGTCATTCTGAAGCCGGCAGCTCTTCAGAACCTCTTCACACCTCAGAACTGGAGGATATTGGCGTCCAAACCATTCGAGATCGAGTTCTTGGCTGTCGACGATGAGAACGAGGACGAGGACGAGGAAGAGGAGGTCGAAGACGACAACAACTTGCAGGATGACGACGAGGACGAGGAAGAGGAGGTCGAAGACGACAACAACATGCAGGATGACGACTGAGTGATATCACCCTGTACATACAACAACCATTGTGGAGAATAAACTGCACACCCTCTGTCTCCAACCACACACCGTCCCACACTCGGTGAACAAACGGTGATAGCTTGGTGAACATCTCTCTGACCAACGTGCTGAGTACACCCCTGGTAACTCTATCGGTCGTGCTGAAACAATACTCCTGGTAACTCTCTTGGGCGTGCAAACTGTTAAAGCGCTAACAAGTACCGAAAGTAGAATTGTTGGTAGAATCGAGGGATCGTCCTTGTATTTATTAAAGGTTATTATTTCTATTATTTTGAACTTCTAAACTCTATTTCTACTACAATTCTACATTGATTAGACAGATACTCTTTTTCCAACGTGCTCACTGCTATGGCGGTGACAGGTACTGAAAGTAGAATTGTAGTAGAATTAGGAAAACGACCTTCTTTAATTAGGATTAAAGTATTTCTAATATTTTGAACTAAAAGTCTCTATTTTTACTACAATTCTACATTATTGATACAGATACCTTTTTTAAAAGAAGAAGAGTGTATAAAACTATAGAGCGGAGAGTTTGGAAGAATGAAATGAAGGAGCGCCTGCTCCGGAATGTTGCGAAGCCAGCGGCGATGAGTTATCCACACACTATGTCAAGGTACTCCAAAGTGACGGGCAACAGAGAGATGTCGTCGTGTCTGCGTCAGGCCAACGAGATGGTCAGATTTTTCACCTGTCGTGGAACAATGGACGCACTGCAGACGGACAAGAGATTGTGAGCTAGGTGACTGATGATGGTATCGTGGTTGCTGTCATCGTGCCATTATAGTCGACCAATTTGAGAGAGGTGAATGTTGCTGGCAATGTACCATCCTCGATGTTGCATGTTTGTCTTGCACTGGTAGCATAGCCACGGTACTTCAATGAGAGCATCTTTAGGTTTTTGTTCGTTGGCAGGATGCCAACAGTTAGGTGCGTGTACACATCGCCCAACTAGAGTGTGTGCAGATCCTCCAGATGAAGGAATGAGTCAACTTGTGTTGAATAAGCGAATTGATATATTGGATCCAATCATGGTTGAGACCTAAGCAGTAGTCGTAGTTTGTGATTATTCTCCTGGTGTGCGGCAAGACATTATTCCAACGCGGAAATTCCCAGGTAATGAAGTTTCCATCCTCGTCCTCGTCAATCCTAATCTTTCAACATTCTTGTATACTCGACAATGGGAATTGTCCAACACACATTGTCTGATCATCGGCAATAGACCTTTATTAGATCTTCCTTGACGGATGACCTCCAGTGTGTCCCATTGTACCTTCCTTCTCAGTATTCTCTGTATGTTGAGTTTGTGTCGTCGATGCCACAACGACCTACAAGTCAACAAAAGTGTTATCATGTCTGTCATGCTCGACAAGATTGGCAATAGTCATCCACACCTCGACATTGAATGGTGATCGTGGTATTATATCTTCATGTTGTGCCATAATCATAATAATAAATTAGTTGTTGGAGCTGTATTTGCTTATATATATATATCAAATGATAAAAATAACGAATGAATAACTGAAGAGATGCCTGCAAGCTTTCCTTCAACTCCAGATCACCGGTGGTGACGTCCAGAATTCTACATGAGGGAACATGGGAAAACGAACGCATCAATATGATGTTCATCTAACATTCTTGTCTTTATTCCTGACATGTGTGATCCGTATGAATGACGAATCCTGTCTGGACAGTGTGTGTGATCACCTGGCGAGTTACCAAACAAATGCCCGCTATGGACCATTCCTTTGAACAGGTAAAAGTCATGTCTGATAGTTCTGTAGTTTTTGCAGCTCCAATTTCATAAACTAATTTGATGTTGTTTGAAGACTTGAACTGATTATTTGTAAAGATAGAGAAGGGTACACATACACATAGTGATGACATCAATCATCAAGTTTACACCATTGTCTGGTGGCGCCAATGAAGATGCACCTCCATGCTACCTATTAGAGATCGATGACTTTGTTATACTACTCGACTGTGGATGGAATCACTCACTCGATATATCACTATTAGAGCCTCTGAAGAAGTATGTCAATATCATACTCTATCATCAACATCACTTACTAACTCAATCAATCACTCACTGACTCAATCATACAGGGTAGCACATAGGATCAATGCAATACTATTATCATATCCTGATGTTGAACATATAGGTGCGTTGCCTTATGCAGTTAGGGAACTGGGACTGACAGGTATGATCTATGGAACAACTCCTGTGTTTAAGATGGGTCAGATGTTCTTGTATGATCTGTACGAGAGTAGGATGGCGCAGGAGGAGTTTGACAAGTTCGATCTGGATGACGTGGACATGTGCTTTGACAAGAAGCGCTTCAAAGAGTTGTCATTCTCGCAGCACTACACATTGGAGCACGCAGACATCACCATCACACCGTACAGCGCCGGCCACATGCTCGGCGGCTCCGTCTGGAAGATCACCAAGGAGACCGATACGATCATCTATGCAATTGACTACAATCATCGTCTGGAGGGACATCTTGAAGGACTCATGCCGACCCTGCAGGGTCCCGATCTGGTCAAGCCGACACATCTCATCACTGACGCAAGGTTTGCGCGTCGTGCTCCCATCTCTATGAAGCGTAACGACAAGGACAAGGCGCTCACCGCTACAATGCTAAAGACTTTGCGCGAAGGTGGCAACGTGCTGATGCCGGTCGATACGGCTGGCCGTGTGCTGGAACTGCTGCAATGTATCGACGCGTTTTGGGCGCAACAGCGACTGGGCAACGCGTACAGCGTCATCTTCCTCAACAACGTCACGTACAATGTTTGCGAGTTTGCCAAGTCACAGCTCGAGTTCATGTCGGCCTCGGCATCGGCCAAGTTTGAGCAGAAGAACGAGAACATCTTTGCCTTCAAGAACATCAAGCTCTGTCACTCAATGAACGATCTCTATTCACTGGCATCACTCACCAAGAACTTTGTCGTGCTGGCTAGTGGCAAGGACCTCGAGGCCGGCTTCTCGCGTGAGCTCTTTGTTCGCTGGTCCAAGGACCCACTCAATCTCATATTGTTCACCGATCTCATGGAGCAAGGCACATTGGGCGCACGTCTCCTCAACAGGCCAGACAAAGTGGTCATCGAACATAGTCAGCGCAAGGAATTGGAGGGCGAAGAACTACTAGTCTACGAGGAGGAGCGACAGCGTGTGCGTGAAGAGCAGCGACAGGCCGAAGAAAAGCTGAGGAAGGAAGAGGAGGAGCGAGCGCGCCAGGCCGAGCTGGACGCAGGCGACATTGAAGAGAAGATCATGGAGATCAATCTCAAGAAGAACCCATTCATCAACAGATTTGATATTAGCCGCGAGCAGTTCAAGCTGGAGGGCTGCCAGCCAATGTTCCCGTTTGTCGACCGCGTGCAAAAGTGCGACGAGTACGGCATGCAAGACGACAGTCTGATGGAACTGGCCAAGAAGCTGAACGCCGAGAACGATCAAGAGATGGTACCGGTCGAGGAGCAGGTGGTCGAGGAGCAGCGACCAAAGAAGATCGTCTCGCAGACGATCACAGTGATGGTGCGATGCAATATCATCAAGATGGACTACGAAGGACATTGTGATGGCAACTCGGTCAAGACGATAATACAAAAGATTGCACCGTCCAAGCTTATTCTGATACGTGGTGACAAGGACAGCATTGATGAGCTAGAGACACACGCCAAGAACAACATGCGACTAAAGGCCAACTATGCGCCAATCAACGAACAGACCATAGACCTAACATCCGAGACCAATGTGTTTAAGGTGGTCTTGAAGGATTCACTCGTAAACTCATTGGCTACATCAAGAGTATGTTAACAACTATCTATCAATCAATCAATCAAACTAACAATATCCAATCAATCAAACAATCAGCTGATGGACTACGATATATCATATGTACAGGCAAGGGTACATGTCAACGAGGATTCAAGGGTACCAGTGTTGGACATTGTTCCAGAAAACGAAGTACTTGCACACAACTCATCATTCATTGGTGATATCAAGATGTCAGAGTTTAAACAACAGTTACTGGATGCTGGATTCCAAGTATGTATCATTCAATCTATCGATCGATAAATCAAACACTAACCTTCACCTACCTACCCCTTACCAGGTTCAATTCGATCAAGGAGTACTGAGCTGTAATGGAATGGTGTATGTGTGGCGAGAGGAAGTGGATGGAAACTCTAGTATCCAAATGGATGGTGTACTCTCCGAGGAGTACTACCATGTCAGAGATCTGTTATATAAACAATTCCAAATACTCTAAGTAGTATATTGGTGTATCCAATCCAACAAGATGGCAAATCAATCATTTCCATTCAATCAATCAATCAATCAAGTTCATTCGTTCGTTCGTTCGATTTGATTTATTGATCATCTATATTTGTTTACATATTCATTGAATGCTAGTTATGTACCATCGTCCAGTGATGAAACTATAGTGTATCAAACAATCAATCAATGATCAAAGAAGTATCGTTAGCCAACATTTTAACATAATAATAAAGAAGAAGAAGAAGTTATACATACTGAAACACTCTGTCAAGAGAGTGAACATTGGTGTCCTGATCATTGATATACTAATTCCGCCATTACTCTTATTGTTTAGATTACTGATTGATGATGATGTTGATGTTGATGATGTTGAAGGTGTCAGTGGTGTACTTGTCAGTGGGTTTATCATTGATGATGTAGCTATTTTAAAGATGTTATTATTTCTATTTGTTATCTGTATCAATTGTCCACCCATCGATGTTGTTGCTGTTGATGATCGACCCACTGTCGATCTAAGTAGCATGTGTCCAAGTGTAGAATATGACCTCATTCTTTATAAACAGTAGTTGTAATATGTAATATGTATGATGTAAGACTTTATGGAGTGTTTATACTACGTAGTATTGTAAGAATCTGATCTGTTAACAAGAATAGACTCAAACAGGTACATGTTGACCGAACGATTCATTCGTCATTCTGATCACACACCAATTTTGATCATTTCGACAACAACTCACCCTTTGAAACTTCAGACCTGAAGTTGGAAATTGAAACTTTGGAAGAAAGAAAAAGGATAGAACAATCATAACAATATATATATTACCATGGTGGCTTAACTTCATTTGACATAACCAAAACAGATAGATAATAGGAAATAATAGGATATAACTCTCTTATTGGATCATGGCAAACACAGGTGGAGATCTTTATCTTTTTGGAAAGTATGAATGATGTTAGAGATTGATTATGAATGATCTTCACTAGCACTGCACTGACTGACTCATTCAACTCATATTTAATAGGAACTCACATGGACAGCTTGGTTTAGAACTATTCAACAGTGATCAAGTTGTTTACGATCAGTAAGCATCACTCACTCAATCCAATCAATCCAATCAATCCAATGAATCAATCCAACTAATATGTAACAAAATACAACAGGGATAACTTCACACCTAAACCAACATTGTTGACAGCCTATCCGAATGTTACACATTTCTCAGCGGGTATCTTACACACTGGATTCATCATGAATGGCTCATTGTACATGTTTGGAAGTAACAGCTTTGGAAAGCTTGGTCTGGGCCACACTGAGGACATCAAGAAACCAAAGAGTGTCTATCTGATCAATGTCAAACAGGTGACATGTGCCAATGAACATACCATGGCATTGACAGAGGAGGGATTCGTCTACTCGTGGGGTCTGGGCACACTTGGACGTCTGGGTGGCTCAGGCACAACCAGATCAGTGCCAGCACGTGTAGCTATGCCGGGCACAATAACTCGCATCTTTGCTGGTGGAGCAAGCTCAGCCGCCATCGCAGTCGACGGACTGCTATACACTTGGGGCTACAACAAGTATGGTCAACTAGGACTTGGCATGGTGAATGAGTTCCGCGAAGCACCAACACTGGTCAAGTTCTTCAACAACGAGGTCAAGATTGTCGATATCTCATTGGGCGATCGCCACATGGCTGGCATTGATAGCGAGGGACTGTTGTACACTTGGGGCTCAAACGCTGAGCTGCAGCTGGGCGATGGTTACGATGACAAGAGCACGCCAACACAAGTCTTGCGTCGCAGTGACATCAGATTCATCAAGGTCAACTGTGGTGGCACATTCACATGCGCAATATCAAACGCGGACGATGACAACAACCTATATCTCTGGGGCACATTTGCAGACTATGCTTCAAACACACCAAAGAAGTTCTTGTCCAAGGTGGAAGATGTCACATGCTCCCACGACTGCAGCAAGAACATCATCGCTGTGCGCAGTACAGGCGAGGTCTACACATTTGGCTGGAGTCGATATGGACAGGCAGGTTCAACAGAGGAGGTTGCACCACTGGCCCGTATGACAAGTATTGTAGCACGACCAAATGTTATATCATGTGGTGGCTATCACTCTGGCTTGCTGTTTATCAGTTTGCCCGACCGTATATTCCAAATGGTACACGATGGTTATTGGCCCAGCAAACCATTGACAGTGGACGTGCTGGAGCATCGCAACTGTGATGGTGACAGCTTGATGCACATCATTGCCAAGAAGCGATTCGATCAGCCACCTCTCATTCAGCAATGCAGTGCACTCATCAACAAGACCAACAAAGAGGGTCGTCCACCATTCTTCTATTATGGCAAGCTGCTCAACTACTGCAAGGACAAGCTGCCATCAATCTTCTTCAAGGATCCAGATGGGCAGACATGTCTTCATTATTATTGCAGGAATGTGTGTACCAGGGAGCAACATCTCACTCAATGGAATCATTCCACTCACTAACTTACTCACTCGATCAATCAGGAAATGTTTGATGATGTCAATGATATCTTGTCGTTTGCTGCCTTTGATGAAAGAGTCAGGGATAATGATGGCAAGAGAGCATTCGACTACATTGACAAATCAGTGTCCTTCAAGATAAAGGTAACACAATCACATGACCTTTGCGATAGCCGCTCATCACTCACTCAATCAATCAAACATTTAGAAAAGGCATAATATATCGGATATTGGTATATTGTATACTAAGGAGGACTCAAACTTGGCAGCAAAGATAAAGAAATCGATTGAGGAGAATGGATATACAGCAGACTATCTAAATGCTACTAGTGGATCAATCACCAAACGATACATTGGATATGTATTCTTGGTATCCCGTCATTCACTGTCAAATACATTGGCCACTGATCTTCTCAAGAATGTCTTGGTCAAGGCACCAATGATATCAATATGGTATGTTGAATCATTCGATCAATCATTCAATCAATCATTACTTACTGACCACATACTATTAGGGCTGAGAAGTTACAGATAACAGACCCAACTCTTGAATCATGTATATATCGATCACAATTGGTGGACTTCTCAAATGAACAACTATATGATAGTTCAGTGTCAGTGTTGATTGAGGGTGTACATAACATCATGGACTTTGTTCCAAAGGAGAAGGAAGTGGAGGACACTGATCTCAAAGTTGATGCAGGTACGTACTCAACAAAACATCCTGGAATGCTCAATCACTTAACTCACTCATTGGAATCAAACAGAGTTCGTAAAGGTTTCTGGCGAAGAGAGTGTATTCCTGAGTTATGATCGAACCAAGAAGGCCAAGTACAAGGAGCTATTCACTTATTTACAGGATAGCAAGATTAAGATTGTTCCAGAGGAGAAGGTATGTTGTTGGGCATCAATCAGACATCCAATTACTGGCACTAACACTATTGATGAATGAATGAATGAATAGGGACTATTATCAAGTTGGGTATTCATTGTGATATTGGACTCTAATGAACTTAGTGCACAAGTTAGAGACGAGATATCATTGGCAGAGAATAGGAACAAGCCTGTACTATCGATCTATTACAATCAAGACTGCAAGTTGAACAAGGCATCACAGTACACATTTGCCAATGCCCCCAAGTTGATATTCGACGAGGAAGGCTTCCAACAACTACTCGGTTTGATCAAGCTACAATACGCATATCTCAATATCTCTGACAAACTATTCAATCTATCGAATCAATAATAATGATGATGGAAGGCACCAGAACATTGATCATCATCATTCCAATCACTAATCTTTGACAAGATTCGTCTTTGATTTAAATATCTTTATGAAAATCCGATTTGGATTGGACACGAGGGGGTGTTTGAGTGTGAATTGGTGAGGTGCGTTCGAATGGAATGAGCGAAGATGGGTGCACCCACTCAATCTTGTGATTGTTCGTTCGCTTTATCGACTCACACATACACACAATCCTATCATTCATTCAAACTACATTGTAGTTACTTTATTACTTATAACTTTATTTATATACTTATATATACTTGTAACAATGGATGACAAAACAAGTCTTATTGTACCAGCATTCAATCAAGAATATGAATCAAACAACAGCATCAAAATGATTGATGAGAATGAGCGTACACCATTGATGGATGACCCTGTCAAGACTGGTGCTCCAGAGGACAAAGTATGATGCATCACTCATTCTCACTCATACTCATTCATACTGACAAACACTCAAACAACGTTTAAATAGTATGGTCTTGCATGGATATGTTGCTCATTCCTTGGACTTGGACTATTGTTCCCATTCAATTGTTATATTGCAGCTTCGGACTTTTACGCTACACTCTATCCAAATGTATCTTATGCATTCTTGATGTCACTGGCCTATAACTTCTTCTCTTGGATTCTGTTGTTTGTATCATTGCGAGTGATGCCCAAGTTCTCATTCAGACTGAGGATCAACACATTCATCATTGGTGGCGCTGCCATACTGTTTGTAATGCCATTCATCCCGTCGATGATCTCACAGGAGACGGGCGCCGTGTCCTTCTCCCTGGTGCTCACCTTCCTCTCTGGCTGTCTGTCGTCACTGCTGTTTGGCAGTGTCATGGGTCTGGTGGCGCTGTTCCCACCTACCTACACTGGATCGGTGATGAGCGGTATTGGTGTGGCAGGTATCTGTGCATCACTCCTGCGTATCATCACCAAGGTAGCCATGCCCAACACCGAGCAAGGTCAAAAAACAAGCAGCTACCTCTACTTCTTCCTTGGCAGTTTCATCCTCCTCACATGTTTCCTCGCATTCCAACTCCTTCTCAGACTTCCAATTACCAAGTATTACATGACAAGTTATGAGGCATCCGTAAGTGTCACATTGACCCATGATCACTCACTCACTCACTAACTTTATCATTCATACAGAGAGCCAAGAATGGATCGATCAATGACAGTACCAACAACACAAAGAATGAGGTACCTTTGAAGCCATTGTTGCTCAAGGTTTGGAAGGAGGCATTCGTTGTCTTTACCGTCTTCTTTACTACTCTATCACTATTCCCAGGTGTCACTGGACTTGTCCAGAATATCGATTCAAACCTTGGACAGGACTGGTTCAACATCATCTTTACAGTATGTTTCGGAAGGATGGATGGACCAATCCAATCAATAACTCATTGATCTACCATACTAACAATCAATCAATCAATCACAGTCATTCTTCATGGTTGGAGACTTTATTGGAAGGACAGCACCAAAGTGGTTCATTTTGTTTAATCCCAACAACCTTTGGATACCAACTGTTGCCAGACTTATATTCTTCCCACTCTTCTCATTATGTGTCAAGCCAGTTGTATTCAAGAGTATCTATATATACTTTACCTTTATGTTCCTGTTCTCATTGACCAATGGATATTGTGGAAGTAAGTTTTATTTAACTTCATATTACTGATTCATATGTGATTGATCACTTCTAACACATCACACTCATAATAGCATTGGCAATGATGTTTGGACCAACGAAAGCAGATGAGCATGAGAAAGAGGTCACCGGCATTGTTATGGTATGTACATCCCTTGATCAATCAATCACATCATTCAATGAATGATACTAACCAATCACAACTCCCATTATTTAGTCATTCTTCCTGAACTTTGGAATATGGGTAGCCACAATGTTTGCATTCCTTCTGAGTTATTTGTTGACAGGATCAACAGGTATCAACTTCTAATCAATCAAACAACGTCAATGTCATTAATAAATAATAAATGAACAATGGTGTGTATTCCAATGGAACAAACGATCTTAGAAAAGATCAAAATACTCCACCTTTTGATCAAAAAATCAGGACCAAAAAGTCTTGGTCTTCCAACACTCAATCAATCATACAATCACACATTTGATCAACATGGATACGACAGGTAAGTACCTATCATAGATGGATCATATATTCATCTGATTGATCACTCACCCCTTCAATCAAACATAAAAGAGTTTAAACTTCCTTTTATAGATATCTCTCCTTTTGTAAACAATCAATCGAATGTAGAGTCTGAGGATCGACAAGAGGTGGCAAGACAGATTAGGAATGCCTGTACAATGCATGGATTCTTTTATGTTGTTAATCATGGTGTTGATATAAAGTTGATTGAACGATTGGATAGTGCCAGTAGACAGTTCTTTGCATTGGACGAGCAGACAAAGATGAAATGGCGCATGGAGCTAGGTGGCAAAGCATGGCGAGGATACTTTCCACTGGGTGGCGAGGTGACCTCTGGCAAACCAGACATGAAAGAGGGTCTCTACCTTGGTCAAGAGTTGGACGTCACACATCCTTTGCCAATGCATGGTCCCAACCTATTTCCAGACACACCAGCAGATTTGAAGAGTCTGGTATTAGAGTACATTGAAAGTGTTACCAAGCTTGGACATTCAATCATGGAGGCTATTGCATTGAGTCTTGGTCTCGATCAATCATACTTTTATAATCTCTACACAAAGAACCCATTAGTACTCTTCAGGTTGTTCAACTACAAGTCACACACCAAGCAAGGTACTGATACTACTCTATGGGGTGTTGGCGAGCATACTGACTATGGCTTGTTGGTAAGTCTCTCACTCATCTATCCCCCAATCACTCAATGCTGACTCTAACTTGTGAACAACTCAGACTATGTTATACCAGGATGATATAGGTGGACTTCAGGTCAAGGTACCAAAGGTAGGATGGGTACCTGCACCTCCAGTACATAACAGTTTCATTTGTAATATAGTATGTTATGCACCAACATCGACCCTCTAGAGTATGTGACTAACATGAATGTATACACTTAGGGAGATATGTTGGATAGGGTATCAGGTGGATTGTATAAATCAACTCCACATAGAGTGGCATTGAATACATCTGGTAGAGATAGATTATCATTCCCCTTATTCTTTGATCCCAACTTTAGTTCAACAGTATATCCAATTCCAGGTATTACAATCAATGACAATGATAACCGATGGGATGACATGAACCTGTTCGACATCAAGGGTACCTATGGCGATTACCTCTTAAACAAAGTTGGAAAAGTGTAAGTATATTCTAGTTCGCAATGAAGCTCGCAAATGAGTGATTCACTCATTCGTTCATTATGTATTATCCCAAAGGTTTCCGCAGTTGTCAAAGACGGCCTTGCCCAATACCGAATGACATGTAATGCCCCCAACAACATCCAGGTGTCTCGTAGTTGGTCGGTGTCAATGGTTTGATCGCCCAAACAACAAACTATCAATTAGAGAGTGGGGCAACACCTGCCCCATCTCGTGGACCGGTGTGTATGTCCAACACGCATCATGTCGCGATCTGGCTCATAATAACAAAAGAAACAATACTCCGACCACCCCTCCCTGGGTCCAGATAACACCCAAAGTTTGTTGTTGTTGGGAAGAACAAACGGAAAACAAAACATGTTTGTGTGAGTGAGCGAGTTGACAGATAGATAGGATTGGAGTGGATGATAAGGCAGGAGTGGGTGGGGAAATGGGGGTGTTTGTCAAGGGTTTGTTTGTTTGTTGTGTCTGTCTCGTGTTTGGATGTCAAATGGGCTATCCTATCCTGAAACAACAACATTCCATGTTCGGTATGAGTCATGTTCCTTTAGTTTAGGTTACAATCTTAGTTGTAGTAGTCGGATCACACACATATATAAACATTTCTTATTCTTTTCTCTCTTATGATTGAGGAATAAGAAGAAGAAGTTGTAGAAGAAGGGAAAGGAACCAATCAATAACAATCAATCAATCAGCTGACTCATCACCCATCATCACCATCTATCCAGCCCATTAAATCAATCATAAGATCAATCTCCAATTCATTCATTTACACATATAATATATATATATATATATAGCAGCGAACTTGGCATTGACATTGACATTGGTCATTGTCATCTGATCGATCAATCAAACATCAAGCCAATCAAGCAACAAACATGCCTGTTTTCAACCTATTCAAGAGCATTGGAGGAGGAGGTAATGTCATTGAATGATTGCGATCAATCTAATCGTCATGCTAACGACAACAACAAATGACAACAGGCAAGAAGACTGTCAAACCATCAAAGTATTATAATGACTTTGAGAACTACTTGAATCAAAGACTGACGAATGAGACATTGAACTTATTGTTTGAATACTTTATACAGACATCGTTGGATCAGTTCTTTAAGGAACATCCATCGCCACAGGCCAAACAGTGTAACTTTGGTGCCAATGGCAACGAATCAATCTTTATAACATGTCAGCAGTGTTGCTCCAAGCTGGAGAACTACTGCATGTGTCTCAAATGCTTTGTCAATGGCCCACACGAGCACTTTGTCGATCACAAGTACTCCATCTACAAGACATCGGCCGTTTGCGATTGTGGCTCGAGCTACATGAGCGCCAACGGTCATTGCTACTGCCATGGCAATCAAAGACCTGTGGCGACAGGTGATCCAGACAGTGCGTCATCATCCTCATCAACACAAACAACATCAACAACATCAACTTTACAATCAACCTTACAATCAAACAATCAACAATCATCTACATCATTGAGCTCAAGTATTAGTAGTACTAGTAGCATCAGCAACAACAATAACAATAATAATAATAATAGCATTGTTGGCAGCGGACCAACATTACATTCACATTCGAGCGACACTAGACTATTCTTCAGACTCCTGGCTCGATATCTTACCGACCTAACTTGCAACAATGCCTTGTTGGAGGACCCCAGCAACAAGTTCATCACATCAAAGATAGACACCATTGTTCAATGGACAGTGGCCACACTCACCAAGTCGTCATCACTGGTCAGCATCGTCTGCGAAGAGTTTGTTGGCCACGTGCTCGACCCTTCGCGCACCTTTCACCAGCACTTCACCGAGCCACCTCAACACCTGCTGCCCATCGTCAATGGACAGACCAGCGCCAAGAAGGTGTCACAGGCCCAGACCAAAGGCCAGCCCTTGGACTACGACACAGCATATCCACGTGACAATCTAAGCAAGCTGTTGGTGTCTGATTGCTACATCAACATCGTATATCCACTGCTGATCCATCTCATCTGCAATGATACGCCGTTCAAGTCCACTTTCATTCGACACTACATCAAACTATACAGCCAATTCTTTATCAATGGACTCAAGAAACAGATCAGCAACTGTTCATGTATCCTCTCTGTCACCTACATTGGTGAGGATGCCATGGTCAGCTACCTCTCACGTGTCGAGGCCGAGTACCAAAGCAACAACATCATCCATGTTCTGTTGACAACAAATGTAAGTCATAACCCAAACACTGGAACTATTCGAATCAGCTAACTCACTCATTCAATCAATTATACAGGTTAAGCTTGTCAATGAGCTGCTCCTCAAGTGCTACGATAGACCAAGACAACAGGAATACATGTTCTGGATGAAGTATGATCTCAACTTGTTGTTGGTCATACTCAAGAATAAGGAGGTGGCATCATTCGTTATGAGTGATCGTGGGTCATTCTTGTTGGATGCCATATTCAACTCAGCAATGGAGATGCATAGATTGAGCTCGTTGGACTCATTACCAAACAACAATATCCTGTCGTTTGTTAATGATATTGAGATCACTATGTGCAAGTTGCTCTCCGTCCTGTTCCAGACCGACACTGACAATGGCAGTGCGAATTGCGAACAACAGTTGACGGCACTCGCGCGCAAGTTTGTCGAGTACTTTGATCACCTGGACGTGGCCAAGTACAGCAGTCACACAGCCTCATCCGAGCAGGTGGTGTTCAGACCGCACTTCCCTGTTTATCGTATGATGGCCTACCTAATGATGAAGAATTGCAGCGCCATCAGTGTTCAATACTTTATCAATCAGCTCACATTCAGTGAGCAATCAGTGCGTACGATGTTGACCACTGTATTGATGTTCCACATGTCTGGATCAACATATGGCAAGCCACAGGCGACAGCATCACAGTTTGGAGAGTACACCACTATGTTGGACCTGTACCTCATTCAACTGGCACTTCTAAAGATTGGTCCAACATCATTCATCCAAACATTCATTGAGTGTATTGGACGTCTACATCGTATGCATCACTCATTCACTCAATCAATCAAACATGCATACTAACTCATCAATCAATCAAACAATAGCATCACAACAATCATTACAAAGGATGCAATATATTATGAATATGTTGGTTTCTGTTATTCAGAATAGACCTACACTCAATCCAAATCAATCGGATATCAAGTACCATTTCATTCAGATACTATCTGTGTCTGATGATATCAAACTGGATCAACTTGGATTCGTGTTTGATCGTACCTCCAACGAGTTGATGTCGTTGGTGCTCTCAGAGATCTCCACCAAGGACAACAGGAAGCGAACGTTGAAGAAGGACTACTGGGACCAGATCGATCCCCATTACATCCATCACAACCCCGAGGTAAAGAAGCGACTGGACGTCAACAAGTTGAGGTACCAGCTGATACCCAACACCGCGCCACTGCCGCCTCTCTGCACCCTGCCACTCAGCAGCGCTTTCATTCACATTGTTGACGTGTGCAACGAGCCGTCCATGTACCAGCTGTTGCTCAAGCTGATGATCGAACGACGATACCCCAACTATAGTCTGGATCAGGCGGACCCTGTCAGGGGCCTGTTCAGAAACTACAACGCTGTCAACGATTGTTTATACATCGTGTGTCTGTCATTGCGCATGTTCAAGGAGTTCACACTGCCATCACTGGACCTTGTGGCCAGCAATACGATCAAGTCATGCGTAGCCCAGTTCGTCGGGACCAAAGAGCGCAGGACAATGGGATCCATGCCACCTTACTGCATCACATCACTTCTTCTCCCCATCACAGTGCATGTCAAGGCAGAGGCAACCACATCATCATCACAATCAAACACGATGGACATCTGCTTGTTGGATACTCTGGTGGACCTGTGGAAGGACACCACCAACTCGATGGACCAGGAGGCCAAGCCATTGCTGCAGCACATCTTCTCAAAGATGTTGGATGTTGACACTCAGTTCCAAGAGTACTTTGCCGCCAACAACATTGGTATCGAGAACAATGCTGAGCAACAGAAGAAGGTTGAGGAGCAGAAGAAGTCAGTCTCGGACAAGAGGAAGCGTCTAATGCTTCAGATGAGACAGCAACAACAGAACTTCTCACCAGAGATCTTCTACGCCAATGTTGCATCAGCCTCCCCTGCTGTGGCCTCTGACCAACCCGCCACAGTAGTTGCCTCACCCGTGCTACTAAGCGCAACACCAACATCAACAACAACAACTCCAACAATCACATCCACATCGACAACATCGACAACGACAACAACGACATCAACAGCCACGACGATGAACAGTCCGACAGTCCCAACCCCGACCATCATCGTGACTATGACTCCCTCAACTTCGATGAACAATATCGCGGCAGCAACAACAATGTTGCCAGACAGTGGAGTCGACACTCATCAGCCATATTTGGACTCATCACCGTTGGCCAAGATGAACGAGGCGCTATGTGTGATTTGTAATTCATGCTCTTCAAAGGATGAGCCACTCTATGCCATTGGAACGATCAACAAGAACCCCCTGCTGCCACATCATCAACGCCAGGAGTTTGAACGATTGATGAACGACACCACCCTGACCTTTGACTACAGAATCAGCTACCAAAATGTCCGCAACCGACTGCTCAAGGACATCAACACTGTGCTACAGTCGACAGAGGGACCCGAGATGATCCGTTCAATGCTGCCCATGGCCTTCCCCTACATCTACCCATCGTACATCACATCGTGCCATCACAACATCCACAAGAACTGCCTTGCCAAGCTGCATCCAAACCACGCCCAATCAGGATTCAAGTGTCCACTATGTTCCAACTACTCCACCACGATCATCCCGCTCACTCACCTTGGCCACTGCAACCAGGCTACCAACAGCCACTTCATTACCTCCCTCGCACTGAAGGACATGAGGCTGATGAAGGCGCCAGTGATTGACAAGTTCGTCTGGAAGTACATCATTCACAACATCGAGACGTTGGAGCTCAAGTCGCGCCAGTACACTCTCTACACCAACGCCAACGACGACCCCTACTACGTGCTGTCGCAGGCCGAGTTTGAGAAGGAGCTGCTCACCCTGTCATTGCTGTTCAACACGGTCATGTCAAATGCCAACCCCTTCACCACGCATCACGACCTCCAGCAGGCCAACAGTCGAATGATCCGTGCCATGGACCCATTCAACCGTCACGCCTTTATTGTGTACCTGCTGCATCATCAGCCACTACCACAACAGTGCAGTGTCGGTGCCATGAACAGTGAGCGTGATCGCCAGATCAAGGAGGACTTGGTGCAGACGATGGAGTCATTCTACAATCAAATCATACTGCATTATATCTTCAAGGAGAAACCATACACCAATGCCGTGGAGTCACTGTATGACATTAAGAAGGCCATACAGAACCATCCATTACTCACGACAAACATCAACAATCTGTTGCCATTCATGAGGAAGATGTACCTATTCTACATGCTCTATGATTGTTTCAAGAAGCATTGTATTGGATCGTCGACGACACCTTCCTCATCATCAGTGAAGAAGAGCCATATTGAGGACATACCTCACACTTTGACATTGGAGCAGTTCTCAAGCATGGATCACATCATGTCTACACTTGGATATCAATCCATTCATCAGTACATCCAAACTGTCAATGTCAAGGAGTTCGAGAGGCAGATGGAGAAGCAGCAATGCTATCCATTCCCCTTGCGTCCATACGACAGTGTGATCAAGTTTATAGACCTTCCTCAAACACACTTTGTAAGTGGTCATCCAGAACCATCCATTCATGTCCAACTCAGTTGACTAACACACTCTCCATTACCTTTCAATTCAAACCAGATGTTCTTAAAGGACATAGTTTACCCAATGGTTTACTGTAGCCAATGCAAGCAGCTCGTCATCAGACTATGTCTATTGTGCAATCACCAACACTGTTCCACCAATGATTGTGACAACAATGCCAAGAATGTAAGTCTTGATCACAGTCACCCAATCAATCAGATCCTGGAATCATTCCACTCACTCAATCAAACATTACAACTTGTAGCACACCAAGAACTGTCCAGCACAAGCATGTGGATTGTTTGTTAGGTATGAGGATCCATCGATATTCATTATGTGGCCAAACCAGACGAGATCATACAAGATATATAGACAACCTGATGGCTACTCAGCTACCTCGACATCCAGCACCTCCGACATTCTCTACACAAAGGGACTAAAAAAGATCTATCGATACTGGATCAAAGGATGCACCACACAGCTGATTGGCAAATAAACTACTCCTTTTATCTATACCATTCTACTCGCTCGCTCGCTCTCAATCCAACATGATCAAACCCTTCTCGTACAGGGCATTGACAATGTCTTTCTTCTGTGAGTCACCCTCGGCTGGCAAGTCCCTCACGTAGATGTACGCGGGGTATGAATCGATTAGATGCTCGATGGCGTCCACGCAGTCAAGAGTGAACTCGATGACACCGGGCTCAGCGCCAACCTGGTGGTAGACTCTAGTGTTGTCCATGTTGTGATAGCACACTGCAATGTCCTCGTGAATGATCCTGATGGCATCTTGACGCACCAGACGCACTCTTGAGTCTATTTTGAGCTCAGCCGCTGCCGACTCGTCTTCGATTGAGTGTTTCTTCTCGTTGGCGGTGAGTGCCGCGGGGAGTGAGTCGTGTAGGAACTTGACGGCCATGAGATCTGCACCAACATCGATGGGCAGACATTGTCCAAGTCGCTCCCACAGCAGGCCAACCTTGTCCAGCAGCTCCTTTCGACGCTCGTCGCCAACCTTGTCCGAGTGCATCACACCCAGGTAGTTGGTGTAGTCACGTGGCAGACCCTCACGGAACTCTACGTACTCCTCATTGGCAATGTCAAGAGCACGAGTCAGTACCTTCTGAATCAGATCGCCCCAAGTATTATTCATATATGTTGAGATTGTAATGTGCAATGAGTGAACATCCTTTGGACTATAAGCTTGATGGATGATACCTCTTGGGAAGTACATCATATCTCCAGCCTCCAAAGTGACCTCTGCGATTGGTTCTCCAATCTCGTCTTGATCAAAGTTCTCTGGATTGGTTGGTGTAGACGTGTAAGTGATCGATCCATCCATCAAATCAATCAATCAATCAAACATACCACTTGACTTCTTTGGTAGGGTCTCTTGCTCTGATCTTGGATTGTAAAGTCTCCAGATCTTCTTGCCCTCGAGTTGCAGGATGAAGACATCGACATCATCGTAGTGTGGGGCGAATCCTTGTGCACCAGCTGGTGTGAGGTAGACATTGGCACCCATTCCACATTGGAAGTGTGTTTGGAGACTGGCAAGTGCACGCCATACATTGATGTTGAACGTCTGTGGGTTGAGCAAACGGACGGAGCATCCCTCCTTGTAGTGCTTCCAAACGGTGGCCGGATAGGCGCGTCCGTCTGGGTTCAGAGTCTGACGCTCGCCATCCACATAGTTGGTGACATCAACATTCTCAGTGAACTTGAGACAGTTGCCACGTAGCATCTTGTCGATAGAGTCCTTGCTAAAGAAGCCCTTGTAGTAGTTTGTGTCGCCACGCTTCACGACCAGATGCTTGACGCCAAAGTAGTCGTCGTAGAACTCGTCCAACGAGATGTTGCCTAACATCCATGCCACGACGCCATCGGCCTCTGCGCGATGGTCCGAGTTGGCGACGTTGGTCTGACCGATCTCCATAAAGTTGATCTTTGACAGTGGTGCCTTTTGCTTTGGCACCAACTGCAGAGGCTTAGATGGCAGTGTCTGAGCATTTGAGTGACCAGTCACCTTTGTGATTGGTTGTGACTTTGTCTTCTTCTTGACCTGCTTCTTCTTCTTCTTTATCTGTTGTGTCTGAGTGTCCTGCTCGTCCATAGACACCTCATCCTCGTCTTCCTCAATAGCTCTCTTCATCTTATATCTATTACTATTTGATAATTAATGTTCGTATTATGAATGAATGTTTGTTCAAAAACACTCGGTCGTTCTTTTAAAAGATTTGTTTAATTAATTTATTGTTTTTGATGTCCACAATAGTTGGGTCTTTGTACTCATTGTTATTCCTGTATTCGTCTAGATCCTTCATGCGAACATTGAGGGTCTTGAACGCTTGTACTGGAGTCATGTACCAGACGTCATGGTAGCCATCATGCTTGTACATGTCGTTGTACCAACACTGGATGAGGTGCTGAGTATCGTTGTCGTACTCCTTGTCATGACTATCATCACCATTGATGTCGCGCACCAACTCAAAGTCTTGTCCGTCCAGTGTCTTGAATCCATTTTGCTCCAGATGGTCTACCAGCTCTGTTCCAATGTGAAGGGTCAGTTTGAATGAAGTCATAGCATGGTTCCATGCATGTACAATACATACCTTTGGTACTGGTGCCTTGTGGTAATCCTATGAACCTGACCATTCCCTCGAACTGTTCTTCGGACAGATTTAACAGCAGTCTGCCAAATCGCTGATCCATGCCCAGGTATCGCTGCTCTGCCTCGCTCAACTTCTCGCTTTCTTCTTCGCATAGCTCTGACAGATCCTCCAGAGGCTCCAAAGATTCCTCTTCGCTCTCGGATGGAGGAGTCGCTACCGCTGGATTGAGGTTAGTGGAAAGTCCAAAGAACGGAATTGACTCGGCCAGTTCTTCATCGCACTTGATCAGGGCTGGTATTATGCTTGACTTTATGTCCTGCCAGTTTGAGGAAGATGGTTAATATCTTTGGCCGGTGACAATGAGAGGAAGCAGTTGGTACTAACCATTCCTCTGAAGAGGTCGTATGTTGATGTGAAGATCTCCTTCAAGACATACTCTGTGATGGCAACCAGATAGATGGCGGTTGTAATGTAGGTCAGTACATCCAGGCCTGCGCCGCTTGTCCATCGTCTGACAATCCACAGAGGGAATGTAGATATTGGGTCACTGCGAAGTCGATGTCTTTCTAGTGCCTCTCTTCCATGTCGGGCAGCCTGTTGTGCCAGCTCCCCAAAGAACAGAGTCCTCAGGCTGTTTCTCAGATGTATACATCGGATGCCTCTTCCTGGATGTTCCTGTAGTTGCTCAGTACTGAGCATCAGGCATTGTGCGTGGCGGAGTAGTCGACTAGCAGTATCTCTGATCATATCGGTGAGCAATGCACGAGCTTCAAGAGTGATGTATGGCTTGTCATTTATGGATCCGTTTTCTCGCTCGTAAACCTGGTCCAACAGCTTGTCATAGAAGTAAAACTCTCTATGATATGGAGTCTTGGCAACACTGAATGCGGTGCCACATATCTTATGTATCTGAACTGTCATGTTGGTCACCAAACCTTGCCAATTCTCAGCTCATAATTGGTAATTGAATAATTGTGTTGTTGGAATAAAATTTAATTAAAATGAAAGAGGAAGAGTGAACATCAACTACTTCTTGTGTGAACTTGTTTTTTTTTAATCACTCATTCATCAATCAAACCAAACACAGAACAGATACATTTAATTAATTATTGTTGTTGTGTTTATTATTCATATTATATATATTACATATATTACATCATCATCATCATAATCATCATAGTTGTAAATAGATTAACAGTACATACATATAGTTAAGAATACAAAACAATGGGACAGGGACAATCATTGGGAAACCCAGAGAAGGATCCAAATAAGAAGGTATATATCATATACACATATATATCATTATATATACTAACATACTTATGAATGATATAGGATCAGAAACAAAAGTATCAACCACCTCCTCCCCCAACTCAAATGGGCAAGAAGAAGAAGAGAAGAGGAGCCGAGGCATCTACAAAGCTCCCAGTCGTTGCACCTCATATCAAGTGCAAGTTAAAGATGCTGCGATTGGAACGTATCAAGGATTATTTGTTGATGGAGCAGGAGTTCTTGCAGAACTATGAGATCGCTCAACCCAAGACTGAAGACACCAAGAACGAGGTGTCTGACGAGAAGATGATCGAAGAGATTCGTGGTGACCCTCTCACCGTTGGTACCATCGAGGAGATCGTCGACGACAACCACGCCATCGTCTCTAGCTCTGTCGGTCCGGAGCATTATGTACGCATCATGTCCTTTGTTGACAAGTCCAAGCTGTTCCTGGGCGCCACCGTACTGCTCCACAATAAGACTCTGTCGGTGGTCGGTGTGATCGACAGTGAGGTCGACCCAATGGTTAATGTGATGAAGGTCGAGAAGGCTCCACTCGAGTCCTACAGCGATATTGGTGGTCTTGAGGCCCAGGTGCAGGAGATGAAGGAGGCCGTCGAGTTGCCACTCACACATCCAGAATACTACGAGGAGATTGGAATCAAGCCACCAAAGGGTGTCATCCTGTACGGTGAGCCTGGTACCGGTAAGACCCTGCTTGCCAAGGCCGTTGCCAACCAAACATCCGCCACCTTCCTTCGTGTGGTCGGTTCCGAACTCATCCAGAAGTATCTTGGTGATGGTCCCAAGCTAGTCAGAGAACTGTTTAGAGTTGCCGAGGAGTTGGCACCATCCATTGTATTTATTGATGAAATCGATGCCGTCGGTACAAAGAGGTAAGTCAACTACAATGACCCGATCAATCATTGCCAGACAATTGTTCTAACTTATATCATTCATCAATCAGATATGATTCACAGTCCGGAGGTGAGAGAGAGATTCAGAGAACTATGCTTGAGCTGTTGAACCAGCTTGATGGTTTCGATTCGAGGTCTGATGTCAAGGTTATCATGGCCACTAATAGAATTGAGACATTGGATCCTGCTTTGATCAGACCAGGTCGTATCGATAGAAAGATTGAGTTCCCTCTGCCAGACATCAAGACCAAGAGAAGAATCTTTGAGATCCACACCAGCAAGATGAACCTAGGCGAGGATGTCAACCTAGAGGAGTTCATCATGTCCAAGGATGAGCTGTCCGGTGCCGACATTAAGGCCATTTGCACAGAGTCTGGTCTGTTGGCTCTCCGTGAGAGAAGAATGAGAGTGACTCACGCCGACTTCAAGAAGGCCAAGGAGAAGGTTTTGTACAGAAAGACTCAAGGTGTTCCAGAGGGTCTATACATGTAAGAGGAGGGTATTTCCACAACAAGAATCAGCTGCGACAATGCAGCACATACAGCATAGCATAGTTATACATAAACATGACACGAGAGCCTTCCAACTAATAGATATGTTTATTAATGATTGATTGACTTGACATGATTGATTAGATACCGAAGTCATGTGTTGTCTTGTCTATGATGGTGGTACACTGCTTCTTGACTGCTTCAACATCGTTGATTGGTGAGAAGCAGACCTTCTCACTGCTGCAGGTGTACAGGGTAGCCTTGCCATATAGCTTGGAGTACTGTGGAAGTGATTTGTTCTGGATGGACTCTTCACCAAAGAAGTCCATATCGGCTGGCTGCTCAGTGTTCTTAAAGAGCAACACCTTGTTTGGTAGATAGAATTGGTGCACAGTGGATAGGATGGCCTTGAAGTCGGCGGAATCCTTCTCGCCCACCAAGGAGAGCGAGTAGTTGGGCTCGAGGTAGGTCATGAGTCCACATACCATCTGAGGGAAGACGATTGGAGCACGGTGTAGATACAGTGAGCATGACTCGAGGGTTAGGCGAGCCTTTTCCTGATAGTCAGGGTTGTACAGCATTGAGGACAATCTCAAGAGGTTGAGACATGAGATTGACTGGCACGATGGCTCAGCGCCATCATGCTCCTCCTTCTGTCTTGACAAAATGCTATTGTCCAGTCCACTGCTTGAGAAGTATCCATGGCCCTCTGTGTCCCAGAACAACTCGTCCTGTTTCTTCTGTAGCTCATAAGCCCATCTCAAGTAGCTAATGTCGCAACTGCTTTCATACATGTCTATGATGGAGGGAAGAGAGATGTCAGTGAATGAGCGCGGAGCTTATAATCATTACTATACATACCAAGCAATGCTTGAATAAAGAATGCATAGTCATCGGCGAAGCCATCAACATTGCTTGGACCCTCGCGATAGTTTCTGATGAGAGTATGCTTCTCTTGATTGTACAGGTTGGTCCTGATGAACTCAATTGCTCGCTTGGCAGCCTCCAGATACTTTGGTTCATCCAGGAGTTGGTAGGCCTTGGCAAAGGCTGATATCATCAGTCCATTCCAGGCAGTGATCACCTTATCGTCAAGGTGAGGTCTTGGTCGTTTGGCTCTCTCAACCAACAACTTGGCCTTTGATCTCTCGACAGAGCTGGTGATCTCCTCCAATGACTGTTTGAACTTATCGGCACACTCTTGGAATGTGTGGAACTGCATCACAATGTTCTTGTCCACAAACTCTGCATGAGGGTCCTCCTCTGCCGACACATTGCCACCACTCTGAATGCCATAGATGTAACTGAATACCTCTGCATCATCCTTCAGAATGTTCTTGATCTCTAACTCTGTCCACACATAGAATGCACCCTCGCCCTTCTCTCCATTCTCCATTAGACTGTCTGCATCCTCTGCACTGTAGAAGCCACCATCTATAGAGCAACATGTGTTAGATTTGCTTGTCGGTCACAATTGATGATATCCAATACTTACCATGATGTGTAAGGTCCTTCAAGACATAGTCCAAGACTCCAGTGGCGACATCTTTGAAGAAGGTGTCCTTTGAGATTTGATAGGCGTCAAGGTAGACTGTGGCGATCTGTCCTTGATCGTAGAGCATCTTCTCAAAGTGTGGCACCTTCCAATCTGGTGTCACAGAGTATCGATGGAATCCTCCTCCCAAGTGATCGTACATTCCACCCATTGCCATCTTTCTCAGAGTGAAGTGCAGCTTGGTGAGCGTGTCATACTGGTCCAATGAGGTGGTAGCGGTACATGACTCTTTGTTGGCTGGATATTGTCTGTACACTCGATGAAGGAAGTTGAATATGGACGTTCGAGGGAACTTGGGAGCGTCGGAGAAGCCGCCAAACTCTGGGTCGAACTGCTCGACCAACTTCTTGTGGCACAAGTCGATCGTATGCTCTGAAAGAGCGACCTCTTTGTTACCCTGTGGCTTCTCCTCCTTTAGGAAGCTGATAAATGTCGCGCCCCTCTCTGTGACCATCTGTCTATTGTTTGTCCAGAGGCTGTTGATCTTCTTACACATGTCAGGGAAGCCTGGTCTTCCATACTTTGCCGCTGGTGCAAAGTCTAAAGTGATTGATCAGAGACAATGTTAGCATTGTTGGCAACCGATTGTGTTGGTTCCGGCAATGTACATACAAGTTCCACCAGTGACGGGCTCCAACTGAGGAGTTAGCCAAACACCTGGAGGTTGAATGAATGAATGAGTGAGTCAATGTACCTCACTAGTGCACTGACAACAAGAATACATACTCATTGGCCATCCTCCATGGCCAGTTGTCTCTGTTATGTAGGTCATGTATATCTTATCAATGTCAGGTCTCTCCTCTCTATCCACCTTGATGTTGACAAACAGTTCGTTCATGACCTTGGCAATGTCTTCACTCTCAAATGATTCTCTCTCCATCACATGACACCAACTGTTATTGTTTGAATGTTAGACAGGATGATGATAACATGTATGAGATGAATGAGATAGTATAGTACTCACTGGCATGTACTATATCCAACACTGAGGAAGATCATCTTGTCCTCTTTCTTTGCCTTCTCGAATGCCTCCTTTCCCCAAGGGAACCAATCTACAGGGTTATGAGCATGTTGTAGAAGATAAGGTGACTTCTCATGTATAAGTCTGTTGGTAAACTTATGATCAGTATGTCCTCCTCCTTGATGTGATGTTTGTGTTGATGTTGACGTTGATATCGTTGTAGTATTGTCCGACATTGTTGAGTAGGTACGTCTTGTTGTTGAATACTTATAACCAAATGTTGATGTAGTTGATGTATTAACTAATGACGATGATGATGATGATGATGTAAATGATATAGATGGCAATGACTTGTTATACAAATAACATGTCCTCAGTGTATTAATGAATGACTTGTTCAACTTCAACATCATTAATGAAACTGGGGATAGAGAGTGAAGTTGACACTTTCATTCATTTCATAACTCTTTGTTGTTGGCTTGTTGTTGAAAAGGGCAATCCTTTATTTGGTAAATATATATATATTTTGGTTGTCCAATCATTCAATCATTTACCTCATCCAGCAGGACTGAATCCTGCTTACCAGACTCCTCTTTCAAACTCTGCTCCAAGAAGAAGAGTCATTGTTATTCTTGAGGGTCATCATCTCCAACACTGAGATAGTAATCCAACATGTAGCCACAGCCCTGCATGTACAACTTGAATGGCTCGATCATGAATGTTGGATTCTCAGCAGTGACCAAAAGGCCACAGTCTGGAACCTGTAGCAGTGTAGCGCTTGATGGATTGAAATGAGAGAATAACTCAACAATATCCTCGGCATCTGTTGCGTCCTTTCCAACGATCACTAGAACCTTGGCTCTGTACATTGTGAGTGTAGAGTAGTGAGTGTTAGTATGGCCAAGTCCAAGTCCAATCAATCAAACATTCGAATGCTTACCTTAGTGCACGTATATCGGACATCTTAATATCCTCTCTCCTATTTGATTGATAACAGTTAGTATGAATATGTATGAATGAATGTGATCAATCAAACAACTTATTAACTTACTTGAGGTATGAATCTATATAATGACACATGTTCTCCATGTTGATATTGGAGACTTCTACCTTGATGGTCTCCATGATGTTTGGGTTGTCTGAATGATAGTGATCGAGTAGGTAGTTGAAGACACTCTGTGGATTCTTTGTCGATGGCATGGTCTTCCAGCCGACCCAATGTTTCATAGTCTCCATCCAACCGAATCCCTTCAGTTCCGATCCAACCAGGATCAATCCGACCACATACTTTGGTTGGAGAATGGCGAATTGGGTCAGAACTGCTCCGCCAACTCCTACTCCAAAGCCAATGAAGTTCTTGACTCTGCCATGATGATTGATCGGTCAGTAAGTGAGTCGGTCTGATGGGACCCAACACGAATAAATATAAATATAAACATACTTAAAGTATTCAAGGACATAGAGTATATCTTTGGCCAACTGAGTGAATGTTGGATAATCATCTTCTGGAATGGTCTCTGCCTTGTATTGGTGTCCAGGGGCCTCGATGTGAATGATGTTCATGAAGGGCAGAGCGGTCTTCATTTTAGGATGTTCAAAGAATGGATTGAAACATGTAATGTCTTATTTCAACGAGTCGAATAATGAATGAAGATTGTTTGTTAGTTGATTGGTGGTCTATTCAATGTTGAATCATGATGTACATACGATTGATTCCAACATCATGATATGTAATTACGAATGGAAGGTTGTTGGAGTGTGCATTCTCAGCCTTTCTGAAGAAGCAAGTGAGTGATTGTCCATCTCTTGTGTTGACCTGATGTCTCACCTCTCCAGTTGTCTGACCATATTCATTCTCAACGTTTATATCTGTTGCATCCATTTTTGTATGTATTGTTTGATTGATTGAGATTGATTGATCGATATATTTGTTGAGATTGTAGTTGTTGTTTGTATTTGGTTTGGTATGTATTGTAACAATGTACTATAACTATATTTATATATATAATGTATATGTAATGTAATGTATTTGTATCAAATCGAAGGTCAAAGAAAGAAAGAGAGATGGGCTATTCAAGCATGCTTGTCAACAACACTGATACTAGAAGGATTGGAGAGAGTGTGAAGATGGCCCGCCGTCATTCAACTTATTGTCATCCTAATCTCACTCCTCAGTGTTGTTCATTCATGTATTCATTCATCCAAGACATGGTTTTTCCCACTTTCATTCACCCCTTGTGGTCATGGTCGAGTGTCAACCACTAGTGTGGGTTAAGTTATTCTTAGTGTTGGATGCCCGACAAACTCTGGACAACTACCGAATTGGGTCAGTATCCTAGAACCCTCTAAATTATTACCTTAAACGGAAGTTTGGCCCGGGCCCGCGTTTTGTCAAACACACCCACCTCACACACTTCACTTCACTTTATCATAACGGGATATGACACATCACATCCGCCACCAAAATGCCATCTAGATCCCCCTTTCACTGTTCGAGCATGACACTGCCCAGCCCCAGGGCCAGCTCTATCGAGTGTGATGGGGATCGAGATCGTACATGTATGGTCCATGGACCGGGTTGTGTTTAGGTTCTAAGCAGTATAACATTTTAGTTATTTCTTCTTTCCGAACTTCTCTGCTTTCTTCTTCTTTGTCAACTTCTTGATGTGCTTTGGTATCTTTGTCTTTCTTCGCTCTCTGTTCTGCTCTTTGACCAACTTCTTTCTGTCCTTCTTGTCCATATCTTCTAGACGTAATGGTTTCTCAGCGCCTGGCTCACCATCTTCAACTTCATCATGATCACTATCATCACTGCTGTCGTCATCATCATCATCGTCGTCATCATCACTATCATCATCGTCTTCACTATCATCATTGCCATTTCCAGCTTCATTATTTCTAATGATCTCTGGTTGATCCAATGTCTTTGTCAATGTGGAACTAAGTCCCATAATAGTGTTGTAAAATATCTATAGATGTTTGATTAGATTGATTAGGAGTTGTCCTTGGATGTCCATCACTTCAAGTGCATCACTTACATCATCTCCAGTCTTTGCTTTGGCCAAGTCACGATCCAGATCAATAATTTGGTCCAGTGTCCTAGGAATGTATGCATTCCTGAACACCTCCTCCTTGATCTTATCCTCGTTACTCAGATCACCTCTATCCATGATCCTCTTTTGTACCTGTTTGATGATTGATAAAGTGATTGTAACATGTTAGCTCTTGGTCCAAGAGTCCAAATGGTCCAATGGTATTGAGAGAGGGACACATACAGCATCCAAATATTCATCGATATTGTCATCATTGATTGATAGATCGGTAACAAACTCAAACAACTCTTGAGTGAGCATTGTGTGTACACCAGACTTGCGGAAGAAGTCGGTCATGTTGACACAGTCCATGCGAAGGAACTCCAGTGAGTGGGGATGATCGTGCTCGACAGACTGTGACACATCGATGATGAACAGACCACCCTTGTAGTAGAGGATGTTGTACTCGCTCAGATCGGCGTGCACCAGACGACATTTGTGGTAGAGCGTGCGCATCAGTTTGATGGCGTCCAGGTACAGCTCGTGGTATCGCTCGTCCGAGACGACGGCGTCCTTTAGACGGGGTGCGGCGTATCCGTCCTTTCCAATAAAGTTCATGATGAGGATGTGATTGCGCAGGACCAGGGGAGTCGGACAGGGGATGCCGGCAGCCTTCAGACGCATCAGATTACGATACTCCTTCTCGGCCCACACCTTGACCATCTTTCTCGGATTGCTCTTGCTGTAGCCACGACGGAAACGGAACTCGCCCGTCACATATCTGTCACGATCCTTGAACACCAAGATACTTGTCTTGTACACCTTGATGGCTCTCTCCTCGCCCGTAGCCGTCACGGCATGATAAACATTCGCCTCCTTTCCAGTGCTCACACAACCATTGATCTCACTAATAACTCCCTTATTGATCATCTTGAACAACATCAATCTTGTCCTTGGGTCCAGTACCTGTTCAGTTGTCGCTCTATTCTCCTTATCAGCAATCCTTATACTGTTGTTTGATTGATCAGATGATGGGTGAGTGAACATGTACCGTGAATGTCCAATACTTTGATGTGACTTACCCTTGCTTGTCATCCTTCTTTTTGATCTCGCGCACTTCGTTGGACACGGTGTTTGGTAGACTGCGATGTGAGTCGTCGTCGATGATACGTCTCATTTGACCGAGATTGATCTTGTTCTGATACTTTTGCTCCAACATATTATTCTTTGGTTGTAATGTTTTGTTGCCCAATGCTGATCGTTCATGTAGTATTGCATCCTCATCCTCGTCAGAGTCAAAGTAATCGTCATCATCATCATAATCTTCATCGTCATCATAATATTCTCCATCTTCGTCATAATATTCATCATTATCTTGTTGTTGATGTTGTGAAGTTGATGTTGAAGTTGAAGTTGCAGCATTCTCCAATGCTACCACTGCTGTAGAGTTATCTAAACTCTTCTTGTTATTGTTTTCTAATTCCATGTTTGAAACTTTAGACGAATGAAAAAAAGACGAGTGTCCATTTGTTGTTTTATCTCAATGTGTGTGAGAATAAAGATAGAACTTTTGTTTCAATCTTAATAATGAGAAATAATAAGTTTTGAGATTGAATGTCAATCAATCAATATGTTAGAGAGGCACCTGCCAGGTGTTATCCAATCACTACCGACCAGTTTCCACGTTTGGAAAAGTAAGATCACCAACCTCTTAGATTAAGGGATTGGAAGCTGGTAATGGTAAGTTATCAAAGAACAGATAGATATATAAATATATATATATATATAAATATATGAATAAATATATGTATATACAAGAATGTAAATATCTGAATAGAACAATTATTTTATTTTATTTTATTCACAAGATGGAAATCAGATTGAAGTTTCGTGCCCTTTCACAGAGGACCTCACTTCACTCGATCAATTTCCAATTCAAACTCTGATAGTTGTAAACTACAAACAATAGAACATGTCATCATCAACTTCACTGCCATTATTCGATGGACGTAAGTATCAATCTATCAACCATTCAACAACTAAAGACAACACAACTCTAACCCATCTGTTGCATCTATTGTCTCTCTAGACTCTGGAAAGTATGACAACAAGACCTTTTGGGGAAGGTTCCAAAACTTCAGGGATGTCACTGATCCAAGGTAAGCTTGATCCTGCTCTGTGTGGATACACAGTGATCAGTCAATCGATGTTCAGTGAGTTGACCATTCCATCCCCCCAACACTCAAGGTCGATGTTCATTACAGATGCAGAGTTGCAGAGTTCTGTTGACCTGATCGATCGATTCAAACAAGGAAAGATTGATCCTGTCTCCAACGGTGAGGCACTCTGGAGGGCAAAGAAAGGTATGCACTCGTCATCATTCATTCATTCAATCAATTGATCACTGACTCTATGTCACGCAATCACTCAACAACAACAACAACAGTCATGGATGCAACTATACATCCAGACACTGGTAAATCGATACCCCTCCCATTCAGAATGTGCTCATTCCTACCGATCAATGTTGTTATTTGTGCTGGTCTCATCCTTCCCAATGCATCAGTAAGTTATGTGACGATCACTTACATTACATCAATGGCTAACAACATCGGTCACTCAATCACTCAATCAATCATTCATTAGGTTGGAACAACGATCTTCTGGCAATGGATCAATCAATCATACAACATAGCACTCAATCATTCAAATAGGAATGCAAGCAACACAATGTCCAATCAGCAGGTATTGAGTATGTATCAGCTCGTCCATCCATCCATCCCAAGTATGCATCAAACACTTACACATCCCCATCGCTCCAACTTCAGCCGCCTACTCCACTGCCGTGGCTATATCATGTTCGTTGGCCGTTGGTCTTGGACATGTTGTCAACAAGCTGAAAATACCCAATGCAGCCATTCACAGTGGTCTAAAGACCCTGGTACCATTCACCGCTGTCACCTCTGCTGGTGTTGCCAACGTGTTGGTCATGAGAGGAAATGAGATGAAGTAAGTGATGCACGCATTCGTCAATCTTATCCTTCGTCACGTCATCCACTCACACTCAATCACTCGCTCTCACTCAATCAAGGGATGGCATTGATGTCAAGGATAAATATGGAGACGTTCATGGAAAGAGCAAGGTGGCTGGAAAGCTGGCGGTGTATAAGGTGGCATTCTCTCGCGCTGTCACATCATTCCCGGCATTGATCTTGCCAAACATTGTGATGAGCTTTGTCGAGAAGCTCTCATTCGTCCAACGATACCCCAAGGTCAAGATGCCCATCAATCTCGCTGTTATTGCCGCCATCTTCAACAGTTCTTTGCCCGCGGCCATTGCCATGTTCCCTCAAGAGTCCACCATTGATGCTGGCGACCTCGAACCAGAGTTCCGCGGTCTGAAAGACAGGGATGGTCAGCCCATCCAAGAGTACATCTATAACAAGGGATTGTAATAACCTCGCACCTACTAGTACTAATACTAATACTTCTTTCTATACGCATGCGTGCGTGTAATAAACTGTGTTTGACACAGCAAAGCATGACGAATGCAAGCAATGAATTTCATTGGACTTCCGCACTTCCACACTTCAGTCGACTTTTGAGCGTTCATCGTAATAACTCCAGATGTACTCATTCATTCATTCACAGAGATACATACTTATAGATATAGACATATATACAATCATGATACTGTCATCACTTCTCAACAACTCATTTAGACAACATGGCAACAAGATTGTAAAGTCATTTGAATACATGACACGTGTCTCATTGACTGGATCACAACATCATGCTCGATATATTACATCATCATCATCAACAACATCAAATATATACAGAACAACACATGGACAGACACTATTATATACACAGCAACAACAGAAACAGACTCAACCATTCAATAGTGGGAGACGATGCAGTTGCCTTGGATCTCGACACTTCTGCACCGACTCAACAACAACACATAAATCAATCAATGATCAAGTGGAGGCTTTAAAGAAACAACAACAACAGCAAGAACAACAGAAAGATCAACAACATAGTGTCAAGGTATCAAGCGAGCCAACACCTGCAGAGGTGGACATTCACAACAAAGACGAAACAGAGGTGGAGCAACAAGTCAATAGTCAAGGTGTTCGAATTGAGCCTCAGTATTATATAGAGTTCACATGTACGCACCAACCGCATGGCGCGAGCGAGGAGTGTGGCTTCCGATCCAAGAAGACATTCTCCAAGCATTCCTATCACAAGGGAGTGGTCATCATCCGATGCGAAGGCTGTAAGAAGTATCGTATGTATCATACTCTCTCCTGGTTGGCAAAGTAAGGTCTAATCAATTGATCGTTCGTTCATACATCTAGATTTGATTGCCGACCATCTAGGATGGACAGGTTATGGTGGAGGAAAGACCATCGAGGATTTCATGGCTGAGAAGGGCGACACTGTCAAGAGATACATGGTGGAGAAGGATGATGAAGTGGAGCCATCAAACAAAGACAGCCCAATCAAGTCGATCAGTGGAAACAACAATGAAAACAACAAGAAATAGGTTGCATTGTAGTATTACTTGCTCGCTAGATTGATCGATAGGGTATCCCTCTTTTAGTCAAAAGTTACATTCTCTCTCTCATTGTTGTTGTTGTTGTTATCTCTATATATCACATGCGATTCGATCGATCAGAACGGCAGCTCACTACCTGCGTCCGTCTTGTTAAGGAACCTGTTCACTGCTGGATGATTCAGAATGCTTCCAATGATTGGCAGCTTCCTAAGAATGGCGATTACAATTGGGAAGGCATCACTTTATAGTTTGATTAGAGTCAGTAAAGGTTATGTTGTTGTTGTTGCTAACAATGAATGAATGAACATACCCAAACAGATTGATGAAACCGAATCCTTCGATGGCCAGACCAACGATGGTCCTGCCCATGATGACCAGGAGAATGCCCAAGAAGAAACAAATGGTTCCCTTGATCTTCTTCTTTTGGAAGAAGAATGTGTAAGTTCTACCAAAGCCTAGACCCAATGCAATACCTGCAAGGAATAGTAACTGTGATCGTTGTGTTGTTGTAAGGTGTTAGCAATCATGTCATCCTGTTCCCTATATTCATTCATTGATTCAATCATACATTTCCAATGGCCAATAGACCTCTATCAAGGAACATCAGGAATCCAAACACTGTGAAGAAGATACCCATCGCAGAGAGCATAACTCCAATCTCTACATGTTCATTTGAAAGGACATATCATTAGTTGTTGGTGTTGTCATTGTTTCAAGCTACACATGATCCATACTCTGTTGATCTGTCAGAACCATTTCTTATTGTTGTATATATATATATGTATTATCTATGTTTGATTAATGAATGAATGAATGCTGAGACGAATGAGTGAATGTTAACATTGAGCTCAGAGTTGTGTGTGTGTGTTCAGGTGGGGGATGAGTCAGAGAGTTCAAGTTCAAAAGTGACTTGCAACGTTTCGCGCCAAGTTGGATGGAGGTGGTCAACTCTTGGATTGATGGGATTGAGTGGATCTCAATATTGGATGTCCATCAAAAGTCCTGTTTATTACTTTACTTTATACAAATAATAATGAAGGTACCCTAATGTTACATGCTTCCATCAACAAGGAGTGTGGGTGGAGTTGCACTTTGTTCTTCCAACGAGTCTTGGACTTGTTGGTCGTCACTAGGAATTATTTGTGTGGCCTCCTCAGATTCATGATGATGGTGTTGCTCTTGATCGACATTTTCGTGTTCATGTTGTTGTTGTTCGTCTAGATGCTGATGATGTTCACTATATTCGCTCGGCAGTGTTGGATCAACTTCATAATGAACCTCACTATCATCAATTGGCAGTGTTGGCATCAGTTCATCTGGTGTTGCCTCGATATGTGTATGATGCTCATCATTATGTTGCTCCATGTGTTCGTGGCTGTGATGTTGTTGTTGTTGATGTTGGTCGTCTTGTTGGTGAACATGATGATGCTCATCACCTTGTTCGATATGATGATGGTGATGGTGATGATGGTGTTGTTGATGTTGCTGATGTTGATCATCATGTATCAGTTCATCATGATGGTGATGATGATGATGATGGTAGTGATGTCCATCATTGTGCTCTTGGCCATCACTATTTGAATTGGCAACAGCTGATGTATATTCATCAGCTGGCAATGTAGCTGGTGTTTGTTCATATGAATTTGATTCCACAATAAGTGTGGCGGGTGTAGGGCTGACTGTTGATGTCTCCATGTTGTCATTGTTGTTGTTATCGTTGTTGCTGTTGTTGTCGCCTTCGAATGTTTGTTCCTCCTCTGTATGATGGTGATGATGATGACTATGATGACCATGATGTTGCTGCTCATGATGCTGATGCTCCTCAACATCTTTATCAGGTATCTCCATTTGTTTGTCATTGTCATTGTCATTGCCACCATCATTATCATTGCCATTACCATTGTCAATGTCATTGTCATATTGCTTTGCTTGATGATGTTGTACATTCTCAGAGGATGTTGATGGAGATGTTGTTGAGCTCCTCTGCTTCTTCTCGTGGTTGAATAGGTCCAACAGATCATCTTGTGAGTCTGTATTCTGCTTTGATGATGGTGCTCGTTGCTTGCGCTTCTTCTGCTTTGAATCATTGTTGGTGACAGTCGCCGCCTGGCCACCTGACGTCGACGATGAGTTGAATACACAAGGACTGTTCTTGATGGCTGTTGACTCAATCTCTGCATGGAGATAATAGGCACCATTGTGCGTTGGGAAGAATGACACGCCAAGTATACCCGGCCCCACAACATAGATATATGCAGGATGTGGACCGGGAACGGGTTGCGGGCCTTCCAGGTAGATCTGAATGGGATGCGATGAGACTGGTCCGTAGCCACTGTGACTAGAGGTGGTTGTTGTTTGAACTGGGTTGTCCAGTGCGTCGCGAAGATGTACATGAGCCGACATGACGCGTCCAGTTGTGATGGATAGCGGGGCAGTAAGCGAGAGGAATGTCATTTGAGGTGAGATTCGATTGAGTGCAGGGTCATTGTTGAGTCCATCTCCCGCAGAGCTCCTGCCCAACTTTTGTGTTGGTGATGGTGACGTTGATGAGGGTCGCACGCGACTGGGTGTGTCCACGTCTTGATTCGTCTTGTTTGTCGGTGACACGTTCTGACGATGAGGGGAAGGAGTCGTACCCATGTTGCGAAGTATTGATCGATTGCTTGATCGATTGATTGATGGCGCACCAATGTCATTGTCATTGTTATCGCTGTTGCTCCTGCTTCCGCTACTGTTGCTTACCCTGTCTGCACTTGAACGACCTACTGAAGAAGCAGGTTTGGAGTTTGAAGTGGTCGATGTGATAAAGGTGCCATTGATATCATGATCGCGATAAACCTGTTTGTGTTGCGTTGAATCCTCATCAGTGTCGTCATCATCCTCATTGTTGTCTGCTGCATCATCTGTCGTCTGCTGATGTTGCTGTGTTGGTGATGTTGTATTGGTATTGGAGAATGTCGTGCTGAATGACATTGCTCGGACCTTTGGCCTATAGACCATCGATGAGACAAAGTATTGATAGACAGGTGGTACAGTGGCCAACAACAATGGGAAGTTGACCCTACTCAACAAGTCTACATAGTCGAATGCATCCTTGCATATTATACACACTGGACACGACCAGTTCTTCTCTTTGATCCACTCAAAGAAGTTCTATATGATGAGGAATGAGTGAGTGATCGATCAATGAATCAGTCGTTGTTTGTCATGATGAACATACATAGCATGCCTCATAGTCAACCTCTTTGTCAATGACTATTCTAAAGTGTGATGGAGGTATGTTCATCAAGTGACTGTTGGACACTATGAATTGGAATGCCTCAGCAGTGTTGAGCTTGATGATCATCTTGAGACGACCTCCACACTCCAGTGATTGTTGCTGAGTCGACAGTCCAATCCACAATACAGTAGCCTCACACTTGTCATAATCTGCAGTCTGTTGCTCGCGCAATGACAACATTATAAGCATCGATGACAACTTTATCAAGTCGCTACCAATGTTTGATTGATTGAGTGTCAGTATGAGTGTCAGTGATAATGAGTGTCAGTTAGACATGCTGGGTAAGTGAGACCATACCCTATTGCTTCCTTTAGTATATCATTCTTTTGTTGTTGTTTGCCCTTCCCAACTGGCTTCCTCTTCTTTATCAGCTTGCTCATTATCGTCTTGAGACCATACTGATGCATCATCGATTGAATATGTGATACATTATTATCAATAGTCTCTATTAGTTGATCATCTGGAGCAGTGTGACATTGTTAGTATCCACGTCACAATGGTGGCATCTATTAGACATACTTGTTGAGTCATCTTCTGTTGTGTTAACCTGGGTATTCAGATCATTCATTAAGCTAGTGATTGACTCTGTTAAATTGGCATCAATAGTTGACACTGTCCTCATTGACTCGACCAACGAGTTAAGTGACAAAGATAGTGTCGGTATACTATCCATCATTATCTCTCATGAATCTGTGTATTTGTTTGATCAAACGAATGAATGAGAGAGTGAGTGTGTTGTGGAGTCAAATGATTGAGTGGACCTCAGTAACTTCAAAGATGGGCATAATGAGGGAATCTGGATTAACAGATGACTTTAAATCATTTATTGATTATGGGCAACAACCCAACTACTTGACTACAACACCAACACCATAGTGAGTGTTACTCATCTGGACGAGTCCATCCTCAACTATTGAGAATCCACCTGTGAATAGTTGTGATTGATCATCCACTAATAGACCACCATCAAGGTCACCTCCATAATCTGATAGTATTGCCAATAGATGTGCCGCTGCATTACTATTCAAAGATGATCCGACCATTGAACCAATCCAAACCTTCATACCAAGATCCCTAGCCTTTGTAATTGCTATCAACGCCTCCCTAACACCTCCAGTCTTCTCCAACTTGATGTTCACTCCATGTGCAATATCCTAAACATATTAATTAATACCATGTCACTCAATCAATCATTCAATCAATTCGATCACTTACAATTAAGTTATCAATGTCATCTGCGTTGCAAACTGATTCATCTGCGAATATGACTAGACCATGCCTGTGGTACTCCTCCTTGATGTGGACCCATTGTTGAATAACTGGATCGTCTTTGATTGATTGATTACCCTTGGTTGTCTCAACCGGGAATGGTTGCTCAATCATTGATATAATGTTGGTGAGTGTTGAGAGATATGGAAGATACTTGAGGGCAATCTCCGGTGTCCATGATGAATTGGCATCGATTGATATCTTTGTAATTGGTTTGTTGATTGATTGACAAAGTTCCAATATTGTCTTTACAATCAATACTCCACGATCAAAGTCAGAGTCCAACTTGATCTTAATATATCTCGTATACTTTAGACCAAATTCCAAACAATCAATTATCTGTTCCATTGTTGGGCACAATGATACAGTATAATAGAATGGTAGTTCCTTGCACTCCACTGATGATGACACTAGTTTGTATAACTACATGATAAAGTTAGTATTCAAGTTTGATCAATGTCATGTGATTGATCACACACTGGCATTTTGAGATGTTTGGACCAACAATCAAGTATGGCTGTTTCGATGCATGACCTGGCAGCGAATGAGTAGTCCTTGGTATTCTTGCTACATTTGTCCAATCTTTCCAAGAGGTATATGAATGGACTTTGATTGATTGTTGTGGTTGTTGTTTCAGATCGAACTGATTGGAAGTAGTGTGATGGTAGTTTGGAGAATGGATCGTATAAAGTTGTAGTTGTTGTTGAAGCTATATCTGGTATGTTGGTTGTAACATTGCCAAACAACTTTAGTTCTTCAAAGTATGTTTGACAATAATCTACTATGTCATTGTAATCTGCAAAGTAACAGAGAGGCTTCTTTGGAGGGACTCCACATTCACCATATCCAAAGACACCATTAACAGTGATTGTTATAAGTGCATTGTTTCTAACTGTTGTCAATGAATGAGCAGTACTAATAATGTTTGTTTGGTTAAACCTCAGTCAATCAAACAAAGTTTGTATAACTATATTGCTTACCCGAATGGATTTCTCAAGTTCAATCTATAAGGACTAAGAACAATCTTGATTATATCATCTAGATTATATCTTAAACTGACTTCCATTGTATTATTTATGTTTGTTTATATGTATATATGTTTGAACAGGTCTACTACTTCAGATCAAAGTAACAAGTAGTCGAGAGAGCACAGCTCATTCGAATCAAAGGTCATCCATCATCTTACAAAATATCTGAACTTTTAGATATTTTCATCAGATTCATTTAGTCCAATTCAGAACATTAGTTCCTCATTACCTATTTCTCCACCTCTATCTCTATCCTCTATCTCTATCTCTATCTCTATCTCCACATACTATCACTCATTGATACATGTCATTGTATACCCCCAACAAGTGTTTGATTGATTGACATTCATTGTGGTTGTTCAATTCAGATGACACCTGTGGTGTGCTTCTCGCTCACATGTACAACACAACTCAACAACACCAACAACACAAATAATAAAACACACGTTGAAATGGATAGAGAGTGGTGGGCGAAAGAGATAGAGATACCAAGAGGCCGCTTAATACTTTGAAACAACATCATATATCCTGGCCTCGCCTCATAAATGCCAATATACCTTATTCCAATTGAGTTCGTTGTACAACGAGAATTAATTAAACGTATTACAGTCGCCTCAAATTAACTCCTGATGCCCTACCCCGGACTACCTTACCCTACCAACGTCAACTCTGATTGGTTGTGTAATCCTTACATATTCCTGTTGTATATGATTCCGTCGATTGACTTTACAATCAGACATTTAAACATTATCCCTTTATATCCAACTGGTACTCAATCCATACCTATTTAAAGGCAATGAATTCATTCTAAATCCATCATCAAATCAATCAATATCAATCAAACAATATCAATCAATCAATCAAACAATCAAACTAACAATGAATATCAAACTTATTATTATTTCCACCCTTGTTGTACTTTGTGCAGCACATGTCACCTTTGGAGCCAACCTTGATTCCTTCCCATTCGACCTGACCCAGACCAAGACCGCAACATGGAATGATGGTGAAAAGACATTCTCAACATTTGATTGCCAACTCATTAACTTGTCGACACAGACCGTATCGCTGACCGAGATCACCGCCAGTAAGGCACCAGTAGCCGTATGGGGTGCTCTGTCCTACTCTGCCACCACCAAGTTCCCCGTTCAATCGTGGGCTCAATCCATCAGTCCAAATGGTACCGTCAACTTTGGATATCTCGTAGACTGTGCAGGTGCCATCAGCTGGTCATGGTGCAACCACAATGACGTCTAAGTCATGTGTCCAAGGATTGTATTAATACTATCAAATAAACTTATATTCTTATTCAATCACATTCAATCAATCTTGAGTGAACACTACATTCTGATCATATGATTTGGTTGATTGAAGTGTCAACTGATGACCAGTGAGTGAACGAATGACATGTGTGACAAAATGAATGTCTACCCAGCCCTGGGTCACACTCAACTTTTGATTTGAAATATCACAATAATGAAAAAAATAAAATCAAATTGTTTATTTTTAATGCTTGATACTGTTTTTCAGCAGAGATAGAGAAGGAAGAATGAGGTGTGTGTGGGTGAAAGGAGAGCTCTCATCCCCACTCACACACACTACCCAGACTGACACTCAACAAAGATCCTCATTCATTCGTCGACTTTAGAAATCACTCAACTCACAGTCAGTCTTCATCATCCATCATCTCCACTTATTATTATTATCTATTTTATTACATATTATATATTACATATATCATCAACAAGGATGTCTTCTGAAAGTCAAGTGTCGTGGTTGATCTCAGCACCAAACAGATCGGTCGGTGATGTCTTTGACATTGTCAACACCAAGACTGCCAAGGAGGCCAACCTCTCTGTGAACATCAAGTTCAATGTATGATCGCGATCAGCACAGGTGGAAGACGAGAATGAATGAGCGAGCGATGTCGATGAGAAGCAGGATGATCGATCAGGAACAACACACTAACACCTTGTTGTTGATGTTGTATTAGATTCCAGCACTCAGAGTAGGAACACTTAACTCTTTGATCACACTCAATGATGAGTTGCAAAAGATTGATGCTTTTGTAGAGTTGACTTCAAAGAGAATCAGCAAGCAGTTGTCGGATCTCTCTGGTGCCAAGCCAACCAAGGAGAAGTCCATCTCGATCAATGGTCACACCATTCCACAGTACCTCAACCAGTTCAAGTGGGACGATGCCAAGTACAACCCCAAGTCATCGCTGCAAGAGATCGTCGACAAGATATTCAATGTATGTTTGACCTGTCACATCCAGAGTCTCTGGATCATGGAATATATACCTAACCTAACCAATGGCACGTGATGCCATCAACTCCAAACAGACAGTGACCAAGTTGGATGAGGACCTCAAGACCAAGACTGGAGAGTTCAACACTTTGAACTCTGCTCTTCAGGCTGAGGAGAAGAAGTTGATGTAAGTGGAGATGAGACGCACGTCATCAAGATTAGCTAGCTAACACCAATGAATGAATGGGATGACATACACACATATTACAGGGGCAACCTCCAGGTTAAGACATTGACAAACGTTGTAGCACCAGAGATGAACGTTCAAACCGAATACTTGACCACCGCCTTTATCGTCGTTCCACTTAACAATGAGAACGACTTCCTGACTCACTATGAGTGCTTCGATGAGAAGGTCGCCGATGAGAACTTCAAATACGTTCTCTTCAGATCTGCCAAGTATGTTTAATCACATGAGTGGCCGACTGACTGGCACTGATCACTAACATTATCATCATAACCGCCAACCAACAACAGGAGGATAGAGGCTGACAACGAGTATGTCCTCTATTCAGTATGTGTATTTAAACGATTTTATGAGAACTTCAAGCAGAGGTGCTCCGAGAGAAAGTATGCATCATCCAATCAATCAATCAATCAATCAATGATGTTGGGACCATTCATCAAACTAACAATCAATCAAATCAAACTAGGTGGTACTTGAGAGACTACAAAGCAGAGACTGACAACAAGCCAAGTCAAGATAGATCCAAGCTTACTGAGGATCAGAGGAACTACAAGGCATCGTTCATGAGATGGTGCCGTCTGAATTTCCCAGAGTCGTTCATGGCTTGGATCCATTTGAAGGTGTTGAGGATATTCGTCGAGTCTGTACTTCGCTTTGGCATTCCAATCAACTTCCAGGCGATCCTGATGAGACCCGTCAAGAAGGAGGACAAGAGACTCAGAGATATACTGTACAACGAATTCAAGTATCTGGGAGCACAGCACACCAGCTCCAAGGGAGAGGAGGAGAGCTCAGAGAAGTTTTATCCATACGTCTACATCCCAATCGACTGGGAGCTATAAGTGCAGTGTCTTGTCAGGACCCTTTGCTTGCGACATTCAACACTTCAACAACATCATCATCATCATCATCACACTCAAGTCTCTGTGTGTGTAGCGACTTGGCCTACTCCGACAAGTCACGCATGCGCAGCCACCTGTCCGTTCGTCCCATCTTGCAACAAACTAACCATCATCTAAATACTTAATATCATCATCATCATGGAGTCAATAATAAAAGCTTATATAATCATGTGGATGCATCAAGAGTAATAACAAACAAGACGATAGATGGATGGATTCCAGCAATGACCTCTCCCTACCTGTAGGTTAGTTTAGGTGATGTTGGTTGACAAGACCCAACCCATCATCAATTGATTGCATCCCACCACCGATCTGGGTTAGATCAAAGGGTGTGTGTGTTGTGATTGATGAGTGGTTTGTGGTGATTGATTGATGGCTATCATAACGATGGGGTTTGTGGACCATGTCTCATGATTGAATGTCTGTCTAGTCTGAATGAATGAATGATTGAATGAATGAAAGATCGTTGTTGTTGTTGATGTTGTGTTGCCCTCTGACGAACTATCAACCATACGTACACTACAATACATACTAGTAGTGGTACTAGTACAACATCGTCATTCATCATCATACATCATACATCATACATACATCCAACAATCAATATTATCTCTACCAATCCAATATATATCTCCAACATCATTAACACAACAATCGTGTTGTAATACCATTACACTTACATTTATTTATTTATTTATTTATAAATCAATCAATCAATCTTTATCTGATCAGCAGACACAGATCAATCTTAACCTTTAATCTTAAGATATATTGTTGTTGTTGAAGTATTTGTTTCCGACCAAACAGAATCTTGTGATTGCTTTGGGTCGCGCACACTCACTAAAGTTGATGTGACACAACTACAACAACTACTACGACGACGAACAACAATAACTTAGCTAAGTTCATTAATATCATAAACGACGCGACGATGACATCGTTCAAAGCGATTCAATTGGAGAAGCATTATATTAATAATGTTTCCGAGCTATTCAATCATCTTTGTTCGATCAAGTTGCCTCCATCGGCAGCCACACTCATTCAAAGCAGCCATCATCATCATCCAGGAGTGGGCACCCTGAGGCACTCACATAGTTTACCATCAATGGTTGCCAAACAACAACAACAACAGCAGTCACTACAACAACAATTACAACAGGAATGTAGTAGTAATAGTACAAACTATAACAACACGTCACCAAATGTTTATGCAACTAGTCCAACAGGGACAGGTCCATCTGGCCTGGCGGGTTTGATCAAAGAGAAGGCATCCACATCAGTCAGCATCACAACTACACACTTTGGAACACTGAGGAAGAAGGATAGAGTTGTGGTGGCTGACCTCCAGGACAAGGCCAATCGCGAGGTTGAATATCTAAAGATGATCGTAAGTGTTATTGGAATGGAATCATTCAAGATATGGCCGTGATCACAACTAACACTCACCATCACTTAAGGACGATGTATCACCATGCCTCAATGCCATCCACCAACTAATGACTGTTAAACACTTGTCATTGGCCAGTGTATTTAGAGAGAGGATGACACGTGCCAGGTCAACATTGTCATGTGCCGCCATACAACATCTAACATTGTTGTGCCAGTATTATGTGGCCATGTCAGATCAGTTCAATGTGGATAAGATTAGAGCCAATATAGTGATGGCCGAACAGTTGTTGACATACCTCAACACATACTCTGTGGACTGTGACAACTGTTTTGTTGGTCTGATGCCTCATGAGGACCTCCTTTTCAAGCTGGCCAAGGACTTTGACTCGATCAACGCCATCAACCCATTGGCCAATGATCTGGGGCAGCAGCTCTCGTCCAACATATCAACGACACGCGAGCAACTTCTCGTCAACATTATCAACTGGTCAGCAATCTCTGATAATATCCAGTTGTCCAAAGCCGTGCGCCGCTACGCTTCAATCTTACGCGGGGTCGACAAGATAAAGCGTGGAGACATAGTAATTGTGCGCTTCCCAGAGGACAGGAAGAGCTTCAGTGGGCACAAGGCCGCTGCCATCGCATCAGGTCAATCACCAAGTGTAAATAGTGTACATAACATCAACAACAACGCTGTAGGCAACACCAACAATGGTGCGAGTAGTAGTTCTGGTGTGGGAGGCAATGGTACCACTCACAGGAACAGCTTTAGCTTGGCGCGACAATCCAGCCAGAGCAACATTGTCACGATGCAGGAGTACTTGGACAGACGCGCGTTCCAGCCCAAGGCTCTGTTTGCCAGATTCAACGGGGACCGCACATCACACACGATAAATGTATGGCTGAACGCCGAGGAGACAGAGTTCCTGGTCGTGGGAATCGAGGATGTGTTGTTACTCAACAAGTCGACGATCGAATGTATCCGCGAGCATCGCAATGTAGACAAGATTGTACAGTCACCACTCGAGCGTTTCTACGCGCAGATCATCGAAGAGAGCAAGCTGCACACGATCAACTACCTGTCAGAGAGCGGCGTGGACATGTCATTCTTTATTGGCGAGTGCGCGGCTCCGTCGCTCCTGGACCTGGAGCGTCTGCGAGCCATCGAGTCGACGTTCAAACAGATGTGGGATTTGGCCGACCACCCGACATTCCGCGCGCTCGAGCTCGGCATGAAGGAGCGCATCGACAAGTTCTTTGCCGACACAGACCACCGCCTGTTCTTCATGCCCAAGTATGAGAGCATCATTGTGGACATCCGTGGCCAACATCATCTGACGCTGGCGCGAAACAAGCTCCGACAGCTGCTGTGCGAATGCGAGCTGCTCTTTGACAAGATCAAGTTGGAGAAGCGTGACATTCTCAATGGCACCATCAAGAACCAGATCACCGAGTGGTGGCTTAAGCTGATTGAGACCAAGACCAACGCGTTCCTACAGGAGCGTGGTTACAACTTTGGCGCCATACCCGAGAACTATATCGAACAGCCTCCAAACAACATGAAGGATGTGATCAAGAACCTGGCCCTAATCAAACGAATACTGGATTCAAAGTTGAATGGAAATGCCATCGACACGATGGACTTCGATAGTAGTAGCGCCAACTCCACACCTAGCACGCGTAGTTCTACCCTCTCCAATGTCATTAGTGAACATATCAACAGCAATCAATCAGGCAGTAGCTCACCAATGATTGAACCACACTCATTATCTCCAAGGTCAAATGGCAGTTCCCCTATCAAGGATGCTGCCGCTGCAGCCCCGAGTCCATCTTCATCAACTACAACCGTTGATCAATCAACGTCCAATAAGTGCGCCTCACCAGTGTTGCTGATCAAGGAGTTGCGACAAGAGATACAACCTGTAATCAACACGTTCATCAAGAAGAGTCATATTGTGTTGAGCGAGATGCTTGGACTGCCACTATCCAACGTCACGGTCCAGGTGGCCTCAGAGCGACTGAAAGATCGAAGACAGCAACAACAGATAGATGAGCAGTTGGCATCAAGTATCGATGACTTGCTGTCCGACCTCGAGTATCTTCGAGAGATGATACACTTGGAGGATGCGACGACGAGTGAGCGCAGTTTACACATCGTTCCTATAAGTGGATTGGTGATGAACACATTCGCTCGCATTGAGAATGAGCTCAAGACTGTGGTAGAGCTATGGAACAGTTCCAGTATGTTTGTTTCGGCCATGGACGGTGCTGACCCAACGGGCAAGACCCCCTTACAAGGACCAGTCAAGCCATTGAACGGCGATCAAAAGTCTGAACTTCATCTCGCCGTGACTGAGGAGAGGCTGGAGGACATAAAGACCATCCTGGCGGACAATGGATCAGCATCGATTAACTTCACAGATGTCAATGGATGGACGCCACTACACTCTGCCGCGCACTCTGGTAACGCAGACGTGTGCATGTTGTTGCTCTCCGTCCCCAACATAAGTGTATCGCTAAAGAACCGCGATGGCGCATCCATTCTACACTACATGGTGCGCCACACTCTAACCGACAGCCGCAAGCAAGTCGTCCAAACACTGTTGGACAAGGGCCTGGACATCAACACTGGCAGCCGGCACGGCGAGACTCCACTACACTCTGCATGCTTCCGCGGCGTCGACGATGTCGTATTGTTCCTCATTCAGAATGGTGCCAATGTCAATGCCATCACCAATGGAGGTGAGACGGCGTTACACTACGCCGTGACAGCAGGTCGCGCAAGCATCGTATCCACACTACTACAACATGGCGCACAGGCACATATCCGATCAAAGCGTGGCACACCATTGGAGATTGCCAACAACTTCAAACTTCATGCCATTGCTACATTGATCAATGCTGTATTGCAGGCGACTGCTGGAGGTGGTGGAACTGCTTCATCTTCGTCCGACACCACAACATCAATGAAGACTACGACACAATCATTATCTTTCAATCAGACTAATCCCAGTGCTGGCGGAACTGGAACCAACAACAGCAGGACAGGAGGTATGGAGCGTGGCGAGAGGTTCAAGATAGGAGGTGCCAGACTTGGTATGCCATCATCCACAAGTACAAGTGCCAACCAATAACAAACCTTAGTATAGTATGTATGTAATATTGAATGACTTTGGATTGATTGATTTATTCGCCAGCTTTCCATATGAGTTTGATTGATTGTTGCAATCAATGGGATGTCCTATTCTACTTGAATAGCAGATCACCAATGACTGGCAGATGGTCAGAGTAAAGTGGTCTCTTGAAGTCATAATCTTTCAGTGACTCATCCACTACCTGGAACGAGGATACACCAAAGCCCTTGTTGACAAAGATGTAGTCAATAGTGAATTCAAACTCCAAGTTGAATCCAGTGAATGTCTCTGTTTGATTCATTGAATGATGTGTCAGTCGGTCAGTGATGGCAAGTGGAATCAATGAATGAATCCTTGATGGATTACATACTCTTTGGACCAGTCTTTGATTGTGTGATCTCCGATGCATTGTATAATTGTTGCAATGAATAGCCAGGTGCCACAGGAATCTTAAGATATCCAAGGTATTGATGTCCATCGATATCTTTCTGTGATCCCAATAAGGTCTTTACAGGCTTGGTCTCCTCATAGGCATTGAAGTCTGATCCAATGATTGAGTGAGTCAGTGAATGTGATTAGCCATCAATCAAACATGTAGACATACCTCCAACAAACACCACTGGGATATTGTGATCCAAGTAGGAGATAAAACTCTTGATCATCATGCAACCTTCAGTCCTGGCCTCCTCAGAGATATGATCCAAGTGAGTGTTGATAAAGTAGAACTCACGGCCAGACTTGGTACACTTGAACCTGCCCCATGTAGCAACTCTCGGACATACAGTCTCCCAACTCTTTGATCCAGGAGTATAACTATCCTTTGATATCCAGAACTGTCCATTATGTACCATCTATATCAACCATTCAATGAATATGTCATATTCAATGTATCAATCAATCAACCAATCGAACATACCTCTAACTCTGATCTCTTGTAGAATATTGGGGAGTACTCTCCAAGTTGCTTGCCATCATCACGTCCACAACCAATATGATCATATTCATTGTTCAATGCAGACTTGATCTGGACAAGTTGACTATGAAGGCATTCCTGCAGTCCGAATATAATAGCTGGATTGATTGATTGATTGTTGGTCAATCAACAACATCATAATCATGATAATCATTTAGACACACATACGATTATACTTCTTCATCATATCGATTACCTGCGGCATCCTGTACTTCCATTCATTGATACCATCCTTTGGAGTATCATACCTGATGTTAAAGGTCATCACTCTCATTGTTGATGTTGATGAAGATGCCATTATCATAGTATTTGATTGTTTGCTATACTAAATATATATATATATGTATTATTGATGCCTTTACCTTTGGTTGATTGATTGGTTAGGTTTAGAATGATGACTCACAGAACTGAACTCAGAGTGTGAAGTTGATCGGAATCATAAGTTAGCCCCGATCAATTTGATTGATTGAACAGTCGTGTTGGCATCAGGTGGGAACCAGGTCATAACCTTAGTTCTACCAACAAGGTAATAATAAGTTATTTCCTGTTGTCCATCAAAGGAGTTAGCAGATCTGGACAACAGAGGTGTTTTCTTGAAGTTGTGACTCACATTACATCACACACTTTATTGTTTGAATCAATCATTAATTACATTCGAATAAGGAGAGATAGAGACAAAGAGACAAGAGAGAGAGAGGAATGCATAAGAGGACACCTTCACAGCCATCACCCTCATCTCCTTCATCATTGTTGAGTGGTGGTCCTTCATCATCATTTACAATGAATAGGTTGGCACCAAATAACAACAACAACAACGCAGCTAAGCTCACACCAAACTCATCATCGATAACAATGGCCACTGTTATACAACAATATCAACAACTGCAGTTACAACAACAACAACTTCAACTACAACAACAACAACTATTACAACAACAACCACAGATGATCAATCAAAGACATCATCAAGTATCAACAACATCTGCATCGTCCACTGCTACTACACCGGTGGTATCACAGCAGACCACTACAGCAGCATCTGCATCGACACCACCCGCAAGAAAGAAGTACAAACCATTGCAACGATACAACAATGCCAATAATGATGAAACAGTGTTCTATGGCTGGTTCGTGATACTCTGCACATTGGTCTTCTTCCTATTCTCCACATACTGTCTGGTCATCTCCAAACTGCTGCCAGACACTGGTAATCGCATTCTCGACTTTATCAAATACGACTGGTACTACTGTCTACTACTGCCCGTCATCATCCCTGTCACCATCATCACTGTATATCTCAACTGGCTCAGTCTAAAGTTCTTCCGTCACAACTGAGTTTAGTTTGAATGATTCATTCAGGGTGGTCTCTCACTCATTCCCTTCATTCATTCAACAACTTCATCGATCGAGATGAACTGGATCCCATCCTTCATCATCTGTTGCCAACAACTGATGACATTCCTTAGACTGTCAGTCGATCAGTCAGTCAGCTGATGACTGACCATGCAGCTGTCCGGTGGAGATTGAATATGTTAGTCGTTGCCAGATGATTGATTGATCGAGTGCTAAGGGACTTACCAAAAAGCGCAGACAAAGCTCCACTAACTCGCAGACTTCCTCAATCTTGAGGACACAATAAAAGTGAAAAAAAATCAATGATTTTGGTGAATGGTCCAAAGAAAAGCAAATACTTGGTCTCCCACGTGTCTCTTCTCAATTCATTCAACAATAACAACAACATAATATATATTAATCTAACAATCTATCTATCTCTTTATCTCTTACTTACTACTATTACTATTACTACACCTCTTACTCATTCTCACTTTGAGCCACTAACCACAAACAGTTACACACATTCCATTCATTCACACGTACACTCATTCACTCAATTCACTCATTCATTACATTCTTCATTCTACTCAAAGGAACAAACAAGCAAATAGACTTGACACTAACTGAATAAGTTATTGTTGTTATTATTGTTGTTGTGTATCACATATATATATCTAAAGATTCATAGAATCATCAATTAATATAGATCGATCAAATACATACAGTTCAGAACAGTACAGAATAGAATAGGATAGGACCGTAAACAAATTAATTACAAATGTACAATCCACCAGTTCGACAACATTACGCTCCTCAGACATTCCAGCCATCTCCTCCTCCAGGCCAACCAGGAATGAAGCCATATCCACAACAGCAGCAACAGCAGCAGCAATCACCACAGCAACAGAACTTTAATGAACCACCTCCTCCAGTATGTTATCAAACACCTATGACAGATAGACGAGCAGGCAGACAGACTCTAACACATAACTACATACATAGTACTATCATAATCCACCTGGATATGCTGATAACAAACAGGTTAAACCACTACCACCAACTCCAATGTATGGACTACGTCTTCGCGATGCTTGGTGATCATCAACGACACAAACTAACATTCAATCAATCAATAATATAGGGGACCACCTGGCCAACACTCGAATGGTGTACCAAATATGAATGGCCTTCCAAGTGGACTAGCGTTCAGCTTGAAGGAGGTGAAACTATGTAACAATACCAAGGACAGAGAGACATACGACAATCTGGCAGAGCTCTATTCGATTATCAAAGTGACAGAACACTTGGAGAAGGCATACATTAGGGACAGTGTGCTGCCCAAGGACTACACCACCGCCTGCTCCAAATTGATCGCTCAGTTCAAGTCCTCACAGACACTCGTCAAGGACTCTGTACCAAACGTCACTACATTCATGAGAGATTACAACCTAGACTGCAAGGCTGCATGTATGTGTACTATCATCATCACGCATGTGTCACTTTCTAACACTCCTCTCTCTTGCCTCGTATAATCAGACGATAGATTGGTGAACAAAGGTTACCCATCAACATTGGAGCATAATGTTACAACAGACTCTAACGACTCTATGATGGCCAAGTATGTTCTCATTCAATCAATCAATCATTGCATCAACATCATACTAACTACTACATGCATCATCTTAGGAATGTGGCAGAGACAGTACAACACTTTATCACAACAATGGATTCGGTTCGATTGAAGTTTGTAGCAGTAGACAACATACATCCATTGCTGAGCGACCTGCTTGAGAGTTTGAACAGGAACACTTGGTTGTCAAACTTTGAGGGCAAGGAGAAGATCATGAACTGGATGGCCACACTGAACAAGATGAAGGCCAGCGAAGAGTTGGACGAGGATCAAACGCGACAATTGCTCTTTGATCTCGACAGCTCCTACAATGCATTCTATAAAGCAATCAAGAGCTAGAGAGGATGGGGTCTATCTATCTCCTCTATCTTGTTATTTATAAACATATATATATATATATATATATATACTCAGCAGCAGCAACAGTAGAAGCCTAGCCATCAATCTACCGACTGCACTCCCTCACTCCCTTTACCTTCCTTCCGACTGCATTTCAAATCTCCACTGGCTTGTAACTGGTACTACCTTGAGCAACACTTGGCCTGTGTATGATAGTAGAATATGTAAATAAACTACTTTGGTAGCCAGCCAATCGTATACAATGTATATTGATACAGTTCTGTTGTCTGTTTAATGATTGATTGATTCATTCATCTCTCTGCCTTCTTGTTGTCTATTAGTGAGTTTGGAGTTGTCCAACTGAATACACTATCCCATTGATCATCTGCCTGCCACAAGACTCTAGGTTCGAGTAACTCGATTGAAGTGAAGTGAAGTGGACATGTTTACAATCTATCTCTGTGAATCATCGTCTTTGATTGACAGTGCATAGCAACCTGGTACTCTTCTCTCTGTATTATATATATGTCAGTCAGTATCATGTTATCATCAACAATCTGAACGATGTGTGCATCTACATACCATAATGTTGTCTTCTAGCAATCCAACTCTCAGTAGGCTTCATGATTGCCATGATGCTGCGATGAGTGTTAATATGTTGTTGTCGTTGTCGTTGTCGTTACAGTACTATGCTTAGTACATACCCTTCAAAGTTTGTAGTGGTAGCGCTTCCTGTATCTCTATCCTTTCTTCTCTCGCTCTGTCTATCACAGTTCTCGCAACCATACTCATCGAACTGAGCAGTAGTCTTGACCAGACCACAATTTACACAAGCTCTGATACTTCTAAAACTTGTTGGTACAATAGTCCTCTTATCTCTCTTTTCTCTTGTTGATGTTGAGGTACTCATTCTCTATATTATAATATATTTATATCTGTATATGTTTGAATGAATGAATATTGTTCATTAATTAATGATTTCAAATTGATGAGAACTCTATGTTTTGTTGGTTTTGAGGACAAATGAAAGTTTGTTGAACTCCTTTCATTTATGGTTGGAACTGTTCTTTCAACACAAATAATAGTTATACTGATAATTCCTGATATAGTAGTATATATAATCATATCATTATTTGCATAGTCAATGACAATTGACAAGAAGACAAAACTTTGAAGTTATAGTAGCAGGTCAATGGGAAAATTCCAGAGACTTCTTCTTTCAGCCCCAAAAGAGCAACACGAGTGACTTTTGAATTGTTGGGGGATGTTGATTTTTTTTTCGAAACAGATCCTAACTGGCGCGACAGACACATTTATTCAGTCAGTCAGCATTGATTGACAATCGTTCTTCATTGACACAACAATCTAATATCAATAACAGGCCAAATAAGAGGATAAACACATCAACATCATTACTTTACTCTACATTACTTTATTATTACTGAACCAGGCAGGTGTGATTGACAGACGACTGACGTTGTAATATAGTTAGTTTAGATAGATAGATAGGTTATTGCATTGCCACAACAAATACATACCTCCCCCAACAACAACAACAACAAGAAAGAAAGAATGGAGGAACAATTGATTGATAAGTCATACTTCACATCGTTGTATAAACAGATTAGACTACAGGAGTTCTTGGAAGTGGCTCATACGATTTTGTTGGACCGGCTGGAGAATGGCTATGGAAGGACGGTAAAGGGCGTGCCACTCGGTTGTTTACCGGTCGAGTTGTTCCGCGATCACTTCTCATCGTTCAGGTCATGGCGTAGCTACACCAAGGACCGTGTCACATATATCAATGGCGAGAAGGTCAATGTACAGCATCTCTACTTCACATTCAACGCACGCTCTGGCTATCCAACACTGTCCACTGGCAAGGATTGGACAAAGAAGAGGATCGAGAAGAAAGAGGGCAGCGTTGGCCCCGTCGTCCAGGCCTACCAAAAGGTGACATTCATTATCAGCTATCGTGATACTCGTGTCGAATGCGACTTTAAGATGGCCACTCTGGGTCCAGAGACAACATCAAATTCACCAGCAACGCAACAACAACCACTGTCAACAAGTATGCCACAATTAGATCAACAACAAMCAGCAACAGCAACTACAACTTCAATATCAACAGAATATACCAAATACACAACTACAACTGCAACAACAACAATATCAACCTCAGCCTCAACCTCAACTTCAACAACAAGATACAATCCAAATGCATCAACAACAGATAATGATGCAGCAGCAACAACAACATCACCAATCACCAATTCTTCAACAACAACAACAATTCGTCATTCCACAACATCACCTACCAATGCACGATACGACTACTTCGACTCTGGACACTACAACAACAACATCATCATTGGCAGCAGCAACAACAACAACACATCTACTTCAACGACCGGATGGATTTTCCTCATTGCCATTGATCGACAATAGCACCAGCAATAACAACAGTGGCAGCTCTCCATCACCCTCCTCTCATTCACCATCAGTGCACACTCCGCCTCCAGTGCACCATGCATCGTCAGCATCAACACAACAAGAAGGTACTCCACCACTCTATGCATCCACCTATCCCACCATACTGGCGACTCACAGCGGCAGCAGCAGTAGTGGCAACAATAGTCAAACACAAGTTAAGTTTGAGGCCATATAGAGGGAGGAGTGTTGCTTGTCTGTCTGTATGTCTATGTACAAGATTGTGAATGCATGCATGCATGGATACTCTGGTGCAGACAATAAACTCGGATAGGACCTCCTGTTCACACACTCAAACACACACATAAATCACTCGCTCATACACACTCACATACACATACATTCGATATACTATTGATTGTATCTGTCCAAATAAGTATAAAGGTAGGTAAGTCTTACAATTTATAAGTACATATGAACTCAAGATATTGGACATTCATTGAATGGAATGAATCATGGTCAAATGAATAACACCTTATTAGGTAATGTTTCAAAACAGAACCACACCCCCTTCACACAGGTGTACAAGAACAACAATGGAAAATATCCTTTTATATACATACAGATATGAGTGTTATCTATGTGTGGGGTAGTTGTAAGATTGATATCATGATAATCCCATATCCATACTACTATTGCGTCAGAATACTCTATTAACACACTTTAACCATTCTACAAGTAATATTCAAGACAACAACTTATAAATACATTCATACTCAATCTCTATCTTTCTTAATCTCTAAATAATTATTATTATCTGTAAATACAATACTGTATATATTATTATTATTATTCATAATAAATAAATTAAATTATTAATAAAATGACCGAACAAGTTAAGAAGAGTGTTTACACAGCTGTTAAGAGTGGAGATTCCACATACAGCTATGCTCCAGGCTCACCAATGATCACAACACATATCTCTGAAATCCAACAGACCGCCACAGAGAATGTCCAGCCATTTGAGAGCAAGATAACAGAGCAATCATCAAAGTTCTTCCCAGGTGAGCAATCGGCTTCCTCCTCAATGGACACAACAACCACTTCCACCGAGGGACTATCAAAGACCGAGGCTTTGAAGCAGAAGGCTGGCAATTTCATTGACAAGATTGAGCAAAAGATTGGAGGTACTGGAAGCCAGACTGATTCCACTGCCGCCGGTACCGGACTAGCTTCAAGCACAACCGAGGAGGCCACCACTGGAGGACATATCCCAACAGCTTCCAGCTTGACCAGTGATAAATCCACAATGGTATCCGAGACCACCACAGGACCATCCAGTGACACCTACTATGATGGACTCCAGCACTCTGACTCTGTGCACCCAACTACCAGCTCTGGAACCGAGCCACACAAGCCATCGACTATTATGAATGTTAAGGGATTCATCAAGGAGAAGGTTGGTCACATCACCAAGAACACCAAGATGGAGGAGGAGGGCCGATCGCTTGAGGCTGTATACCAACAGCAGAAGCAAGATTACACCACTTTTGCCAAGAAGTAATCTAATACAGATATAATCCTCGTAACGATCAAAAGATATCAATAAAAAATTGATAAATAATTATCAAACACCACATCGGTTGATTTTCCATTTCTTATAAATATCTAGTATGAGGTGTTGATGAAAATTTGATAAGATAGATAGCCTAAATCATAGACGTCATTTCATTTCATCTCACATTCATCATTTATATATAGATATAATTCAATTGTTAACAATTAGATACATGGCATCCTCTGATCAAAGACTTAATGATTTGTTGGCTCAATTGCCTACGATCGCCAATAACATGTACTCTGAAGATGAGAAGGTTGTGTTTGAGGCTGTCAAGAATGTTAGAGTTATGTTATCCTTCGAATCGGCGCCACCCATCCAACAGATCATCGAGGCTGGTCTAGTACCAAGGATGATACAGTTGGTTCAGTTTGGTGGAACTGAGTGTCAAGTATGTATATATACTCACGCTCCTATCTCTCATCTTAAGTCTTTTACATTCTAACATCCAAACTCCCTCTCCTCCCTCCAATCCATAGTATGAAGCAGGTTGGGCTTTAACAAATGTAAGTTATAACAATCTTAAGAAGGACAACAGAGACTAACCAACAGCAACTTGTTATCATTCATTTAGATCGCTTCTGGCAATCCTCAACAAACATTGGTCCTTGTACAGAGTGGCGCAATTCCAATGTATGTAGCCATTAGCCATTAGCCATTGATTCATGAATGATATTGACCACATACTAATAACATTCGTACAGCTTTGTAGAGATGCTCAACTCACCAATCAAGAAGGTTGCTGAGCAGGTACTTTGGTGTCTTGGAAATATAGCAGGTGATTCGATTGACCTGCGCAACCTTGTGTTGAACAACTTTGCAATTGAAAACATCATCAAGCTCATGCACAGGAACATCCAAGATGTGTCCCTGCTACGCAATGTCGCATGGACCTTTTCAAACTTCTGTCGTGGCAAGCCACATCCATCTAAACAACATGTAAGTAGTATCCTCAGTCGACCCAATCATACTCATAAGTATACTTACCACCTCACTCAATAGGTCGACCTTTTCCTTCCATATCTTGCCAAGTTCTTGGACGCCACTGACCAAGACATATTGGTGGACACAATTTGGTCATTCGCCTTCATCACAGACACCACATCAGATTGGTTGATCAATGCCGTGATTGAACTCAATGTGATACCCAGGATCATGAAATACTTGGGAACCAACGAGTCGGTCAAACTGCTGGTGCCATCACTGCGATCAGTGGGCAACATCCTCTCTGGGAACGACGTTCAGACACAATATATCCTCAACCATGGCGTCATTGAAAGGTTCAATGAGCTGGTCACTCATCCCAAGGCCAACATTCGCAAGGAGGTCGTGTGGTCCGTGTCCAACATCACATCTGGCACCAGACCACAGATCCAAGCCATCGTCGACTCTGGCATCTTGAAGGAGCTGACAACCAGAGTGATCGCCAAAAGGGAGCAACAAGATTTGTTGAAGGAGATCATGTGGGCACTGGTCAATGCCTCAACAGGAGGCTCAATCACCCAGCTCGAGTACCTTGTCAACATCAACACCATTCAGAGTCTGATGGTCGTGCTCCGAGAGCAGTACGCCAGCATGTACTCTTTGGTATTGGAAGGCTGCGCCAACCTTCTCAATCAAGATACCAACCTGCCCCAATGCAACATTGTTCGCACCTTTATCGACGAAGACTTTAGAAGTGTGGTACAACAGATACAGACAGAGCAGCCTGAGGAGATAGAGAAGTTTGTTCAGATGCTCAACAACCAAGACATCATGCTCAAATTTTGGTCATCTGATGATCCCTTGATCGAGGGTCTCAACCAAATGAACATTGACCAGTGAGTGAGTAGACCATCTGGAACGACAACAATGTACACAAAGATACAAAACCAAAGTTATAGATATAACCATAAACTTCTTTCTTCTTTTAAATGGAGCCAGCGTGAATTGGCATCGGTCGTTGTTGATGTATGTCAATAATAAATATCTTTAACTCTATTGGTTGGTTGGTTGGACAACCAATGCCATTGATCAATTGTTTGGATTGACTGACCAAGGTACCACCATGACGTGTGGCTACTTTTGACTGTTTGTGTGGGCTTTGGGCAAGACCCACCTCCAGGAGGGTTTGGAAAACTTAGAAAAACATGGTTGTTGTTGCCAACCCCATCCAAACAGTTCAACAACACAACAAACGCGTCTCACATTTTATCAATTCAAATATCTAGTTTGTGTTATATTCTTCATACTTTTCATCAACCATCCAACAATCATTACCACATAGTAATAATTAAACTACAACATTTAATAAGCAACAACAAACACATAGTAATAACAACACAACAACAACAAAGTAGATAACCAACAAACAAACAGTAATACAATACAATGAGCAATCAACATTTGAGAAAGATGAGCAATGAACTTGACTCACTCACTCTGGACAATGATAATGATTATGATCACGACACAGATGACGATAGTAATAGTAGTAGTAGTTATTATTCGAATAATCACATCGATGCACCAATGGCATCGAATCTACCACCGATCAACTTTAATGATGGAAAGGCACCTAAACAATCAATGACAGCTGCCACCAAACAGATGATTGGACCATACGTCATTGGCGAGATTATGGGCAAGGGAGGCTCAGCCTCAGTCTACAAAGGACTAAACACAGTGTCAGGTGACTTTGTCGCCGTCAAGTGCTTCCAAAAGTCAAAGATATCACGCGAGCAGCTGTCAAGCATCATGGTCGAGTTGGATCTGCTGCAAAAGTTGAGCCATGACAACATTGTTCGTATCCTTGGCAAGGATGAGAACGACACCACCATCTACCTGATCATGGAGTACATGGAGAATGGCTCGCTGGCCAGCATCATGAATCAGTTTGGCACGTTCCCCGAGTCGCTGATATGCACCTACATCGAACAAGTGCTTCAAGGTCTCGTCTATCTGCACAGCGAGAATGTAATACATCGCGATATCAAGGCGGCCAACATTTTGATCAACAAGATTGGCGATGCCAAGTTGGCCGACTTCAATGTGGCCGCCCAGCTCAATGACTCGGACAAGAGATACTCTGTGGTAGGCACACCCTACTGGATGGCACCCGAGGTGATCGACATCAGTGGTCACTGTCAAGTATCCGACACATGGTCTCTTGGTTGCACAATTATTGAGTTGTTGACTGGCTCACCACCCTATTACAATCATAATCCCATGGCTGCCATGTTCAGAATCGTTCAGAATGACAGACCTCCATTCCCCAAGAACATCTCAGAGGTATGTTCGTACATCGTGTTCACGCCAAACAGACCACTAACCATCACTTCACATGAATAGGAATTGAATGATTTCTTGGGAAGATGCTTTGTCAAATCTGTGGAGGAGAGAGCTTCAGCATCAGAGCTGTTACATCATAGATGGATAACAAAGTATCGATCAAATCAACGTGGATCATTCATCAATCATAGAGCAAGTTCAAACATCATGGATCACATTTCAAAGACATTGTCTGCATTCAACAATACGACCAAGGATCGATCAATATCATGTGGTTCATCTGGCTCACCAGGCTCAGCAAGCATACTCGAATCAATCAATGAACATCACCTGGATAGCAACGATACTTCCACCGATGAGAAGAGCAACACAATCTCATTCCGACCAAGCTCATTGCCATCATCACCGCCAACACAACGTGATTCAGTCGAGTTGAAGAAGCAGATTGTATGTCCACGCAACCAACTTAACATTGATCATCCGTCAAGTCAACATATACTAACAAACATACACACATCCAGATTCAGAATACAATGTTACAAGAGAGGATCAAGGAGTTGGAGAAGGAGTTGAGTGTAGCGAATGAGGAACGAATGGAGAATGAGAGGAAGTCCAGAGAGATACTTCTGAGTTCCATGCATTATATATACATTGTGGATAGCTCTGGGAACATTGGCGTTAATCCAACCGTCAAGATATCAGATGATGTCGCCAATCTTCGTGCAGTCATGCGTGATCAAATAGAAACAGAGTACTTCCATACATTCCCCGACCGCAACATGGTACCAAGATTCATCGAGAGGGTATGTCTAGGACCGTCACAACTATCAGCCATGATGGCATCGACCCACTAACACCTCATTCTCTACCCTTAGCGTCTGACACGTGATACATTGATTCATCTACCAAAGAAGGCATTGGAGACACAGAAGAAACGAGAGAAGGAGGAGAAGAAGAAGGCAGAGAAACGAGAAAAGGAGAAGCTGGAGAAGGAGAAGAAGGACAAGAAGAAAATGGGTTCAGTGTCATCACCGGTGCTCTCTCCAGAAGTCACCTCGCACTCTCCAAGCAAGACACAGAAGCGATCACAGTCCAAGGGTCAACTGCTGACACATGAGTTGGTGAAGGAACTCAGTCAACAGAACTTTAAGCTCAACAGTGTACCAAGCAATGTGAAGACACATTGAGAACGTGACTCCCAATGAGAGACAGTAGATGTAGAGATAGAGGAGTAGTAGCAGAGAAGTGTTGGAGAGAGAAGAGTATGGGTAATGGTAAAGAACGAACGACTCTACAACTGGGCGACCATGGTCATTGGCAACATGCATGTAATTGTATAATAAATTTGAATGGAATGGCTGGATCGTTGTTTGGATGGCAGACTGCGACCCGATAAGTCCAATCAAACCAGACGACGACGACGCGACGACGAGTAACATGATTGGTAGCATATAACTAATGTTGTGATCGAGTAGTGGTGAAAATGTAATAGTAGTGTGTGTTTGATTGATCATCTGATCACATTGTGTGTGGTAGTGGGTGGAAGTATGTGTGTGGAGTGATCAGATGTGACGATTGACTCGAGATGAAATGGTCAATTTACTTGTTTGAACATGTCCAACAAAGTTTATTGAACTTGAACTATCTATTTTTGGGTTGACCTACCTACATCTATCATCATCATCCTTGAATTTGCAATCCAATAATATTTATCCTTCATTCCAGCTCACTAACTCTCCAATATAAATACTTCTGAATTCCATTTCAAATTAATCATCAATTCAATATTCAATCAATAGAATAATAATAATAATAATAATAACTTGAAAATGACCATTCTTGGTAGGTACCAAAATAATCTAGTTGTTTTCCATTTCCTTCCAATACTAATTAATTAATTAATTTCCATAGCCGCACTTAGTTCTTTGGGAGGAGTTTCCATCACATCATTGTCAAAGGCCAGCATTGGAGGTGGAGTTGGAGGTGGATTCGGCCAAGGTGCCAACAGTATCGCCTGTAACTGTGGAGGTGGTGGTGGTCATGTTGTCTCTCCACCAATTGTTCATGTGCCTCACGGTGGTGGCGGTTGCCACGGTGGTGGTGGCTTGAACCTTGGAGGATTGGTCCAGGGACTGCTTGGAGGACTTCACCTTGGAGGTGGTGGTGGCGGTGGTTGTGGATGCCACTAAACTGTCTGACACTATCTTGACAGGCACAGCAACAACATTACTCGACATCGTAACATTACTCACAGCTACCATTACTACTACTACTACTTGAGTCTAATAAACTCCAACACCTTAAGAATCTAATCAGTTAATGAGGGTAAGGGTAAGGGTTAGGGTTAGGGCTAGGGTTAGGGTAAGGGCAAGGACGAGGGTTAGGGTCCGAACATATGTCAACCATTTATTAGGTGATTGAGAACATATGGCATATGATGATGTTGTTGTTGTAGTGGTTGTTAACTCCATTGTTGTTGACAGGTACTTGGATTGATATTGTTGATGTTGTCATGCGTGACCATTGTACAGTGATTGATTGAATGAATGTAGTTGACCGGTCAACAACGATAAGACGAAAGACTAGAGATTATAAGGGTATTCATGAATACGAATCATTATGCAGTGATACCACCAGCCTCTTGATACTTCTTGAGCAATACCTTCTTGTACTCATCTTGGTTCTCCCAGATGGAAGCGGCGTAGGAGTTGAGTGGTGAGTCATTGTTTGGCTCGCCCAAAAGACTCTGGATCGAGAGCAACAGTGTGCGCACGTTGTATATTGGCGACCACTTGTCCTTTAGAATGTCTAGACAAATGTTGCCCTGTGTATCAACGTTTGGATGGAAGCAGCTGGTCTCAAACTTGACGACGGGTGGCTTGAAAGGGTACTCTGAGGGGAACTTTAACGACATCTTGAACTCTAGATTCTCATACACTGTACCTGCAGCGCCTTGAATCGTTCCGACCCAGCTGAACATGTTATCTGCCTCTGGAAATGCTGAGATACCTGGGCTGCTGGCCATCTATAATATAAATATTTCAATGTAAGTAAGGTGCATGCATGTTACTGTTGTTGTTATCAAACATCAAGTATAGTATAGTATTGTACATACCATCAAAGCCATCAGCTCAGACTGTAGTCTCTTTCCAACTGATACAGAATCTGTCTTTGGTGTTGACATATTGTTGTTATAATTATATGTGTGTAATGTTGTAATGTTAATGTACAATGAATGTATGTTATTATATATATAAATATATCTATCTTATAATCGAATGGATGCCCTTAAGTCGTCTACTTTATACCCTTTGAACAACAGTTGAAATGAGGAACCAATGGTGGCGCCAACTTTTCAAATTTGAAATGGAACATCCTATTTCGAATGATCCATCACATTGAGCTACAACTTATAGATAACATTGTATAAATAAGATTGGACAGCAATGGGTAAGAAGAAACAACCAATCCAATAAGAGATATAGTTAGTGATGACAATGAGGACAGTGTCTAACTATCAATCAAAAGTTGATTTACTTTGGAGTATATTCAAATGAAGTTGAAGTTCCAACTTCTGTGTCTCCAGGAATAAAACTGACCCCCCTGGTCCAGGTCGTGTTTCATTCCCTCAAACACACACTCTCCCACTCTTTCAAACTGATTGGGGTGACAGAGACACACGCACATCACTCCTAACTTGATGGTTATTACTTACATACATTTATACCTTATACATACTCATAACAATCAATCACCTACAACTATTACTTATTTACAACAAGACTATACTTTATACCATCATTCAAGTTCAATAGTTTTATCGCGAGATTGACAATAATCAGTTATCAGTGAATAGATCATCATCCATCATCATCATCAGTGATAGATAGAAAGATAGATAGTTTAGATTATATATATATACATACAACACAAACACATATGAAATGTCACATCTTCAACCATCGAGTACAACAACAACAACTGAAAGACCTGATCTGCCGCTGACAGCTGAAAGACTGAGGCAGTCAGTTAGATTCCAGCCTGCAAAGTATTGGAATCCAAACTCTATACAACAGTGGATAGATACCGCCTACGACGAGTCGGATGTATATATAAAGTATCAAAAGGAGAAGGAAGAAGAGGAGTTACAACAAAAGAATAACTCAATGAATACAGATGATGATAATAATAACAACAATAACAACAACATCAACAACAACAACATTAACAACAACACAAACAATATAAATAATACGAATAATATGAATAATAACAATGTTGATGATCATAAGATGGGGAACTTCGAGCGTCATCAATGATGAATACCCTCATTTATAATATATATAATACACATATACAACTATGCGCGAATAGACTCCCAACAACGATCGCATGCATCAACAAGCCCAGCCCCTCTTCTACCCTGTCGACGCCAACTCTCCATCCTCTCATCCCAACCATCTCCATCCACCCCTCCAACATCTTCAAATGAATAGACTGCAACAGTCGATGATGCACTCTACACTCTGGTCGATCCCCAGGCAGCAAACGGACACCGGTGTCGCCCACTTTCATCCCTTAAAGTCAGTCAGTCAGTGCCAATGGACAGCAACAGCTCAGCATCAACCAATTTCACCATATTTTCATGACATCAAGAGTTGCAATTCAATCTCATGAGATTGATAGGCGAATGAATGGCACACTCAGTGAGTGCGCCTGGTGGCTCAGTCTACAACTACAGCATTTCATTGGCGCTGTGGCAAAGGACAGTGAGGTGACACTTCAGAAGTGGCAGCAGCAGATGCAGCAGCAACAACAACAACGGCGAATTAGAACTTAGATCATGCATGCCGCCCGGGCGATTCAATACTCCTACTCCTCCTTCAAATACCCAACCAATATGATCGAGACATTCAGTGCATTAAAGACCTACCCTATTCATTATCGAGTACAATCAATCATGATTGAAATATATATAACAACAACCAGACTCATTTATACAAGTGATTTACGCTCATGAGGTTGCCATGGCGACCTCCTCCAACAACAATAACAATGTGATCTACATCGTTATAATCATTCAGGTGGCGGGGTTCTGGATGTGTGATGGTATACAGTAGGCAGGGACTTCACCCACATGTTGTCCTTTGCCCTTGATAGATTGGAACGTGCCACAAGTATATCGATTATCTTGTCTGCATCGCTCTCAACTGCTTCGATATATTGGCTCTCTGACACTTCGAACCTATAATTAGATTGGTCAGTAGGTGCCATGACGGTCAACAAACCAATCCAGGAGTCATAAAACATACTTGATAACAATATTCTTATTGTCCACTCGAGTCAACTCCAAGACAGATTGATATTGGAAGGTCTCTCGAACATGACCATCGGCAAGTCTGAGGAAGCAGTTGGGTGTGAATCTAAACCTCCTGATCTGATGTCTTGAGTACCAGTTGGTTCGGATTACTTCGCACTCAAAGTCCACACCTTCATTCAGTTGTGGTGTTGTAGTCGCTGTGTTGTTGTCTCCACCGCCACTTGGATCAACGACCTGCCATGAATAACTGAATAGACCCTTGACCAATCCAAACAAAAGCCATTCAGTAATATTGATTGTCGTATCGATGTAGCCCAGGTTCAACTGACTTGTCTCTTCTGTTATAGACTCTTGACTAACATCCTTATTCTCAATGAATGCCTCCAACACTGCTGATCTCTCCTCTTCACGATCTCCACCAGAGTTAATATGTATGAGTGCCTTTATCTCTTCTTTCCTCTCCTCAACATGTATCGCTTCCTAATCAATCAGATTGACCAAACAATGAATGTTAGCAACCAAACATCCTGATCGTAAATCAGTACTACTATTTACTTACTCCCCATAGTTGACCATTTATCTCTACATAGGGATATTGAGGTATCTTTACACAATGCTTCCTGATCTCTGCCTGCTTTGTATAATCAGCACTGAGGTCCACAACTAGGATGTTCTGTTGTGATACACCATTGGTCAAGAAGAATCGTGCCAAGAAATGTTGTAGTTTAATCGATGTAACATTATGTTTATATCTATCTACGTATAGTTTAACGACCTAATCAATTGATTGATTGATTATAGTTGTTAATGAAAGACATGTTATCTTTGTCAAAGAATGATACTTACTGTACCCTCCATTTTAAGTTTGTTGTTAATTATTATTGTTTATTTAAATATTTACAACACAATAATAATAACTGTATTGTTACAAGTACGAGTGATTGAACTAATGATTGGTCTGGACCACAATGCCTCCTCCACTTCAACCTCATCAATCCAGCTGGCCTTACCACGTCACAGAACAGTAGAGTGCACTCACCCACACACCCTTCTTTCTTCTCAACTTTGTGTGAATGATATGAACTTGTCAATTCGAGTCCAGAACCATTCACTGATTTGATTGGTTTGATCGATTTGATCAGATGTCCCTCACTTCAAACTAAACTATTAAGTTAATTAATGTATCACTATGTATTCTATCTATTATTTAATTGTAGGAAGGTATGTAGATCTACCTTTAAAGTATGCTATTTGACTTGACTTGTCCATTTGGACTTAACTAAACTCGATAACCCAATCACCAGCAATTGGTAGGTCTGGCTTCCTGATGACAAGCTTCTGGAGATTCTTGTCATAATCGAAATGGAGACTGTTGCCACCAGATTGAACCTTGGATGGAGCCTTGTTCAATCCAACCAACACGATTCTCTCGATTGTGTTGCTTGGCTGGTAGATACCCTTGGTGTCCAACGACTTGGAAGTGAGCTTGCCATTGGCAAAGTTGAACGCGCGGTAAGTGTACTGACCTTTCTGGTAGTTAAACGTGTGCTCGTCATCAATGTACAACTCGCCGGTGGCCTGCTGGTCGGTGCTGAGTGCCACACGCAATGTGTAAGGGTCGTCGCGCATCTGGCTGGAAGAACGACGCAGTCTCTCCTTCTTTGGAACGATTGAGCCACCGCGCTGGTAGACTGGCATCTTGTCCAATGGGGTGTCGACATCGTAGTGACCCGACGTGAACTTCTTGTCAGTGTCAATGTCGTACCACACCTGCTTGGAGTCGCCTGGCAAGATGACCTTGACGGACTGACGGCCCTGCTCGACGACTGGGTGAACGAGTATGGCGCTGCCCACCATAAACTCATCCTCGTAGGCAAAGAGTGAGGTATCGGCGGGGAACTCGACCCAGAGTGGTCTCATGGTTGGGTAGCCATTGAGGGTGTTCTGATGGAACAATGTGTACCAGTATGGCAGGAAGCTGTAACGTCTCTGGATGGCAGAGCGCATGACATCGAGGTATTGCTGGTCGAACAACCATGGCTCACGACGCTTGGCATCGAGATGGGCGTGGCCACGGAAGAATGGCTGGAATGAACCTGCCTGGTACCAACGGGCCATCAGCTCTCCATCGGGGTTACCAAAGAATCCACCAACGTCGGCGCCACTGAATGTAATACCGGCCAGACCGAGCGAGAGGAGCATTGGCTGCGAGGCCTTCAAGTGCGACCACTGGGCGGCGTTGTCACCAGTCCAGATGGCTCCGTGACGCTGGGAGCCAGCAAAGAAGGCACGCGACAGGACGAATGGACGGTCGTTCTTGTCTGCGTTACGCTCCACCAAGCCCTTGGCCGTAGCCATGTGCTGATAGAATCCGTACATGTTGTGCACATCGCGGTGCTCGACGTTCTCGTGGTGCAGGTTGTCCTTGTGCATCGAGATCTCGGGGCCAATCAAACACGGAGGGCTCATTCATGTCGTTCCAGACGTAGAGAGCGGGCGTGGAGCCTGCAAACTTGTCGTAGGAGAACTGGGCGGCCCACCAGTCGCGCACGGCGGGGTTGACAAAGTCGAGGTAGCTGCTTGTGCCTGGCCAGCACCAGCCCTCAAAGTCGTTGTTGTCCTTGTTCTTGACGTACAGGTTGTTGCTCTGTGCCTCTGAGTATATCATGTAGTTGCTGTCCTTCTTGATGTGTGGGTCGATGATAACAACCATCTTTCTCTGCTTGTCGGCGATCTTCTTTTGCATCTGATCTGGTGTTGGGAAGTTGGTCTTGTCCCAAGTGAAGTATCTCTTGCCATCAGTGTGCTCAATGTCCAACCAGATCACATCATAAGGTATCTTGTTTGAATCGAATCCCTCATCAACCTGCTTAACATCATTCTCATCCTGGGTGGTATGACCTGATCAGTACATTGATTGATTGATTGAATGAATGGTCTCTTTCAACTTACTCTGTAGTTCCAACGACATTGATGATAGGCGATGGAGAACATTTGTGGAAGTGCAGTGGTACCGGTGAGGTAGGCGTATTGGGCAAAGATGTCCTTGGGAGTGGGGCCTGTAAGGAAGAAGACGTCCATCTGTCCACTCTCACTAATCCATTGGGTGTCCTTGGATGGCACACCATTGTTGTTAGAGTCTGAAACATCGATAAAGGTCTCGGCGGCATTCAACCAGAACACTGCAACGGTCTTCTTGGCATCGTGCGAGATCATCAAGGGGACGGCACCATAGAGTGCAGAGGTCTTGTCCAGCTCGTACTCAAACACATCGAGGTTGTACAGACGGTAGGGATGCTCGTTGATTCCCTCGCCCTTGGTCGAGCGCAGGGCCATCGCGGTAGAGTGCTCGGGGATACCGTAGACGTGTGATGATCCGACGAAGCTAATGTCCATTCCGAACGACATTGGTCCATGTGGCTTGGAGTCGTGGTGGCTGTTGAAGCGCTCCTCCCACATGCCATCTGGGTAGGCGGGGGGAGGAGGCACTGGAGCTGGGGCGGCGGGCACGGGTGAGTCGTCGGGGTTGTCGCCGGCTGGTTGAGGAGGCTGCTCCTCGCCCTTGTTCTCGGGCTGGGGTGGCAGAGGTTTGGTCCTCATGTGCTCAAAGTGGAGTAGGCCACGAGAGTTGGATGACATTGCCAACTCGCCATTGACGTAGACGTCCAGCTTGAATGGGTGCAGATAGAGCTTGGCGACAGAGTTGTGACCAAAGCTGAACGACACCTGGCCAGCGACGCTCCTATCCAACGACTTGATTGCGACGTACTTGATCGAGTCCAACAGTACGTCCTTGATTTGATAACGCTTCTTATTCTCCAGTGACTTCTTCTCCTGGACACGCAGACGAATCATGCCATTCTCTAATGCGCTGAGCTCAAGTGTGAGCACGTGATCCAAGTCGCCATCGACGTTGAGCAGCTCGGCCACCAAACGTCCGTCGTTGTTCAACTGCAATGTATTATCGATCACCTTGTATGTTGGAGGTTGTGCGACCACCTCATTCCTATTACGTCTACAGAATGACAAATCATTGCATGTCTTGAATTTACTCGCGTCAACTGCCTCTGTATGCTGAGTCATCATCGCAGCAATCATCAAAGCAACCAGCAATGATACTGATACTGCGACCAATGGTGATCGCCTATCCCTCTTCATTGTTTGTGTGTTTGTGTGACTGTGATGATTCTGTTTGTATGTATAATGATTGAATGAAATGAATGAATAAATGATGAATGAATGCAAGGTGTCACTAACACTCATGATCTTCAACTGACTTCCAAAAAACCAAAGTAATTGGTGACTCAGCAAACAAACGAACAAAGTTAAACCCTTGACCAAACCCTTACCCTCGCTCAAAACTCATCTTTGTCATTCTTCTCCAACATCTCAACAAACAGATACACATACTTAGACAAACAAAACAAAGATGGAGAATCACTCAATGGTATTACCTCATATCACTGAAACTACTACTACTACTTTGACAAGTAATAATAATAATATAATATCTATTGATGACTTGGTTGAAAGATTTACAAGTAATGATGACAGCGGTGGTAGTAAGATGAAGAAGAAGAGCGTGAATTACACATCTATACACATGGCTCATCAGGTATATCTTGACCTGTATGTGTTGAAGCACTGGTACAGCATTGAGTTTGGTACAGTTGACATTACAACAAACACCAAAGCGTCGTCGGAGGAGAGTATTGTTGTACTCTTTGCTAAAGAGTCGGAACAAGCAAGTGTACGTTGATAACTTCATTCACAAGATGGTGTGATTGGATGAATGAATGAATGGATACCTAACATTACACATACATTATGACCACCCTTTGTGCACCTTGCTCCTTGTTGGTTACATTGGTGGGGTCGTCTCCATGTCCGTCTTGGCTGTTTCGTTGCTGTTCAGGGATTGAGTGTGATCATTCCTTCAAAGATCACCTTAAACTGGTCCATTGTATTGTAAGCTTAGATGACTTGGATGGTGCTGCAAAGCCAACCAACACGCAAAGAGATAGATTGATTAACCATCTTGAACAACAAACAGACTAGCCGAACTTTATCATAAGGCAAATGAACAAGCAAGACGGCACTTGGTGGCGCCACAAGATGCTAAAGACTACAACAACAACAAAGAGACACCATCTACAGTGGAGACTCCACTAGCAAAGATACTCGTGATATTATGCTTTCTAGATCAAGATTCTTCATTGTCATATTACCGAATGGCAATGCCCACATTTGCGAACCACCCAACAACACAATCACCACCACTGTCAACAACTACAATATCAACAGTCGCATGGTAGCATGGTAGCCTATGAATGTATCATACACACACTTGAATGGCGAAGTTAAAGATATGGGATGGTCCAACAACAACAAGATCACTTAATTAAGACAAGGATGTTGGACCACATCACCATCAATCCATCAACACCCGTCAATTCAATTCACACACTCGCGATTCCCAACAATGTACAGCCATTCAAGTTCGAATTGCCGCGACTAGACACATGACCCAGACATCTTCTAACTAGGCCCACTTAGTACCCATTGATGGGATACGGACATACGCACCAGACGGGCACCCGTTTGATCAAGGTGAGAGAACTCTGGGGGTGGATGGAAGATGGGACGAGGCTCCGACCCCTCCCTCGCACAGCCGTTCAATTCCGATCATCCGAATCAGCTGATCAACACACTCACAATGCCTAAGGATAAGATTGAACGACTTGCCGAATCATCAATTACCAATTTGGATTTGATCTCAACAAAAAAATATCATCACTTTTTTGTATGAGTGAGCAGGGCCTCGGCATTGACCACACAATCTCTTTAGCCGCGCGTCATCATCTTAAAGAAGCCTCTACACACGTGCATGCAGGTCAGTGAGCACTGTAATAAATGATCGGCATCATCCTACAAGATGCCGTAACCTCATCCTACGTACGGGTGGTCCTTCTGGCTTCCACTAACTATCTAAGCTGGCACATCCATCTCGACACTCTATGGCCCACGAGTACTCTCCCTTCCTTCCCCATGGTCCCGCTAGACGGAGTCCGTCGCTGTATGTATGTGTGGATGAGTGTGTGAGTGAGAGTGGATATTGCCGTGACGGCTAATTGAATGGTTGATGGTGTTGATGGTGATGGTTGTGAAGAGGGGAGAGAATAGTCAAGTGCAATGATTGAGTGTGGGGCACTGCTGCATGTATGATTGATTGATTGATTACTTCGGATATCGAGCATTGCACCTTGCCACTCTTTCAAATTGACTCCCACCAAGTTATACACAACAACAATCAGATACTACATCTTATCTTAACGATCAAACACTCTCACTCACTCTCTCGCTATTCCAACAGCGCGCGGATATTTGGTACTTTGTCGTCCATCCACTCAATCATTCAATCAAACATAATATCATATTATATTATACAAATGGAAAGCACAACTACCTCAACAACTAGACAGATGCTGACATCCCAGAACGTCTGGAAGTCATGTTGGAAAAAGGTATGCCTCAGCTATGGCCGCGGTTAATCAATCGACTGGCCAGCTGCTGTCCAAGGCAGACGCGGCGAACCACTCGACCAACTAGGGAATTTCCGAAATCTAATGTGTACTCATCACACTTTCTTGGTTTCCGTTTCTCTCTCCTTCTCCTTCTTCTTCTTCTTCCCCTTTCTCTCTTCGTCCCCTTTCCCACTCATTCAATCAGATCCAACAATGCGGAACAGAAGTCCAATCGTCGGCAGGACTCATCTTAAGTGAGGGTTCCAGCCAGCTGGGCCAACACGACATGTTTGAACTCTTTGAGAAGACACTCACACTCCTACTGCTGGTAGAGAACTCCACGCGCCAACTCAACAACAACCAATCCCTTTTCCAACAATTCACCGAGATGATGTCCACCAACGACTCATCCTCATCATCCGCTCTCCTCGAGCTGTGTAGTGGCAATGAGACCCTCATTCCACTCTTCACCCAGCTGTCCAAGCTGTCCTCTTGTATCGATATCACCCAACTCCTAGACACACCAGTCGCCACACCATCACCATCATGTAACAACAACCACAACAACAACAACATTACCAACTCAAACTCACTCCTCAACTCACTTTACTCGCCCAAGTCCTCATCCGAGAATTTGCTCGCCAACCTGGCCGCCTCGTCGAGCTCCTCCCAACTGGACTCGGCCAACTCCACACCAGTCCTCCATGGACTGGACTCCTCATCCAACTCGTCGAGCCGTGGCTCCTCGCCATTCCAACATTCCGTGTCTGACCTCCCACCCCTGTCCATTCAGGGCGACGATGATATGGACGACACCAACTCCAACCTTTGCTCCTCGAGCAACATGGTCCCATGTTCGCCACCCAATGGCGGTTCCATCAAGGGCAGCTACTCTATGTCTGGCTCGTCCAACAACTCCAACAATAGCAATTCCAAGCGCAAGAGAAGACCCAGAGCACCAGCTCCATTCTTTGACACATTGTTCTGCCACTCGTGTGGCGAGACCCAGACCTCCCAGTGGCGTCGTGGTCCCGATGGATGCAAGTCGCTGTGCAACGCCTGCGGTATCCGTTTCGCCAACATTGTCAACAAGGAGAAGGCATTGGCTGCCAAGGAGACCTCCAAGTGCATCTCAATCAACATGCTCCTGTGTGACTCTGCCCAAGCCGAGGCCAACAACGCCATTGCCAACGCTTCCGTTTCAAACACCATCAACTTGCTGAACGACTCCTTCCCAGTCGTGCCAACAGTTGCTACCGCTACCAGCGCCAGCGCCACCATTGCCCAACAGTTCCAACAATTGAACAAGAGCGTACCATATTACAACAGCTCCAAGCTGGCATATGCACCACCACCACCACCCAAGGGCAAGCTGTCCAGCAGCGCCAACTCACTCCCAACCTCCACCACCACCGCTACACCATCCACCTCCAACACACACAAGAGAAAGCAACCGTCAACCACCGACGTGTCAATGCCAACCAAGTCACACAAAGTCTTCCAACATGATGACAACCTGTACAACAACAACAACATGCACAACGAGGTCGCTTCCAACACAAGCGAGTCCTTCAATTTTTCCTCCTTTCCAATGCTTGACGCACTGACAACCCTGACCTCGCTGGCTTCATCCGAGGCTCAGCTGATATCTGCTGGCGTCGATGTCTAAAGGTCCAAGGTCCAAGGTCATCCTACCGACCTACCTAAGGTACCTACATCCCTCCCTCCCTTTTTTTTTTTCCTTCCTCCTTCCTCCCCTCCTCCTTCCCAAGCCAACGCACTCGTCTCCCCTCCATCCTACCAACGCAATCCAACATACTTTAAACGTACGCAAACGTCTCAATCGAATGGACCATTCCCAACCAACAGTCAATGCATGACTGTTGTGTAGTAACTACTGCAGGCATGCCGGTCGGCAGAACACCAATCATCAGTTGTGTTGCTGCAGGCAGTAGTCGAAGTATAGAAGCAATAAACTTAAGGTTTATGTAAATGATAATAATAATATTTGAAGTTTATGTGTTGTCAGACTTTGGCCACTTTATTCTGTTGAGTTCATTCGAAAGGTTTTCGATGCTTCGTCGATACTTAATGCCTTCAATATGGTTGTTTCAAAGTATGATGTGATGGGATGGTCTGGTGAAGGTTTAGCCTTCAACTCCTGAATGTTGACCTGACCAGTGAAGTAGATAACCAACTGATCCAGACATGGTCGAGTCGAAAAAATTGCAATTCAAGAGCATCGATGCCGTGAGGATCTCCAAAGTCAAGAGCTTGTTATCTCCATCAAAGTCACCATTGATGTCATCAAAAATTGGGTGCCATCCCTCTCTCGAAGTTGATGAAGTAGACCATTAAAATGTCCTCCTCTGATTACTACATCATTGAAAACTAGGGAGGACATTTTTGGTACTTCCTTCTGAATAGGTGGACCGATCCACTTCAATTATAAATATATATTTTGAGTATTTTTAATATATATTAATAATAATATTAATAAAAAAATAGACATCTATATATATTTAATACACTTGAAATATTTACTCTATATATTTATCATAATAGAAGATTAGATTACAAAAACATGGAATGGATATAGTCAAAGAATATCTAAACTCATGTAACCTCCAAGTTCCAAAGGATCACAATGTTATGAAGATCATCGACAACAACAATATTACTCCTCAAAATATCCAAACACATACAGTAGCTCATCTAATGATTGACCTTGATATTCCTTATCGTATAGCTTGTAAATTAGTGAACCAATATTCTCCCAATCATAGTAAGTAATAATTGTGTCATAGTATATTTATAAATATGATAGATATACTAATCAATTCAATTGAATTTACTTGATTGATTAGAAGAGGAATATTTCTTACACTGTGTAGATGTTAAAACTGATGATGGTGAGGATATAATGATACCAATACCAAGTGAATATTATAATGATATTGATACTTTGACCAGTCTTGAACTAGTTCATTATGATCGAACAGCACACAAGGACAATTCTGAAGACATATCAAAGAGGAGCATTACACAAAGAAGTTAAGCCTCCAAACAACAACTACACCAACTAAAACAATGAAGTTTGTCAAATAAACGTCAGTCAGTGATCAATCTTTATCATTGTCTCGTTGAATTTCCCCCACTTTCTGACAGGTGTTTATTATTTATTCCCAGCGATCCAAGCTACACCATCATAATTGACATTCCGGAAACGTTTTTTTGACATCATTAATTATTACATAAACTCACGACATATATACAAATACATATACATATACATAAAAATATAACATATAAACATATATATGAATTTGTATATATGTAATACATATACATAAAAATATAACATATAAACATATATACAATGAAGTACTACTTAACTATACTCGCCTTTTTGGCTTTGATACGTATGTATTGATGTGATCGATCAATCAATAGTTTAACGATACAACATGATGAGTACTAACTTACCAAAATGTATTCAATATATATAGTATCTGTATCAGCCTCATCATACAATGATTCTGACAATTCATCAAGTTGCTCTCAAAAGACATCTTGTTCAGACTGCACAGACGATCATGGTTGTGTTTGGTGTGAGGGCGCTGGAGAGTGTCATGATGGTACTTTCTATGGATCAAAGCCAATCACATATTGCAGGGACTTTAGATGGATGCAGTGCAAGATGGACGGTGTCTACACACTGTTGATATCTGTCGCTGTCGCCCTCGTGCTCATCGCGCTCATCATCACTGCTATTAAGGTTGCTATCTACTTCTGCTGTTGCGCCCGCAAGAGAAGCACCAAGCCATACACCAACATCCAGGAGGAGGATGAGTCGCGCAGTCTGCTCACCAACCCTTCGCAATCAGTGACACCAGTCACTGACAAGCGCAGAGAGGAGTTCAGAATGAAGTACGGCATTGGCAAGCAGACCTCAACATCATCATGGGACTAAACATCAGTCACATAGACCTTTACGCCTCAAGCACATGTACTGCTTTATTTCTTCAAATAGCAGTCCACTCAGCGCATCATTCAATCAATCACATTCTTCTTCTTCCTCTTCTTCTTCCTCTTCTTCCTCTTCTTCCTCTTCCTCCTCACCTCCCTCTATATCTTTGTTCACAACCATCCATTGTAATAAATTCAATTAGCCCTCATCTTACCTCGTAAAGTGTTTATTAGATTGAGTAGTAAGTATCCATCATGATTGGGGATGGACCAGTCTAGTCCTTGGACTCGCCCTTCCCCAGGCCCCCATTGATGACACCTTAGAACACGATGGGATGGGACGAGACGTTCCTTTTTCTTGTTCTTTTTCTTCCGCTGATCATCACATGTCCACGAATGTTCCTTCAACTTTGTTTGATCAGATTGATTACTTTACTAAGTTATACTATACACATAAAGAGATAATAAGTATATACATACAATGATAAAGACATCGTTATTACTGATGCTTGTTGTGGCATCTGTTGCCCTGGCCTCGGCTTCCAGCCACTTAATGGAGGGCGCCTTCTACCATGATGATGTGCCAAGCGGATGGTCTAGAACCGGACGTGCTGTTAGTGATCATGACATCACCTTGACATTCGCACTCAGACTTTCAAACATTGATAAACTAGAGGTATGATACCATATATGGAATCATTCCAATCAGGTACTCATACTAACTTTATGATCACCTATTTAGGAGTTGCTGTTGCAACATATCTCAAACCCAAGCTCATCATCGTACCGCAAGTACTTGACTAGACAGGAGGTCGACAACTTGGTTGCCCCAAGCCAAAAGGATGTTACCGCCTTGAAGAAGTGGATCGAGGAGGAGCTGCAGGGAACCATTGTCAAGGAGCTCCCAGATTACATTGTGGTGAGCGCTAATGCTGCCATCGCATCAGCCAAGCTCGACACCAAGTTTGAGCAGTTTGAGCATCCTCAAACCAGCAAGACTGTGATCCGTACGCTCGGACCATACTCTGTGCCCTACAAGCTGGCCTCGATCGTTCACTTCATCGGTGGCACCGTGCGTTTCCCCAACAGACGCGTCAAGAGCATCAACGCCAATGAGAACGTGGCCGTCGCCGCCAGTGGCTGCAACAACCCAGTGATCCCCCGTCTCTACGCCGGTGACGAGTCGTTCACTTTCATCATGTTGCCCAAGACCCAGAGTGGCGGTGTTTGGACCGATCCCTCGCAGGTACAGATGATGGGCGTTGCCATCTCCAGTGCCCAGTACTCCACCCCTTACTCCACCATCCTTGAGCCATCGCAGCTTACCTGTGAGTCCTGCTCCCAGATCACAAACAGCGCAATCCAGCAGATCTGCCAGCGCACCAACCAGCAGAACTCGCTGCCCGCCAACACAGTCTATTGTGTGAGCGAGGAGATCACCTCGAGCGACTTCCAAAACTACCGCCCATACAACCTGTCGTTTGTGATCAACTACTCGACGGGCAGCTCCAGCGCAGCCACCTACGACCAGTTCTACATGGGCCAGTACACAACAGTGCAGGCCATCCAAGAGCGCTACAACATGCCAATGATTGAGGGTGCCTTCCCCGAGGGCCAGTACTCCTCGTCGCCCGTGCAGCAAGCCGTGGCCGAGTTCTTGGACCAGTACTACAACGGCACTGACCTCGAGCAGTTCTTTGAGATCATGGGTTTGGACCCAAGACTTGCCGCACGCGTCTTTGTCAATGGACCAAACAATGTGACCAACCCAGGTGCTGAGGCATCCTTGGACATCCAATACCTCATGGGTCTTGCACCAGGTTTCAACACAACCTTCTACTCTGTCGGTGGCACTGTCAATGGACAAGAGCCATTCCTCGAGTGGATCACAGATGTCCTCAATGATAACAATAGTATGTATTCAATCATCAAGTCAATCAATCAATCACATGACTTACACACGCTTGGAACCATTCCAGTCATTCACGTTCACTCTGTATCATATGGAGATGATGAGAACACACTGTCGTTGGACTTTATGAACAGAATCAATCAAGACTTTATCAAGGCTGGCGCAGTTGGAATCACAATCATGTTCTCTTCGGGTGATCTTGGCGTGAACAGTGGAAATGGTACAATCGTCGATGAGTTTGTTCCATCATTCCCAGCATCATCACCCTATGTTCTTGCTGTTGGTGCCACTCAATTCTCCACTCAGACCTCCCCAGTCTGCTCGATCAAGCCAGTCGGAATCATCTCTGCCAAGTGCAACCAAGTCGGTGAGATTGCTTCATCCATTGCCACTGGCTCCAGGATCACCAGTGGTGGTGGTTTCTCCAATGTCTTTGGAAGACCATCCTACCAAGATGCCGTCGTCCAAGACTACATCAACACTCACCTTGAGAACAACATCCCATCCAGTTATTACAATCAATCTGGTCGTAAGTCTCAATAACTTAATCAATCAACCAATCAATCAATGATGACTAACATTGACACATATAATAGGCGCCTATCCTGATGTATCTGCACTTGGCCACAACTTTATCATTGTTTTGGCTGGAGAGGTGGTGACCGTCGATGGTACCTCTGCCGCCGCCCCAACCTTCTCCTCAGTGATCACCCTGCTAAACGATAGATTGATGTCCAGAGGCAAGGCTCCACTGGGGTATGTACCATGATTGACTAACCATCACCCTTCCATGATCACTAACTAACCAACTTCTGATAACAGATTCTTCAATCCAACATTGTACCAACTGGCTACCAGCCATTCTGATGCCTTCTTTGATATTGTGATGGGAGACAACAGCTGCGGCGAGTCTCTTTGCAACCAATATGGTTTCCCAGCTGTCCCAGGATGGGATGCTGTCACTGGCTTTGGCTCTCCAAACTTTGAATCATTGTCCTATGCCGTTGACATTGAACAATCACAATAAACCTACTTTAGTAAGTTGATCAATCAAAATAATAATTGTCCAAAAACCAATAATTATTATTGAATAAATATTTATTTAGTAGTAAGTTAATAATGTTATGATGGAGATGGAATGTAGAGTATGGTGTAGAGTAGTAGCAGGAGGGTATGGTTGGAATAGTGTTGGCAATCATTGATTGAATGAATGAGGGAGGATTATGATGTACATATGGATGGTTACCAAGCAGGTTGATACATGATTTGTTTCCTTTTTTTTGTTGTTGCTTGACTTTGTTGGTGTAGTCGTCGTTGCTTATTCGAATAATTTAGAGTGGCACACCTTGCAGTATGGCTTGCCATTGTTAGCTGTGTAGGATCCACCTGCCAATGGGTTCATACTATGATTGGTTGGTTGGAGATTGAATATGTTAGTCGTTGCCAGATGATTGATTGATCGAGTGCTAAGGGACTTACCAAAAAGCGCAGACAAAGTGCTCTGGATGCCACTTCTTGTCGAGGGCATCGATGCAACGGCCGCTGACAGCCTTGCCACAGCCAGAGCAGACGGAACCGGCCTGCTGGTGGTAGTGAATGTCACAGTAGGGCTTGCCTCCAAACTCAAAGAAGGTGCCGTTGGCAAAGCTCTTCTGGCAGTACTGGCAGACAAAGTGCTCTGGATGCCATTGGGTGCCGAGGGCGTTGATGCACTCGCCACGGATTGGCTGG